CTCTACATGTCCGTGGTCTGTCTAGCACATAGGAGCTCGGTTTGTTTTTTTTTTGTTGTTTTTTTTGTTAGTTGTTTTAATCAGAGGCTCTTGTCCGGGCCTATATAGGTATATTTTATATGCGGTTCTACAGATTTTGCCCGAAACAAATATGTCTTCCATGCATAAGCCTCTTTATAGAAAGTACTGCTCTATGACCAGCGCCTTCTAGTGTGGATTTGACGTTTTAGCATGCTGCACAGTCAGTGGTACATGATGAGGCTGTGCACCTGCTACTAAGAGGAGATGCTCTGTCATCTGAGTATAATTGAGAATATAAATTCAAAGTGAATTTTCACAGTTTAGACCAAAGAAGCTGAAACTGAAAAAATTCAGCTATTTTTCTCGAAGTCAACTATAACGCTTAATGGGACACTATAGGTACTCAGGCTACTTTATCTCATCTCATTGAAGTGGTCTGGGTGCAGTGTGCCTGCCATTTAAGCTCCGCAGCTGCAAACGTTGCAGTTTCAGATAATCTGCGATGTTAATATTGTAGGGTTAAGCCTGGCCCTAGTGGCTGTATACCAGACAGCCACTAAAGGCACTTCCTGGCCTTTCACATTGAATCAAAACTTACCTATGGCAAAAGCCTAATGTGCACAAAGCACATACCGAATTAGGTTCCCCCATTGGATGGAGCAATAATAGCTCATATAGAAAACTCAGCTTGGCTATTTTAGCTAGAATGTTGTCATACATTTCTAAATTTGCTGCCAGATGTTTAGTATATAAGTAGGGTCGCCATCAGGGTGGTTAGGATAAAACTTTGGTAGGGGGCCCACTCAAACCAGGGGCCCACAAGGTTCCAGTTGGAAAGATATCTCCCCAACTGGGCGGCATTGAAGATATCCTGTAGAGCGGGCCCCTTACTTGGGAGCACAGCAGTCCACCTTTTACTCTGATTGCAGTGCTGGGGGGATGGGAAATCAGATCACTTTCTCCCATCATACAGGTAACCAGATGCATTTGTAAATAGGTCTACGTGTACGTATGTGTCTGGCAAGTGCATACCTCCCAGCATTTCAAATGGATAAGAGTGACTCTTTAATTTTACAGCTGTGAGTGGAGGTGAGACCAACTGCAGGGCGGGCTGTTCTGAGACTTCGGATAACAGTTTATACACCTAAATTGTGTGTTGCTCTGAGAGTACGTGTAAGAGCTTGTGTACTTGAGACAGGGAAGTGGGGAGCAGTTAGGGAGGGGCTGGCAACCCACAACTTTACAAATTTTAAAAATTAAAATTATGGGGGCCAAAATACTTGAAAAATATCTAAACATGCTAATTTGTCCTTTAATGTATCATTTTCTTCAACAATTCAAAATTCCCAGTTCAGTGAAAAGGCCATAAATGGTTGCATTGGTTAATTCAGGCTTCATATGCTTATGAAAGGTGTGAGTATATAAGCAATTATAAAACTGGCACTCAGCACCTTTTCCTGTACGTTTTTTAACGTGCACAGTAGTGGACCTCCACTCCAGGTCCAAATAAATAGACACAGGCAAACATAGCTTGTGGCTTGTAGTTAAAAATGGCCGCTAGTAATGGGGGAACAAAGTGTCATGTAGGATTGTTTTCCTGACACTATAGTGATCCTTTAAAGGACCACTCTAGGCACCCAGACCACTTCAGCTTAATAAGAGAGAAACTGCCATGTTTATAAATGGGTTAATCCTTCCTCCAAAGCCTCTAGCGGCTGTCTCATTGACAGCCGCTAGAGGCGCTTGCGTGATTCTCATTGTGAAAATCACAGTGAGAGCACGCAAGCGTCCATAGGAAAGCATTGTAAATGCTTTCCTATGCGACCGGCTGAATGCGCGCGCAGCTTTTGCCGCACGTGTTCATTCAGCCGAATGGTTGGAGAGCAGGAGGATCGGAAGAGGAGAGCTCCCCGCCCAGTGCTGGAAAAAGTTAAGTTTTAATCCCTTTCCAGAGCCGGGCAGGAGGGGGACCCTGAGGGTGGGGGCATCCTCAGGGCACTATAGTGCCAGGAAAATGAGTATGTTTTCCTGGCACTATGGTGGTCCTTTAAAGAAGATTTCTGATTTGGCTATTTTGGCATAAAGTGTCTAAATTCACTTTGAATTCCCAATTTGTACTTTAGTTTATAATCCTGATAGTGCCTCTTCCTCCCCAGCCCTTCATCCTTTATATGACTAATGGAAGAGATAGAATAACTAGCAGCATCTGCAAATAGCAGGTACTGGAATGCTACCCCAAGATTGATGTGTCCCACACAGCATAATGTGATGTTAAATAATGCAATTGCGTTTTTATGATAGACAGACAGATATCCTGCCAAATAACTAATTAAATAAGTAAAAGAGCACAAACTCCCCACAATTCAGCACCATGACCAAGTTCTCCTGACAGGCTGATCATCCTCCTCTGACAACACTCTACCTCAGTGGAGAAGGAGAGGGATGTCAAGGAGGACAAGAAGAGGGGGAGAACATGTGTAGCATGAGGAGGCATGCACCATTAGTTGCCTGTTGCTAGCATGCTGTGCATGCTGAAGTGGACACCAAACGTGCACTCTTGTTCCAGGCTGGCTAATGACGCACCAATAACGCTGTCAGATTTTACGTTACACCTTCAGCATAAGGGCTAAACTAAGTATGTACTGTGTTTCTTAGTGAAATGATGCTTGGGGGGAGGTAGCAAGACTGTGTGATTAGTAAATATTAAGTTCAATGAGTCTCTCTTCAAATGATATATACAACTTGGAAAGGGAGTAGGTGAAGATATGCACATAATAAATAGCATCAGTGTATCATTACCGTTTTCTGCATTTTGTTACTACTTTGGGTAGCCATGTGATTATTATTTTTTAGGAATGGTGGGGTATCAAGGTTTAGACCTTTTTTGCATTATATCCTTTCAGATGTTCCAATTCCCTGATCAGAAACTGCATTTATATATTTTGTTGTTATGGTCCTGACCATTATTTAAATATCTGTACCTCATTGTAAACCACAAGACATGGCATTTCGGCTTTGGCTATTACTACCTTCTGTGTCCTTGGATTTTAATGTCCACTCCTGACAAACAGATGTAGTTGCCCTTAAAGGGACACTGTAGTCACTATAACCACTTTGTCTCTTTGAATTGGTTATAGTGCCTGGAGTGCCCTGGCACTGTCCCTCCATTCAGTGTTGCACCATGTTTGTGCAGTATGCCACAAAATAAGAGTCCCTGGCCACCCACAGTCCGGCCCCTTCTGTATGTGTAGCTAAGGCAGAGATTACACACTTCCTTGTTGTCATCCCCATTCAACCGTCAGTTGGAGCTCTGACAGGTTAAAAGCAGTCAGCTGACACTCTCAGCCAATCACAACTGCCCATTGCTGCTCAGGGTAATACTTCCTTATTAGCCAAAGCAGCACAGAGAGGATGGACTGCTGTGGTCTCTTGTTTAGCATTAAAACATTACAACATTAAAAACTGTTTAATGCTGAAAAAAATTATGGTACCAGGGGACTCCATACACTATAACCAGCTTAATGAGATGAAGCAGATACAGTGCCTACGGTGTCCCTTTAAATATACAGGTTCACGACGACAAAATGATGCACATGTTACTAACTTCCCCTGTATCCTACTGTTACGTTTTTCTTATATTTTTATTATCCCTTAACCCCTTAAGGACCAAACTTCTGGAATAAAAGGGAATCGTCACACATGTCATGTGTCCTTAAGGGGTTACACCTTGTCCTCTTCTCTCTTCACTAATTGTTTCACTTTACTCTATGTTATCATTACTATTATTAATTATGCTTCAGACCCATTTATGGTCTAATTTGTTTACATGAACATTTTTTAAAATGTTTTTCGTTTGGTCTACCACGTATTGAGGGTGTATCTATTATAATTACACAGATAATGTTCATTATCTATTGTACTTTTCAATAAAAACTTTTGTCTTAGAACCCGTTCTGTTTCCTTTTATGGAGAGGGAGGAAATTTTAACTTTTGTTCAGGTTTTACAGCTTGTAAGATGTTTTGTAACATTCCCTCTACCAGGGGGGGATTATTAACCAGCTGCATCGGCCCCCACTTGGTCCTTCTTGGCGGGAGCTGAGCCCACTCTTTATGTAATTACAATTTATTTAGTGATAGTCAATGAGGGTATTATCCAGGTCTCACTCCCAGCAGCCCCCGCGCTGAGTCCTGCCCCGTGCCCAGCTGATGCTGCCATGCTGCTGGAGGTGTGAGGGTCTCTCCACAGCTGATCGCGCAAGCTCTCCCGGCCAATCGGAGCGGCGCTGAGAGCAGGTGCCTGTGACGTCACTGGGCTGCGCGCGCACATCACTGGGGTCTCGCCGCGATGGGTGCGGGGGAGCGCGGCGGCGCTGAGGGGCGAGGAAAGCGCAGCGCAGCCCGGGGCCTGCGGGGCCGGACACTCTCACTGTGAGCTTGCACAACTCGCACGGGGAGAACAGAAAACAACTCACCGGGAGCAGCAGGGCAGCAGCCCGGGGGTGGGGGGGGAGGCTCCGGCGGGCATTGCGCGTGCTCCGGCACCGGCTGGCATGGCTGGCTAAGGGTCCTGGGCGTGCGGGTGCGGTGACACCTGGACAGATAGGACAGGGTGCTTAGGGTGTACCGGCCACCCATTACCTCACAAAGCCCCCCATTACCTCATCTAGCCCCCCATTCTATCACACAGCCCCCCATTCTATCACACAGCCCCCCATTACCTCACACAGCCCCCATTCTATCACCTAGCCCCCCATAATCTCACACAGCCCCCCATTCTATCACACAGCCCCCATTATCTCACACAGCCCCCCATTACCTCACACAGCCCCCCATTCTAGCACACAGCCCCCATTCTATCACACAGCCCCATTACCTCACACAGCCCCCATTCTATCACCTAGCCCCCATAATCTCACACAGCCCCCATTATCTCATACAGCCCCCATTATCTCACACAGCCCCCATTACCTCACACACAGCCCCCATTATCTCACACAGCCCCCCATTCTATCACACAGCCCCCCATTATCTCACACAGCCCCCCATTCTCTCACACCCAGTGCGGAGGTCGCACTCCATTAATGGGGGTCTGGCTCCCCCGTGGGGTGTCCTAACCCCCGCCGGACACGGCCTCTCCGGGAGCGGCTCCGTCCATCACTCCGGCTGTGGCTCCTGGGGGCCAGGCGGGCGGCCCCGAGTGTCCGAGGCTCCCAGCTTCAGCACCACCGGCTCCGGACAGCGCTCCATGGAGCTCCCCATCAGCTTCCTGACAGACAGCAGCCGGCCTGCAGCCTCCCCGGAGCGGGCACCGCGGGCACACCGGGGGGAGCTGGAGCTGGAGGAGGAGCTGGTGCTGCTGGCCACCGAGGCCGAGGAGGACCCCGGGGAGGGCGAGGGCCCCGGGGAGGAACCCGGGCTGCTGTCAGTCATCAGGAAGAAGGAGAAGGACCTGGTGCTGGCGGCCAGGCTGGGGAAAGCCCTGCTGGAGAGAAACCAGGACATGAGCCGGCAATACGAGGACATGCAGCGGGAGCTGACCGAGAAACTGGAGGTGAGACTGCTGCAACCTCTGCCATCAGCTGCTCTGGGATACTACTCCTAGCATGCTCAGCCAGCGTGGGAGTTGTGGTCCCATGCAGCTGGACTGCCGGAGGATGCTGATCTTTTATTTGCCTGCATGCTTACTGGAAAGGGGGCTCACAAACCATGTGCAGTCTAATACCTACATAGTGTAACATACTGATAGACACATACCACACTGACAGTGCAACATACTGATAGACACACATAGCCACTGCTACCCCTAGTGTAACATACTGATAGACACATACCACACTGACAGTGTAACATACTGATAGACACACATAGCCACTGCTACCCCTAGTGTAACATACTGATAGACACATACCACACTGACAGTGTAACATACTGATAGACACACATAGCCACTGCTACCCCTAGTGTAACATACTGATAGACACATACCACACTGACAGTGTAACATACTGATAGACACACATAACCACTGCTACCCCTAGTGTAACATACTGATAGACACATACCACACTGACAGTGTAACATACTGATAGACACATACCACACTGACAGTGTAACATACTGATAGACACACATAGCTACCCCTAGTGTAACATACTGATAGACACATACCACACTGACAGTGTAACATACTGATAGACACATACCACACTGACAGTGTAACATACTGATAGACACACATAGCCACTGCTACCCCTAGTGTAACATACTGATAGACACATACCACACTGACAGTGTAACATACTGATAGACACATACCACACTGACAGTGCAACATACTGATAGACACACATAGCCACTGCTACCCCTAGTGTAACATACTGATAGACACATACCACACTGACAGTGTAACATACTGATAGACACACATAGCCACTGCTACCCCTAGTGTAACTTACTGATAGACACACATAGCCACTGATGCCCCTAGTGTAACATACTGACAGACAGACACATACCACACTGATAGCTCTAGTGTAACATACTGATATACAGACACATACCACACTGATACTTGTGCTGTAGCAGACTGATAGAGAGGCACATACCCCATTGATACCCCTCCTGTAGCAGACTGATTGTAAGGTTTATACTTCATTGATATCCCTCCTGTAGCAGACTGATTGTAAGGTTTATACTTCATTGATAAGTCCTGTGTAGCAGTCTGATAGACAGGCAGGTCTCATTGATCTCAGCCAGGGGTAGGTACCCTTTTGCACTCCAGATGTGGCTATATTTTCCCTAATGCTTTGCCAGCATTATGTGAGATGTAGTCCATGACATCTGGAGGTTGCCTACCCTGATCTGGGGTATCTAATGTATCACCCACGCATGTTTTTACCCAAGCCTGTGGCTATGCAGGCCCTTTTAGTCTTATTGAATAAGAATATTGTCTACCCATCTAAATGACCCTTTTTTGAGATTTTTCACTAAACAGTGAATGAGTAAAATTTTTACAACCGACAAAAATTTAGGTCCTATAATAACTGATTTGGAAAATAAAAATACCTGCTGATATTAAAACATTTTTCCAACTCAACCGTTTTTGTCTAAATTTTGTAGTTGTCATCTGACAACACCTCAGTATTGAATCTGTGATAAATAATAAATAGGTCTATGTAAGCATAATATGCCCTGATTGTGTCAATACTCATGTAGTTGTTTTACTTTACAGTGCAGTATCTTGCCTTAACATCTGCACCATATTTATATTACATACATGGAAACATTCATTTTGCTAGTAGAGAAAACATCTTTCAGAGGTCTTTTATGCATGCTTTTGTCTATATGAATTACTGTAATTTAGGTTTGCAGGCTTTCAAAGACTTTCATATTTGTAATGTAGTCTCTTTTTCCTATGCAAGACAGGACTTGCAATGAATGTATAATAGTCTAGTCTTCTTTCTAAGATAGTAGAAATGGAAAAATAATTCATATATGATTAAGGAGATTACAAATATGGTGGCAAAAATGTATCACACTGTACATTATGGGACTAGGAGCATCATATTTTATATCTTAAAACAAATTCCATTAATATACTGCAATGGTTTGGCTACAGGACTGAAAGGAATATTCCAAACACCATAACCAATACAGTGACCTGTAGTAGGTATAGTGACCGGGCTGCACTCCTTCCCCCCATTTTAGAAAGGTTTGACTTCTTACCTGGGGTCTGCCAGACACTGCTCCCTGCGTCCACTACAGCCTCCTCTTTAGCCAGATACTCGTTGTTTGGCAGTGCATGGTTTAGCTCAGTACTTGAGAAATCCCAGATCACCATGGCGACTAGGAATTTTGTCCTGGCGCCTGAGTGTTTGTCACCCTTGGCTCCTTTTTGGCCCCCCCTAGGGGGGCAGCTGTGAGCAATGGAGGCGGGAAGCGAGGTAGCTGCCATTTTCCTGCTTTTCTTGCTCTGTTCCCTTGTGCCCTCTGTTGTGATGATGGTAATATGACGTCACTCCAGCCTCGGCATCACTAAAGGGCACTCAAGGGAGCAGAGTGAGAAGAGCAGGAAGATGACAGCAGTCATATTGGACCCCAGTAAAAGGATCCACTCCAGCTCTCCAAAAGGTAGGGAGTCTGAGTGGTCGTAATTTGAATTAAAACAATTTGTAAGTGTATCTGAGACAGAGTGTGTCTGTCAGCGGATGTATGTCTGGCAGTGAATGTGTCTTTTTAGGTGTCCGGCCCCCTCCGATTGCATGGGAAAGGTGTTTTTACTCACCTTTTCACCCATGCAATGCCGGTGTCACGATGGCTGGCACGCCACTATGGCTGATATAATCCATCTTGATGATCTTGTGATGCTATTGGGCATGTGCCAATCAAGCTGCACCAATCAGCATCTCCTCATTGAGATGAATTTGAATCAATGTATTTCTATGGTGAACATTCAGCATCTCCAAGCAATACATGGAGACGCTAAACGTAGGTGCTGCACACTGTGCAGCATTGGACTAGGAAGCACCTCCAGTGGCTGTCAGAGTGAATGCTAAAGCAAAGTAAACTGCTTATATTGAAAAGCCTGCAAGGACAGTTTATAGACACCAGAAATTGAACCACTACAGTAAGCTGTAGTGGTTCTGATGACTATAGTGTCCCTTTAAGAATTGTATTTTTGTAGTTGAAAATGAAGCTTGCTAGTTTAAAAAAAAACAAAAAAAAACCTATCTCCTGACCTTTTTAGCTGGCTCCTAGATTCAAAGCAAATTTATCAAGCTCTGGCTTAGCTCAGAGAGATCTTTTAGCCAATGAGCTATCCCTGCTTTAAAGTCTTCCAACTCTGCTGAAGGCTGAGCGAAGGTTGGAAGAGCCACTCTGGAACCCCAGGTAAGAAGTCAAGCCATTTGCAGAACTTTGACTACTTACTTTGTGGAGGGAGACCACTTCACTCTTAGCACACTGTAGTGTTTATGGTGTCTGAAGTGTTCCTTTAAATTTTTCAAATTGATTCATCACAAAACATTTGCAACCTTTTAATTGTAACTATACAAAATATACTTTCAATTAGATTAGATTACTTTCTAAAAACTTTCACATTTAAGAGTGATAGCGATATAGATTATTATTTTCTAAAAAATAAAAAACTGTGTGGTCACCCCAAAGATTATTTTACGTTCTCAAATATTATTTTCAGTTTTATGTCATATTAAATGTGATATATTTATTGGAATACAATAACATTTCCTACTTTTACTTAAAAACTACTAAACAAATATTTTTGAATTTGCACTGCACAGTGTTATTCACGAAACCAGAAATTGCCAGAATGCACATTTAGACATTTAAAAAAAATTCAATTCAGATATTCGAAAATGAAAGGGAAATTTACTGTGTAATATGTCAGGATGAATGTACCACCTAGTAAAAGTTTTGTATAATTTGTTTTTGGATAACAGTGTTGACAGTGATTTTCAGTGGATTCTTCAAACTCGTATCACACGCTTTCTCTCTCTCTCTCTCTCTCTCTCTCTCTCTCTCTCTCTCTCTCTCTCTCTCTCTCTCTCTCTCTCTCTCTCTCTCTCTCTCTCTCTCTTTCTCTCTCGTGCATGAGCATACAGGAGAGTATCACACTCTCAAAAACATTCTAACAATTTTGGCAAATTAATTAAAAAGGGAGTTCATTTTTAAATTGATTGATGCATTTTTACACCTAAAATATTCATGAGTAGGTAAATCATGCAACTTTGAATTTGCAACAGGATGTTTCACATAGTGAGATCCATGTGAAACCTCTAGTATCCCACATATGTTTGGAAATCTTTTGCAAAAGCAGGAATGCCAACTACTGAAAGCATTCATGAACCTAACTATGTGGGGCAGCTATGCAGTGAGTTTGTGCCAATGAGTGGGACAATGTGGGATTTGTCTAAATATACAAGGAACAAATAGCCACTGTTAACAGTTTTTTCTCATAACAGATTTTATATTTACTGCAATGTAACTCAAAATGAAGAGCCATATAATTGAATTTCTTATCTTGTTTTTGTTCTAAACAGTGAGTTGTGTCTGTTGACAGCTTGCACAACTTAGGATAAAATAGGCAATTTGGAAAACATCCACTTTACACAGAGTTAAAATAGGAACAGAATATAAGAAAATGTTGATCATACCAGGCTTCTAATTAGTAATGCTGCATTTCTCTAGACAGCCAGACAGACAGATAAACACGTAAATCAATACCACTAAAACAGAATATGTGGTTATATTCTGGTATACCATATTAAATTCTCAGTAGTGCAGTACACATGCTTTTAACCATATTATAATTTGCAAAAAAAACAACATTTTTTTTAAAACATTGGCTGTATTGTTATCTAGTTAGATAGAAAACACTAGGAGTGTTATTAGACAAAGCAGTATTACTTGTAAAGGATGTAAAGGAGAGGTAATTGGAGAGATCCTGTTGAAATAAACTTATTTAGAGTGTCTTCTGTAGTAAAAATATGATTTGTCAATTTTTAAAAGGCAATTAACCCAGCAGAAGAACATATTTCGTTTTTATGGCATTTTATTTACTTAATACAATTATAATATCTATCCTCACAGATAGGCCAAAAAAAAAAAAAAACCTTGAATTTTCATACTGGTCTTCCAAATGGTCTTCCAAATGCGAATACGGATGTAGGTGGTATATGCAAAATATAACAAAATATACTAGTAAAATAATAGGGTACAAAAAGTCCTCAATTGTGTCCCACTTGACGCGTTTCGGCTCTCCAGAGGCTTTATCAAAAGTCACTTTTATATTTTATACAATAAATAGTTACTTTTTATGCAACACTTTCTTTTTATATCCAGTTCTACATCCTGATTGCTACCTGGTTCTACTACATCCCTAGGTGGGGATAATACCACCCATGCTGAAACAACTAGAGCAGGGATTTGCTCTACAGATTGTAAGTAAATTACCTTCTTACATCTAAACTGACAGTACATACTACACTATCAGAGCTTCTCTTTGCTCTTTATTTTTTGCATATACCACCTACATCCGTATTCGCATTTGGAAGACCAGCACAATTTATACCAGCCTATATCCTTAGACGGGGATTATACCGTCCAGGCGCTACAAAGCCATGAGGAAAACACCCTCTAGGAATTCTATGATTTACATATCAGGACATAATAACAATTGTCGGTTCCTCAGCAGGTCTTAAAATTAGGTAAATACAATCTCAGATGAACAACAACACATGACACATAATTTAATTGCCAAAATGGAGAAGCCATGTGTGAAAAACTAAGAACACCTTAAGATTCAGTAGCTTGTAGAACCACATTTAGCTGCAATAACTTGAAGTAATCGTTTTCATTATGAGTTTAATAGTCTTATATTGTTATGGAGGAATTATTGACCTCTCTTCAGTTCATTGCGGTTTGCTGGCATTTGTTCATGCACAGCTCTCTTAAGGTCCTGCTACAGCATATCAATCGGGTTGAGGTATGGACTTTGAGCCATTGCAACACCTTGATTCTTTTCTTTTTCAGCCATTCTGTTGTAGATTTGCCGTGTGTTTGGGATCATTATCCTATTTCATGACAAAATTTAGGCCAAGTTTTAGCTGTTGGACAGATGGCCTCACATTTGACTCTAGAATATTTTGGTATACAGAGGCGTTTATAGTCGACTCAATGACTGCAAAATTCCCGGATCCTTTGGATGCAAAACAAGCCCAAATCATCACCCCTTCACTACCGTGCTTGACAGTTGGGATTGGTGTTTGTGCTGATATGCTGTGTTTGGTTTTCACCAAACATGGCACTGAGCATTATGGCCAAACATTTACATTTTGGTTTCGTTTGTCCAAAGCACATTATTCCAGAAGTCTTGTTGTTTGTTAAGATGCAGCTTTGCAAACCTAAGCTGTGCCAGTGGCGGATCCAGTGCCTGATCTCAGGAGGGGCACTTGTAGATTGTTTAAAGAAATAATCCAGACACAACAACCACCACAGCTCGGTGTAGTTAGTGGTTATGGTGTCAATAGTGCCGGGACCCCCTCCCAGAGTAAGTAGTCAAACCGTTTAAGAACAGTTTGACAACTTACCTGAGGTCTGCTGGGAAATGGGACTGTAGTAGGGCATAGGAGCAGTGGTGTGTGTGAGTGGTGCAATGTGTAAGGGGTGCAGTGTGTGTGTGTGTGTGTGTGTGTGAGGGGGACAGTGTGTGAGCAGTGTGTGTGTGTGAAGGTTGTAGTGTGTGAGTGAGGGCGGCAGTGTATGTCAGGGATGCAGTGTATGTGTGGGACAGTATGTGTGTGTAACAGTTGCAGTGTGTGTGTTAGTTTTTTAGTGTATGTGTGGGCAATGTGTGTGTATGGGGCGGCAGAGTATGGGGGCAGTGTGTGTGTATGGGGAACAGTGTGTGTGTATGGGGGTAGTGTATGTGTGTGTGTGTGTGTGTATGGGAGGCAGTGTGTGTGTATGGGGGACCAGTATGTGTGTAATGTGGGAGCAGTATGTGTGGGGAGCAGTATGTGTGTGTATGGGGGGGCAGTGTGTGTATGGGGCAGTGTGTGTGTATGGGGAGGCAGTGTGTGTGTATGTGTATGGGGGCAGAGTGTGTGTATGGGGGCAGTGTGTGGGGCAATGTGTGTGTATGGGGGGCAGTGTGTGGGGCAGTGAATGTGTATGGGGGCAGTGTGTGTATGGGGGCAGTATGGGGACACAATATGGGGGCAATGTGTGTGTATGGGGGCAGTGGTGGCATGTGTGTATGGGGGGCACTGTGTGTGTATGGGGGGCAGTATGGGGGCAATGTGTGTGTATGGGATGCAGTGTGTGTGTATGGGGGGCAGTATGTGTGTATGGGGGGCAATGTGTGTGTATGGGGGGCAGTGTGTGTGTGATAAGGGTAGGGGGGCTTTTTTTTTATAATACATATATATATTCTTAGTCCCTGGTGGTCCCAGTGGGGAGAGTGAACTCTAGCTCGCGGCAGCGCTCCATGCTCGCGAGAGGAGGACCCGGAGGAGCTGCTGGCTGAGCTCCCAGGTCCTCTCTCACTCCCTACCCCCGCCGGCTGCCAGCACAGTGTCTGCAGACCGGGGAGGGAGATCTCTGACCTGCGTGTGCTGGCTGGGGAGAGGGAGACCTCGGTTTTCCTGTTGCCCCCCCCGGATCCGCCACTGAGCTGTGCTGCCATGTTTTGTTTATAGAGAAGAGGCTTTCTCCTGGCAACCCTGTCTTGATTGGTTGAGCATTACTCACTATTACGATTCCTTTGTGAACGATCGTTTCCAAGTCAGTATCACTTGGTGATTCAGAACCACAAATTGCCATCAGACCAAGCATTAAATATGATTTTGTTGCTTGGACTCTGTCTCACCAACGAATATACTATATTTTGACACCAGAGTACATACTTTATTTTATATTTTTTGTTGTTTTTATTATTCATTTTTCTCATTCACTACACTTTGTGGAGCACAAGATTTCTAATCTCATTATTGTTTTTATGTATACATAAAAAATTTAGTGATCCACTAACTGACCTAAGTACTCATATATTACATATTTACTCTTTTTCTCTTAATACATATCAAATAAAGGTTAAGTTTTATACCGTTATTTTATGGTCAGGGCATTCAGTCAGTCTAGTTCAACCCTGTCACGAACTTTAACATTTACCATGCTAACTGAGACTTTAGTGCAATTTCTGTGAGCATTGCCCGGTCTGACTGTGGGTTGAATTTGCTGGGCGTCCACTGCTGGGAAGATTGCTACCTGTCTTGAATGTTTTCCACTTTTGAATAATCTTTATCACTGTAGGATGATGGACTTTAATTTGTTTGGAAATGGCCTTATAACCCTTCTCAGTTTGATGGACAGCAATAATTGCCTATCTAAGATCATTGCTGATGTCTTTCCTCCTTGCATTGTGTTAACACACACCTGAATGCTCCAGACCAGCAAACTCCTAAAACTTTGACTTTTATAAAGGTGACCACACTTGCTGATGATCAATTAATCAAGGGTATTTGAGCTACTAGGCTTCTTAATTCATATGGAGGCAGTAATGGTGTACTTAGTTTTTCACATATGGCTTCCCAATTTTTACTTTATTTTTGTTAAATAAATCATGACATGGTGTATTGTTATGTGTTGTTCATCTGAGACTGTATTTACCTAACTTTCTAAGGAACAGGTGTTTGTTATTATGTCCTGATATGTAAAACCATAGAATTCAAAGAGGGTGTACTTTCCCCCCCCCCCAATGACTATATATATATATATATATATATATATATATATTTATTAGTAGAACATAGAGTGGCAGTTATTTTTGGGGAGTTACAGAGCTACGTTGCATAAACATTTTTATTTTTTTATGGATTTACCAGCATCTGGAACAAGAAAAACATGAATTGAAACGAAGATTTGAAAATCGTGAAGGTGAATGGGAAGGGCGAGTGTCTGAACTGGAGAGCGATGTCAAACAACTGCAGGAAGAATTGGAAAAGCAGCAGGTCCACCTTAGAGAAGCCGATCGGGAGAAATCATCTGCTGTACAGGAACTGTCTGAACAAAACCAAAGACTCCTGGAACAGCTCACTAAGGTTAGAATGTGGCTAAAGATCCCTTAACACACTAAGCAAACAATAGACACAGTGTTGGCAATAGCCTGCCCTCTAGCAGCTAGCTATTGGTTTATTTTTTAGATCTGAGCAGGGACCAACTGAAGGGCAAGCTATTGAGGTTTCTATGAGCCTTTGCTTGTTCTCAGAGTTCTGATATACTCTGTTTGTTTGTGTTTTTTACCTGAATTTTCTTAAATTCCACTATATGGTTAAATATTTAAAACTCACTTTGAATTTCTGACAAATCACAGTGACTCAGGTATATGTATAACAAGTTGTTGCAGCTGATCCATATAGTCAATGTTTTTCTCTTTTTGGTTGTGTTTTTCTTTTTGTCTAAACATATATACAAAAGTATGTTAATGCAATAATGAAATTGATACAGTTACAACTTTGGTACACCTACTTTTAAAATAGTTTTGCTGATGGCGTTAAAAACTCGGTATCAATGTTTGCTGTTGACACAAATTTATGTACAGTAAAGAATTCAAAACATCTCTACAGAGGGATTTAAACTGGCTGATAGGTTTTACATAGATCAGAGATGGCATCAGCAGTCCTCAAGGGCTAGAAATGTACTGTGTTTAAAGGGACACTATAGTCACCTGAACAAAACAACTTTAGCTTAATGAAGCAGTTTTGGTTTATAGAACATGCCCCTGCACCCTCACTGTTCAATCCTCTGCCATTTAGGAGTTAAATCCCTTTGTTTATGAACCCTAGTCACACCTCCCTGCATGTGACTTGCACAGCCTTCCATAAACACTTCCTGTAAAGAGAGCCCTATTTAGGCTTTCTTTATTGCAAGTTCTGTTTAATTAAGATTTTCTTATCCCCTGCTATGTTAATAGCTTGCTAGACCCTGCAAGAGCCTCCTGTATGTGATTAAAGTTCAATTTAGAGATTGAGATACAATTATTTAAGGTAAATTACATCTGTTTGAAAGTGAAACCAGTTTTTTTTTCCATGCAGGCTCTGTCAATCATAGCCAGGGAGGTGTGGCTAGGGCTGCATAAACAGAAACAAAGTGATTTAACTCCTAAATGACAGTGAATTGAGCAGTGAAATTGCAGGGGAATGATCTATACACTAAAACTGCTTTATTTAGCTAAAGTAATTTAGGTGACTATAGTGTTTCTTTAATGATCATATTTAGCATACAACTCATTGATCCACAAAGTTGATCAACTCAGGGATCCACAAACAGCACTCTACATGTTTAATCAGTTGCTGTCCTCAATGGTTGTATGTTTGCATTTATTCTTAGAAATTTTAACTTTAAATATGGCTGATTATGGCATCAATTTAATATTGTAGGATAAGCTTTTCAAATTATTTCATGTTTTAAAAAAAAACAAACACATTTAAAACCTGTATTTCTAACCCTATGGTGTTAAAATCACTATCTATCCCTCCTTGCCCTCTGAAATATAGTAAAATCTTACCCTATTTCCAGTGCTGGCTGCGCCCCCGAACTACCTACTTGACCGATATCATCAGAAGTGATGATCTCAGCCAATCACAATACTTTTATAGGAAAGCAGTAGATTGGCTGAGGTTGGCAAGGAGGTGGAGCAAAGACGTAGACAAATGCCACGCTGGCCAATCAGCATTTCCTCTTAGAGATGCATTGAATCTCTATGAGGAAACATCAGTGTCTCCATGCAGAGTGTGGAGACGCTGAACGTCAGTGCTGCACTGTGCTGCTCTGCCCCAGGAAGTACCTCCAGTGGCCATCTGAGGAGTGGCCACTGGAGGTGTCCCTAGGCTGTAATGTAAATACTGCTTTTTCTCTGAAAAGACCGTTTTTACAACAAAAAGCCTGCAGGGACTGACTATACTCACCAGAACAACTACATTATCTGTAGTTGTTTTGGTGACTATAGTGTCTCTTTAAAGAATTTTAAATGTTTATCTAAAAATCTGAAATTATTTGAAAACCTTATCCAACAATATTCAATCGAGACCTATGTTTGGGTTGTTACATACAAAGGTCACTGTGTACTTGGGGTTGCATGTAAATATGTCCTTTCTCATTCCAACACCAGTGTCATGTTAGTATACCCTTGTGTTTGTTTGTAAGCAGGCCCGGACTGGCCATCGGGCACACCGGGCAAATGCCCGGTGGGCCGCGGTGGCCATGGGCCGAGGCCGGCAGGGGAGATCCCAGGATCTCCCCTGCCGGTCTATGCAGGGCCGGCACTATCCGAGCGCCGGCCCCGCTGTTTTCCATGGAGGGCCGGTGGGGAGATCAAAGATCTCCCTCACCGGCCCACATGCTCTCAAACGTGGCCACCGGCGGGGAGAGAGGGAGGGAGACAGCCGCCAGGAAAGAGGACCCGGCGGAGCTCTAACTTGCAGCTCCGCCGGGTTTCTCTCGCGAGATCCGGACCGTTGCTATGGCAACCGGCCGGGTCTCGCGAGAGTGAACTCTAGCCCCAAAGGGCTAGAGTTCACTTACCACGAGGACCACCAGGGATGGCTGGCAGGAGCACGACCCCCCCCCCCTTCCAGACTACTACAGGTAAGAATAGAGGGGGGTTAATATAATGTATTTATTATTATTATTATTATTTATTATTGTTATTTATTATGTATTTATTATTATTATTATTATTTTTATTATGTATTTATTATTTATTATTATGTATTTATTATTATTATTAATTATTATTATGTATTTATTATTTATTATGTATTTTTATTATTATTAATTATTATTATGTATTTATTATTATGTAATTATTATTTATTATGTATTTATTATTATTATGTATTTATTATTATGTATTTATTATTTATTATGTATTTATTATTATTATTATATTTTTTTAGTAAAACATTAATAGTGCCATTTACCTGCCTCCCCAATACAAAATCCTTGCAAACACACACATCACCCTCACCCAGCACCCTAACATTGACACAGCACCCCAACACACACACACAGCACCCTAACACCAGCACCCTAACATTGACACAGCACCCCAACACACACACAGCACCCTAACACTCACAGCACCCTAACACCAGCACCCTAACATTGACACAGCACCCTAACATTGACACAGCACCCTAACACACACACAGCACCATAGCACTCACACAGCACCCTAACACCAGCACCCTAACACCAGCACCCTAATATTGACACAGCACCCCAACACACACACAGCACCCTAACACCAGCACCCTAACATTGACACAGCACCCTAACACTCACACAGCACCCTAACCCCAGCAACCTAACATTGACACAGCACCCTAACACCAGCACCCTAACATTGACACAGCACCCTAACACTCACACAGCACCCTAACACCAGCACCCTAACATTGACACAGCACCCTAACACCAGCACCCTAACATTGACACAGCACCCTAACATTGACACAGCACCCTAACACCAGCACCTTAACACTCACACAGCACCCTAACACCAGCACCCTAACATTGACACAGCACCCTAACACACACACAGCACCCTAACCCTAACACCAGCACCCTAACATTGACACAGCACCCTAACACATACAGCAACCTAGCACACACACACACATCACCCCAACACATACACAGCAACCCAACACGTACACAGCAACCCAACACACACACAGCAACCCAACACACACACAGCAACCCAACACATACACAGCAACTCAACACACACACAGCACCCCAACACACATCACCCTCAAATACACAGAACCCTCGCTCAGTGCCCTAACACACAGCGCCCTCACACACCGCACCCTCACACACACATACTGCACCCCCCACACACACCACCCTCCCACACACACACTATACTCCTCACAAATGCACACTACACCCCTCACACACACAGCACCCCCCAAACACACTGCACCACTCACACACTCACTAGATCTCATATACGCACTCCTGAGTCCTTCAAACACACACTAGATCCCCTACACACAGTCGCTGTACCACTTACACACACACTACATTTCTGACATACACACTCAGGATCCCCTATGAACACACTAGATACCCTTTAAGCAAAGTGAGTATTAAAATACAGTGAGTATTCCATTTTAGCAAACCCCTGAGACAAGTTTCAAGCAAACACAATGCAAGCATGTTATTAAATTTGCTTGCGCTGTGCAGATCAAATACAGGGCCCTTTTCTCATGCCCTGGAAGAGCATTGAACCAACATGCTCACTTTGAGATGGGGCGTGCTTGTCATTGGGGATGACAAAACACACCCTATCTGACCCCGCCCCCTTTTCAGTGGGCCGCTGTAATTAAAAATGCCCGGGCCGAATTTTTTCCCCAGTCCGGCCCTGTTTGTAAGGTAGACACAAACTTCAAAGTGTATATACATGTGTTCGGTCGTTCATTGAGTGGCTTCAGAACCTTTCCTTTTTGCTGTTAAAGTGGCACTGTCATCCCAATAGCTTCCTCTTCTCTCCCTCTCTCAAAATCTGTTCTTCTTTTCTTCACGTCTGCTCTAGTTTTCTTTAAAACATAAGACAAAGTAGGGACTACTTTGTCTTATGGAGGTTTCCTACGCTTGACCAGCTTTGACCCACTTCTCACGGTCCAATGAATTTCCCCACAATTCTCACCTGATCTCGCGATGCTTCCTTTCACTATTCCCCAGCAACCTGTCATACAACAGTGGCTGCTCACTGTTGTAAAAAAGACCCCCTCATGCCTCTAATAAAGTGTTCCTTAGTGGGGCACCTATAACAATTAACGGGGGGCGTATTTTCACACACCCCCACGAGCCACTAAACTAAATGGGGGACTTAGTGTCTCCCCCCAGCCCCCACCCATGAGCGGCGGGTGGGGGCCCTAAGATAAAAGAGGGGAAGGAGACCTATTGTCCCGTCCTCCCCTCGGCCCCCACCCATGAACAGCGGGTGGGGAACCTAAATGGCAATGGGAGAGGACCTATTGACCTCCCCCCGACCCCCATCTGAGGCCTTCCCGTGCCCTACAATTGACTCAGAGTGCTCTGATTGGAATTTTCCCACGCTGTGTAAATTGACTAATTACAACACTATGATTGGTTTGCTTTGAATCCAACCAATCAGAGTGTTCTGAGTCACTTTACACGGTGTGGGAACTTTATTTACCTATCAGAGCACTCTTGTTGGTTGGCTTAAACCCACCAATCAGAGCCCTTTGAGTGAAATTGCAGGGCGTGGGAAGGCTTTATAAGCCCTGCGGAGCTCAGTCTGCACGGTGCCCTCGCTGGGTGAATATGGATAATTTTTTTTAGCGTCAACATATTTTTTTTTCACCACTTTTTTTTGGAAGAAAATAAACATTAAATATAGGTAATATGGGGGGCTTAGGGGCATTAAGGGGCGACCAGCGGGGCTATTAGATGTATTACAGTCAGGAAGGGGGTTAAAAAAAACAAAAAACGGATGTGGCCATGACAGTGTCGTTTTAATATATTGCTACAAATACATAATGCATCTGAGCTTCTCAGAGAGCTGTGGTTTCTGATAGACAAGAATTATTTCTGTACATCTTTAATAACAACATTGACTTTAATCTGTTAATACATAAAGTTAAATAGATGTAGGCTATTTAATATGTGTGTAGGGTTTTCATACATACATTTTATACTTACATGTTGGTAAGCTTATGGTGCCAGGATCTGATTAAAATTGATCATTGAGAAGTTACCCCACATTAAGAAATAGCAGCAGACCAATGCTTTATTGAAGTGACAGGCTGCAAGATAATATATAATTTAAATTGTTCTTCTGTAAGTACTTCAGTGATAAGATGCTTGCATGGTGCAAATAAATGCAAAGCAATGAAAAGCTGCATGCACAGACACAGCTTACAAACTGTAGGACTTGGAAAGGTAAGCAAGCTCAAGCAAAGGTGGATGATTGGTTTGATAAACAAAAATGCATGTCTCATGCTCATTGAAAAGGGAATTAAGGCTGAAACTGATACAGTGTTTGTTTAATGCGTGGCATAAGTAATTACATAGGCAAAACAGTCAATCTAATTAAAAAAAATATATATATATACTCACTTCTAAAGTTGCTGCATTTGCAGTTCCCAAGAACTAATCAGTCACTCAGGACACTCCAATAATGTTTTATGAGTAACATTGAACCCTTGTTCTGTATATGCTGAAAGAAGCCAATACTTGTCAATGCACATACAATACAATACCAATTGATTTATAGAAAGAGGGGAAAGGGTGAATCTCCCAGAGCAGCCATTTAGAAGGGCAAACCAGGGGTCAGGTCCAATAGATATCTCCAGGATTGCATTAATACAATTAAATTCACTTTTGCATTTTTGTGTAAATAATTTGTTGCTAATGCCATTTCAGTTGTACATCAAAAGCGCTATATTGTAGTATAGCTGACATTGCTCAATAGCACCGTGATAAAGCAGCATTTTGTTTTCAAAAGTGTTAGATGAAGTACATTGAAAGTACAGTCTTTCGACTCCAAATTGCACATTTTTGACAATTCAAAGTTATTGTCAAATATGGCAAATTTATAAAAGCACAAAAAGTATAGTGAGTCTCCTAGTTGTCACCAACACCCTGGTTAACTCCAAAAAAAAAAAAACAGGTAATTGTAGCACACCACACCATTTGTTTTTGGCCTTTTATGGCAAATTTATAAAGGAATTTGTAAGCCAAATCAGCAGAGAGAAAATTGTTGAGCTGGATGATTGTTTACAATTCCTAAAATATGCAACTCCATTTTTTCAGTCCTCCACAATTCTCAGATTAGTGAATCAATCTCTTACCAATGCTTCTGCTAATGGCATTATGAGAAATTGAGAAATAGAGAAACTGTAGCTTGTCAGCAAGACATTATAAAACCTAATCCTGGGGACATATTACAGGAAGGTGATGGCTTATAGCTGTCAAAACGTCAGCTGTACATTTTGTTTTCTATTATTTTCATTCACCTGAATGGGAAATATAGCCAGTGAAAAGCTGCAGGTTAACACATAATTATTGTAAGGTGCATTTCGTCCTTCAATGACTTTACCTAATCGATAACTTTTCACGTTTTATACAGTATTTAGTTTTTCTATGTGTTTGGTTAGGTGTTACTTCAAATTCAGTGGTAATCGTTGTTACAGTGCAATTGGATTTGGTATTATTAAATATTCATTATTTGTGGGGCCTGGAAACTATGTTTGGTTAGAATATAAGGACATCTTATAAACATTTTTTGGGAGGCTGTTGGAAAATCAGGGACAGAGCAAATATATGTGTGGCCCTGGCAATGTTTCAACCAGTTAAGGGTTTGTTTTATTTTCCCACGTCTTGCAAGGTCCACTTGTTCAAAGAGACATTCCAAACACTTCAAAGAGAAATCATCGCTTTTATAAACTGACAGAGTTTAACCCTCTGAGCTGGAAAAATACTCTTGCTGGTTGGTTTGCGTTCCAGTGCTTTTCTGTGAGAACTGATGATCTCCTGCAGGCTCCCATTGCTGGTGTGAATTGGAATGACTAAGGAAGTGTTATTTTTGTCATAGCCATTTTTCCAGCGGGGACCAGGCTGTGGGCAGCCACTGACCTCCATTCTTTAGGGCCTCCAGTCACTGTACCAAGTTCAATGAGATGAAATGGTTATTGTGTCTATAGGGTACATTTAATGGGGAAAAAAATGTCATTAAAGTTTGGTGTTATGTTACAGCTCTTTATTTTATTTCTCATGGTAAACTAGGAAGTCGTTGAATTGTGCAGCAAAATCTTCACTCCAGGTGAAATGTTGAGGATCTCGCTTCTTAATTTAATTTGCTATGCAGCATATATCTTTACTATAATATCAGGAACACATTGAAAATATAAATAGGTGGATGTTTTTTCTTCTTTTTCATCTTCTTGGTATTGCATTCAAAAAGATTTCTTGGCTCATACTGTTTTATGTCAACATTTGGTCTAAAGCCAGTCTTTTCAGAGACATTGAAATAAAACTCCAGAAGGCCAATGACTTCCAAGAATTTAAACCAATTGTTCCTTGCCTACCATCTGATTCTGTATTTGTGGATAGTGATGTCCCGAACAGTTCGCCCAGACCCTCCCACCTCCTGAACAGCTCACTAAGAATGCAGCTTCACAATGAATGTAAAATGGATGCTGTCCAGGAGGTGGGAGGGTCTGGGAGGGAGGGTCTGCTGCTGATTGGCTGGAATGTGTCTGCTGACTGTGAGGGACAGGGTCAAAGTTTACTCAATGATGACATAGGGGGCGGACCGAACAGCGCATATGTTCGCCGTCCGTGGCGAACCGTTTGGGACATCACTATTTGTGGACTATCTGCACAACATGTCGAAAAATATGAGGGCATCCTTCCTATTTGGTTTATACATCTATTTCTGCAACACACACTGACAGAGTTGTTAAAAAAGGCATAAATCATAAATCATGCAATCTTCAAATTCAAAAAATGACAAATTGGTCCATAGCCTATGGATTTAAAAAGTTGCACAGCCATAGTATTTGTCCTTTCCAACTAGTCGGTTTGTGTATGGTTTAGCTTGCTACGGCCACCGATATGTGTTGTCCTTTTGGAACTGGCTGCAGATTGCCGAAGCTTGTGGCACACATATATAATATCTGTTGTCTGTGCCACTCAATAGAAAGCTCCAAACTGCTTCAGCTAAACAACTTTTCATTGGTGTCAGAATAATATATGATCCTAACATGCAGAACTGCGGTTAATCCTAATAAAGACTAAGAACAGAAAGGATAGCAGCATTTTCTTGGACATTAAAAACAGTAGGCATAATGCAGTGTCTAAATATGTAGAACAGCCCAGAGAGTAAACCAGAACAGAGTACAGAATAATCGAGTACTATGTAGCGAAAGTGACCTTGCCACTTTTTTTTTCCAGGGGCCTGTTTGCCAGCCTCCTGCCCTGTGACTATGGCCCCTGTAATGAACTTTGGGTTAAAGATTCTGGTTGTGCCTCTTGGACTTCTAATAGGAACAATTCAAACACGTGGCGGTGGCCATCTTGTTTAGTCGAATGCATCCAGCGGTGTTTGGTCATTGAGTGCGTGGAACTCAAATTGGACACTTGACTGCACAAACACCGCTAAACTTTACCTTCCATGGATGTTCGGCTATTCGAACAGGAGTCGAACGGTGTTCGGTAAAAAGAAACTCACGAACAAGAGACATACACTGACTTTATTCACAAACGGCTATGTTCGGTATTTCGAACTGTAATTCGAATCCCCGAAGTAGACTGGCCGCACAGCCTGATTCTCTGGAACTGTTTTGAGCATGGGACCATGTGTCCTGGGTGACGGTACGGAGACAATCAGAGCCTGGTGCAGGGTAACCACACGCCCCCTGGAGTTGAGCACCAGGGTTTTTGCAGCCACATACCAGAGCCCTTATGCAGTTTCTGCGGATCCCAGGAGCTAGGTAACAATATGTAGACCGCCCAGGATCTGGATAGGGAGGCTCTGCAGCAGATATGTATCCAGTACTAGAAACAAGGCAAGACTAGAACAGGCACCAAACAAGATAACAAGACAAGACTAGGAGAACCCAGAACCGGAGAAGGCCAGAAAGCAGAGTCCAGAACATGTAAACAAGACATGAGGGAAACCAGAACAAGGCATGGAGGGGATAAGCCTGTACATGAACTGGGAAGACAAAATAAAACAAGACTGGGGGGCGGGGCCTGACCATCAAGACGAGCAGACGCATGTCTTGTCAGCTCCTGGGCAAATAGTGCTTTATTGCCCCAAAATCATTGTTTTCAGCCCACACCTGGCTTCCTGCCGCCGCACTTGGGCATCCTTGGAAGCAAAACAAGACAAGCAACTGTATGCCCATGCCGACTGACGGCCAATCGAACACTGCGGCCTCCTTTGTGGACAGGGCGGGAGAAGCGGCCGATCTTCCGATCCTGGCCTGGAGAGGCCAATCCTACACACGGCTGGCACCCGTACTCCCCCCCCTGTGGTCCGGTGGGGGTTATCCCGGACCCCACCAAAGAATCTCAGCACTCTGGCACAAACGAGCCAGCACAACTCCAATAAGCCTGACACTCTGCAGAGGCCCCAAGATGGCCGCTGCAAAGGAACCAGCGTGGCGAGGAGAAGCAAAGCTCGCCAACATGAACCCTGAAGAACCCAAGCCCTGTGTACCTCAAATACCCTCGTGGGAACTCAGATTCAACACAGCGTTCGACAAGCTCTGCACAGCCTTCTGGGCCCGAATAGAGGCTCGACAGCTACAGCAGACCCTTTCCTTACCTGCTCCTGGGGGGGCTCTCCGGCGTGAACCGAACGCGTCAAAGTCAAATAAGCAGAGAGACCGGATGGATGTCCAGCCCATCAAACACCCGCAGCCAAGTGAGCCCGTCAGTAATAGAGGCTCCCAGGGGGCGACGGGCACTGTCTATGCAGACGAAGAGCCCAGAGATAAAGAAGCACTGGAAGGCTTCACAGATCTGGCTCCTGGAGTGGAAGAACAGCAACACCTATGTGATGGCCTGCACGCTCTGGGGGACTCCCGACCAAGACCTGAGGATAAAGGAGGACTTGATCGAAACGGCCTGCCAACACGAAAACCCAGATTCCGCCTCCCTCACACATGTGGTATTGGCTGATATAGACTTGCAGACTGTACCTGTGTCATTCTCCTTAGTTGTTATTATTGCATTCAGTTTGAGTTTTTATTTAGTTTAAGATGCAGAGCCTGTTACCAAAGACATGAATAACCTTTTAGATATACTCCCCCACTAGCTTGCCAGACTTTCACCTTATGGCTAGACAAAATGTTCCTCACACTTGGTGTCCTTCTCCCATCTTAGATACGCTTCACCATCTCAACATATGACACCTCACTAAGGCAACCACTACAGCAGTCAGAGCATCAAGCCTAATTCACCCAGCCTAACAGTCTCTACTCCCTGACTGGTACAAGCATGTTTAATATGTTGATAAAATGAGAATTAACCTCATGTTGAGAAATATGTTTAGCCTGCCTTCCATAACACTTTAAATTGTGCTATTTGTCTTAGCATGATTACTAAATACCACAAATCGATGATGTTAAAGCTTGTTAAATCTATATTATAAAAATGTGCTATGTGAAATGTTATGACTATGCCTGCAGCAGCTGTCGTGGCTCTGCATGTTTACTGTTACTCCAAGCACAAATAAAATAAAGAATTTAAAAAAAAATTGGAGATTTAGACATACATAAATTGCCAAGATGTGTGCTGCCCACCACTGCGCCAAAGTACTCCAATTATGGTGGGTCCTAACTGCCTAGATATGGACGTGACACCATGTGTGTGTGTGTGGTCGGTCAAAATATGACTTCCATAGAATTCTTGAACCCCTGAACTGATCTGGGTGATTTTTGGATATGTTGGTCACCCAGATCAGGGCTATCAGGGGATGTAATTGTGGGGATACCATGTGTTTTTGCGGTACTTTTGGAGTTTTTTTTTTTTTTTAAAATAGGTGTTTTTTTCTGCCTGGAGATAATTGAATTGATACAGTATCTGACTCAATATACAGCATGTTTCCTATAATCGATATTGGTCTTGTAAGTTACCAGTTTTACAGTTAACTTACTCACCTCTCCCAGTCACCACACACTGAGTTCTGCTACCGGAAAAAATTAGATGCCACATCTCAGTGAGTGCCCGCATGTGGAGCTCATCTGAAGGCAGGGAAGGGAGACAGTGAAAAATCTACTGTACTGGGCTGGCTGACTGAGAGTGATAGAGGTGCTGTCAGCAATCACACTCCTATCTATAGCACCATTGAACATGCTGGGATCTCACTGATCCCAGCATTAGTGGCTGGATGAGAGTGATAGGAGTGTGGTTTCTCTCAGCATGTTCAGTTAATGCCAGATTTCTGTAGAAGTTTTGTTGCTTTTTCAAAACATTAAATGTATAGAATATCGTCAATCGGCCCAAAAGGTTGACCAATAATCTCTATAGGCATTGGCTCTGGAAAAATGTAATCATTGCAAACCTTTTTTTCAGGAGGGATGAATTTGCACTTTGCCATCAGACACTTCAATGCACAATTCAGGGTTTGGTAAGTTTCAAACAAATACTATCTGCCTGACTGTCACGACTGCTAGTGTGGTCCAACACGCAGAAACTATGTAATCATATACATAGAAATAAGAAAGGAAATATAAAGGACAGAACGTAAACCGGTCCTTAAAATGGCTGGACTAATACGTTAGAGACAGAGAATGGTCAAAGGAAAGCCAAGGTCAAGGAAGCCATAAAATACTCAAGTACCGTTTAAACAAGCCAAGTCAGGGATACCAGAAATTGGAATAACAAGAAATAGCCAAGGTCAAAATACCAGAATCTCAGAATCACAAGGATAAACGCACTCTCAGGAAACCAGGAACAGGAAACCACGACAGGGCAAGGTACTGGGGTGAATCAGGGATTTAAATATCCCTTTCTAGGCTCTGAGTGGTCAGAGGGTGACCTCTGACCCCAGAACGGGTGCGTGCGTGCGTGCGTTGATGTCGTGACGTCATGCGCACGTTCGTATAATTATAGGGGGCAGAGCTATCGATGGACACGCCCACATGGTCGGCGCCATCTTTGATTTGCCGGGGCAACGAGGAGGTGCGGTTCCCGGCTCGCCGCCGATCAGGTAAGCTCAGCATGTTGGCGCGGTCGTGCCGGTCAGGCACTGATGCGCATCGCGGCGAGCCGGGAGCCGTGACAGTACCCCCCACTCGAAGACTACTCACCGGGCGGGAAGGAGCCGGCATGAACCCGGTCAACAGGAACCCAACTACGTTCCTGATGGTGTGACGTACAGTTTGTCCAGAGGTTTCTCCAAGGGTGCCTGAGTTTGTTCTGCTATTATGGCACAGAAAAGTGGAGAAGACACTTCGAAAACCGTAGTAGCAATAAGACATTCTGGAGGTACGATTGGGAATATCTCTTGTTCAGGAACATCATCTGTCTCAAACTGTCTAGACAGCGCATCTGCCTTGGTGTTCTTGGTCCCGGGCCTGTATGTAATGACAACGTTAAATCGGGAGAGGAATAATGACCATTTAGCCTGTCGGGAGGACAGTCACTTAGCGTCCCCGATATAAGCCAAGTTCTTTTTTTTTTTTTTTATTTGACAATTTTTATTTTGTCATGTTTCAGAAGCAATATAAGGGGGATACAGAAATAAAAAAAGGGGGAGGGGGGGACACAAACGGTAGTGCTTACAATTACAAATCTCCACATTTGATATTGTTAACATTTTATATTTTTTCATTTAAAAAAATAAAAAAAACTTTTATCAATTTTTGTCTTACATATGTCATCAACATAGGTGTAAAACCTAAAGCGTGAAACTGATGGATAGGGAGGGGGTTACGGAAAGGAAAGGGTGAGGGGGGAAAGGAGTCCATATCATGCTTTTACATCAAGGTTTACAGTCACATTTATTAGGATCCATTAGTTGTGTCTCCTGCCTATACACACCCTGTGTCTTTTTACAATTCTCAATTTTGACTACTCTTACGGTTCTGTTCCTATCCTGTTACTTCTCGCTCGTTTGTCTATCTTTGTCTATTGGTTGCCTTTAGGGGCTCATCATGTCTAGTGGCTTGGTTGTTGGGGGTCTCTTGCTGGTCTCTCGTCCCATAACCTCCATGCTTCCATGGCCGTGTCTGTCAGGGGGAGAACCCCTCTATAGCGGGATTCATATAGTTGTTGTGTGTCAACGTCTCTGCACACCTCCGCTACTTGTGGGGGTCTACGTTTTTTCCATAATCTGGCTATTGCTCTCTGGGCTGTCAAGAGGATGTGGAAGGCTAGTTTCTGTACCTCTTTAGGTGTGTTGTCTGGCATGTGTAGCAGAAGGTATGTTAGGGGCGTATATGGGAGCTTAACGTGTGTGGTGTCTCGGATCAGGTAGCCAATATCTTGCCAGAAGCCGGCTATCTGGTCACATTGCCACCAGATGTGGAGTACTGTTCCCTCCTCTTTCCCACATCTCCAGCACGCTGGGGACGAGCCCGGGTATAGCTTGTGTAACCGAGATGGTACCATGTACCACCTATATAGAGTTTTTCTGTACTGTTCCAGGAGGGTCTCTGACTTGATTAGTTTTTTGGTCGCTACTATGGCACGTTCCCAGTGGTCTTTACTTATGTGGCCTTGTAGGTCTTGTGCCCATTGCTTGGCTGGGTTAGAGTCTACAAAGTGTTGTGTGGGTCGTAGAAGCTGGTAACACCAAGATAGCGGTTTAAACGCTGGTGCCCATGCACCTTTGGTGGTTGTTTGTTCCCATTTTGTCATACCGGAGGGACTTTCATCTGAGGTGGGAGTTTTATCTGTATGTTTATGGAGGAACGATCGTAGTTGCATGTGGGAGAATTGAGAGGCCACTGGTATATGGTATTCGTGCTGTAGGGCTGGGAAGGGTTTGAGCTTATTGTGTGTAAGCATTTGGTGCAGGTGTGTGACCCCGTTGGTTATCCACGGCTTGGCATTGAAGGTTGGGATACAGTATGTGATAGTGTTAAGCGGGGTGGCTGGTGACAGTGGAGTATGGGTTATTAGTTTATGTCTAACCTTGTCCCAAACTTTTAATGCTGTTTTAATCCGTGCTGGCAACTGTGACACTTCTGGCCTGAACCGATTTGGGAGCCACATTAAGGTGGGTACGTCGAAAGGCCTAGTAGCTAGTTTTTCCAGTTGCACCTACTGCGGTGCAGTCGTGTTTGTGAAGTGGGGAAGGAGTGCTGCTAGTGTAGCTGCTTGGTAGTATGACTTAATGTCTGGCAAGGCGAGGCCTCCCTGTCTCGCCGGTGCTCGTAGTAGTGTGCCCTGCACCCGGGCCTTTTGGCACCCCCACACGAATCTGTTAATGTCTTTTTGTGTGTCTCGGAGGTAGGATGCGGGTACCTGGATCGGTAGATTACGAAATAGGTATTGGAGCCTAGGGATTATGGACACTTTGATGGTTGCTACTCTCTCGGTCCAGGTCAGAAACAGTGTGCCCCATTTCTTCATTAGTTGACGACAGTCTCCCCATACCTTAACATAATTAGACAAAAATGTTTCTGTGGGGTTTTTTGTGAAGGTTAGTCCTAGGTATTTTATTGTGTCTGTTCTCCACTCAAAAAGGTGGACCTCTTTGAGGGCAGTCAGGGTTTTTTGGCTCAGCCGTATTCCCAACGCCTGTGTCTTGCTGGCATTGAGAGTGTAATATGACATCTTGCCATATTCCCTGATGAGGTCTAGAATGAGTGGGGTCGACTGTTCAGGTTCGGTAACACATATTAGGATATCATCTGCGAATGCGCTAATTTTAATGTCCCTACCGTATAGCTCTATTCCTTTAATACCCTTCTGGTTCCTGATTTGAATCAGAAGTGGTTCCAGGGCCAGGACATACAATAACGGCGATAAAGGGCATCCCTGCCTCTTACCATTCGTCAGAGGGAACGGGTCCGAGAGGAAGCCGGCTTGCAGCACCCGGGCCGTGGGACCTGCGTATAGGGCAAAGATCTGTTTAATAAATTCGGTGGGGATATCATATTTTAGAAGTGTGTGTTCAAGAAATGACCAGTTCAGACGGTCAAACGCCTTTTCGGCATCTAGGGCTAGTAGAAGCCCGCCCTGTCCTGATCCCTTCAGCTTTTCCAGCACCAAGGAGAGCTTTCTAGTATTGTCTCTGCCCTGCCTACTCTTAATGAATCCTGTTTGGTCATCTCCTATGATAGTTGGCAGGATATGTGCCAGTCTATTGGCTAGGATCTTAGCGTATATCTTCGCATCGGTATTGAGAAGGGAGATAGGTCGAAAGTTTTTGCAGTTGTCTGTAGGTTTATCAGGTTTCAGGAGTGTTACTATCGTGGCCACTAGCATTTCGGGTGGGAGGGATCCTGTTTCCGCCGCCGTGCGATATACTTTTAGCAGGTGAGGCGCTAGTGTATCTATGAACGTTTTGTAGTAAGTGTTTGAGAAGCCACCTGCGCCCGGGGATTTGCCCGGGGGCAGACTCTTAATTACCCCCCGGATCTCCTGTATGGAGATCGGTTCAAGCAAGGCGTTCACTGAGTTTTGATCTATTTTGGGCAGTTCGATATCTTGTAAGTATCTGCAAATAGAGTGTGTTTCTGGGGCTTTTGCGCCCCCGCTTGAATCTAGGTTGTGTAGCTGTTTGTAAAAGTTCCTGCACTATGTCCATGGGGTTCATAAGCTTGTCTCCTGTGTGTCCTATGAGATATGGGATTCTATTGGCGGCCTGTTTAGTTCTGAGTCTATTGGCCAGGTATTTGGATGCCTTGCCACTGTGGTGGTATGTGGTGTTTCTCAGTCTGTGTTTGCCAGCAAATATTCGCTAGGTTCTACCCTCATACGCTCTAAGAAAGGTTTGTCTAGGAGGAGAGACTCGTTTAGTCTCCATGTGCCCCTGCCTCGGGGTTGGTATGCATCCTCTAGGTCAAGATAGATCGGGCTATGATCTGACCACGTTATCTCTCCTATTTTACAGGTTGTCAGTTGTGGTAGGGTTTTGTTGTCTATGAAGAATGTGTCTCTGCGTGTGTAGGTGTTGTGGACCCTGGAGTAGAAAGTGTAATCCCGATCTGTAGGGTGTAACGTCCTCCAGCTATCATATAAGTTGTACAGGGTCAATGTGTGGGTGAGGGTTTTGCAGAGGGCTTGAGTCCCTTTTTTGTGTTTTCCCTGTGGCAAGGTGGTGGTGTCAAGGGTCGGGGACTGAATGAAGTTGAAGTCTCCTTCTTATATGAGCCCCCCATGTTTGTATGTGTCCAGTTTGGACAGGAGTGATTTGAGGAAAGAGATTTGATTGTCATTCGGGAAGTATGCTGCGCCTATGGTGTATTGTATATTGTTGAAGAGCCCTACCACTATGATGTATCTCCCTTTAGGATCTATGTAGCAGCTTTGCAGAGTAAAGGCTACGTCTTTATGTATTAAGATGGAAACCCCTTTCGTCTTTGCGTCTGATAGAGCATGGTACTGTATAGGGCAGTGATGGCGAACCTATGGCACGCGTGCCACAGGTGGCACGCCGGGCCCTTTCTGTGGGCACGCGGCCACAGGTTCGCCATCAATGCAGAGTAGGTGCCTGCCTGCCCGAAACGGCAGGCGCCTACTCTGCTTCCGGGTCGGGAGGCAGGGGGAGGGATCTGTGATGCAGCTCCCCTGTCCTCCCGCGCGATGCTGTGTGGAGCGTTGCCGCACGTTGCCATGGCAACGCTCCACATAGCATTGCGCGGGAGGACAGGGGAGCTGCATCACAGATCCCTCCCCCTGCAGTGCTTACCACCACCGGACCACCAGGGATGGCTGTGTCCCCCCCCCCTACTTCATTAAAGGTAAGAAGGAGGGAGGGGGGTATACTGACACACAGTACCCTTACCCCCCCAGAAGTAGCCCTACCCTCCAGCACCTCTACCCTCCCCAGCAGTACCTCTACCCCCCCCAGCAGTACCCCTAACCCCAGAAGTACCTTTACCTCCCCAGAAGTACCCTTACCCCCAGAGTACCCCTACCCCCCAGCAGTACCCCTACCCTCCCCAGCAGTACCTTTCCCCCAGAAGTACCCCTACCCCCAGCAGTATCCCTTCCCCAGCAGTATCCTCCCCCAGCAGTATCCCTTCCCCACACACAGTACCCCCCTACCCCCCCCACACAGTACCCCTACCCCCACGCAGTACCTACCCCCACACTTCCCCCCCACACAGTACCCCTACCCCCACACACACACAGTACCCCTACCCCCCACACACACAGTACCCCTACCCCCCACAGCACCCTTACACATACAACACACACACACAGCACCCCCCCACACACACACACACACACAGCACTCCCCCCACACACACACACAGCACCCCTCACATACAACACTCACACACACACACGCACCCCCCCCACACACAGCACCCCCCACCTCAATGCAGTATGTGTGTATTCAGCAGTGTGTGTGTGTGTGTGCGTGTATTCAGCAGTCTGTGTGTGTGTGCGTGTATTCAGCAGTCTGTGTGTTTGTGTGTACTCAGCGGACTGTGTGTGTGTACTCAGCAGTCTGTGTGTGTGTGTGTGTACTCAGTAGTCTGTGTGTGTGTGTACTCAGCAGACTGTGTGTGTGTATTCATCAGTCTCTGTATTCATCAGTTTTGTGTGTGTGTGTGTGTGTGTGTGTATTCAGCAGACTGTGTGTATGTATTCAGCAGTCTGTGTGTGTATGTATTGCATTTGTTGGAGATACTAATAAATATAAGCTTAATTTTATCTATTTATATCATTATTTAAAATTTGTATCATTGAACTCTCTGTGTTCTTTTAAAACAAAAGTTATTAGTTCGGACAACAGTACGAGTTGTTTTTTTCTAAACTTAAACCTCAGTATTTGGGTTTAATTGCCGTGTTGGCACTTTAAGGAGAAAAAAAGTTGGCATGTATTGCGGTTTGGGCACTCGGGCTCAAAAAGATTCGCCATCACTGGTATAGGGTATAGTTTTGTAAAGAGTGATGGGGCTATGGGGTGCCTAAAGTGCGTTTCTTGAATGCAAGCTATATCAACCGCGTTTTTCTTGAGGTCGTGTAAGAGCAACCTGCGTTTTCCAGGGGAATTTAACCCTTTAACGTTGTATGACATTATTCTCATTTTGGTGTAGTTATGTCAGGTACTGTTAGCATTGATATCTGTGTATGTAGGATTACACACTCTTTCTCGTGTACAATATTTCGGTATGTGCCTTTGTGTGACAGTTCGATGCGGATGACTGGTACAAGAGGTGATATGGAGGCAGGAGGGGGACGGGGTAAGGTCAACCTTGACTGTTGGCCTTGTGTAGTGCACCTGGTAGTTGAGGGAGAGGGGAGGGGGAGGAGGGCAAAGCCCTTTGAGGCTCCTCTGGGTCGAGCCTTTTTGCGGCACCCAAGGGACGCCCGCAGTTTAGGGGGTTGGTGATCTTGGGACTTCCTGTTAAGGTGTATGTCCCTTCAGCCCGCACACACACACTGGGGCACAATGGGTGCTCATGCGGTTAGCTTATGGTTTTTTGGTTTTTTTTGACAACCTGTGGGTCTCTGGTGTCCCGACTCCCCAACCCTTGGTGATTGGGCAGTGTCATGGTCCAACCGAGAGTATGTCTCGTTGTGTGCTTGTCGGCTCTGAGTGGGAGGAGGTCGGGGGGGCCCCGGTGGTTACCCATGTGTGTCTCAAGTGAAACAATATGACAGGAAAGTACAAAATTACATAATAAGTATAACAAAATAACTGGTACCTTTACATGTACCGCTCAGGTATGGAGTTCCTTTAACGGGATGCCCAGTCCTGGGCCAGGCGGGGAGTTTTCGTCAGGCCTGTGTTTGGTAACTCAGCCAGCGGAATACCCCAGTCTCTGAGCAACTTTATGCCTTGTGGCGCTGACGTGATGGAGTGGAGGGAATCTTGATGGTATATTAGCAGCTTAGCCGGGTAACCCCACCTGTAGTTTAGTCCCTGGTTTCGCAGCGACAGTGTGATTTGTGCCACAGATTTGCGGTATTGCAAGGTCTCCGCCGAGAGGTCGGAAAAGATTTTTATGGTAGAGAATTTCTCTGGCATCCCTCTGTTCCTGCTTGCCTTGATAATTCTTTCTTTGGCATGAAAGAAGTGTACTCTTGCTATGACGTCTCTCGCAGCCGTGTTGGGTAGGTGGCCAGGTCGTCTGAGTCGATGCGCTCTGTCTAGCAGCAGTTGGTCTGGGTGCAGTTCGGGGGTCATCTGCTGGAACATGTCTTGTAGATATTTTTCCAAGTCAGCATTTGTTACTGATTCTGGTATTCCCCTAAATCTGAGGTTATTCCTCCTGGATCTGTCTTCCAGGTCTGCTAGCTTGAGTTTTTGAGCTGTAATGACGTCTTCTAATTCTTGCAGTTTATCCGCCACACTTTTATGGGCCATGGAGAAGTCGTCCATCTTGGTCACTAGGTGTGCAGTACGGTTTTCTATGTCCTGTATGTCCTTTCTGATTTCAGCCGTCAGTGTCAGCATTTGGGCCTTAAGGCTCCTCTGTACTGTGCTTGTGAGCTCAGCCATCATGCTCCTCATAGTGGCCACTGTGAGGGGCTGTTCCTCAGTGCTTATGTCTGGGGAGGCTGGGGATGTAGGTGAGCCCTCCCGCGATCGCAGTGGGCCGCCATCTTGTTCGGCCTCTTCCCGCGCTTTTTGCGGCGCGGCTTTTGCCATAAAAAAGGCCACTTTGTCTGCCTTCGTGGGCTTGGTTTTCAGCCTTTGGGACATGGTAGGTGTTTGCTGTGGTACTTGCTTTTTCTGACGCTCGGTAGTCTGCTTAGTTTGTGCTCCGTGTGTTCTGAGCGGCGGGAGCTACTCCGGCATGCGACCATGCAGCTCGAGCGCCAAGCCACGCCCCCAAGCCAAGTTCTTTTGATTGGTGAAAATAAAAAAAAGGCTATTTGGAACCTTCGAAGAAATGCCTCCATTCTTTAAGGGCAAGTACAATGGCCAGTAATTCCCTATTCCCAATGTCATAATTCAAGAGAAAAACCCACAGGGATGTAAAGGCGCATCATGACTTTCTCTTTGAGACAGAATGGCTCCTACTCCCGTTTCTGACACATCTACTTCTAAGATAAAAGGTTTGGTCAGATTGGGGTGCGTCAGGACGGGTTTTAATTTCTCGAATGCTTCCTTTGTTTCCTTGGGCCATGAATTGCAATTTGCTCCTTTTTTGGTAAGGTTGGTAATAGGAGCGATTACCGATGAGAAACCCTTAATGAATTTGTGGTAATAATTAGCAAATCCTACAAAGCGTTGTATAGCTTTAAGACCCTTAGGTAACGGCCATTGCAATACTGCCTCCAGTTGGGTAGATCCATTTTGAATCTCAGTCTGGTCAAATTGGCATTTTTCAAGCTTGCAATATAAGCCGTTCTCTAACAAGGTCTTTGATACGATTCTCACATGTTCGTGATGTGTTTCTAGGTCTGGGGAATAGATAAGAATGTCTTCTAGATACACTAGTACGAACATGTGGAGGTAATCTCTAAGGACATCGTTTATAAAATCCTGAAATACCGCTGGGGCGTTGCACAAGCCAAACGGCATAACCAGGTATTCATAATGTCCCATTCTCGTATTAAACGCTGTCTTCCACTCATGTCCTTCCTTAATTCTAACTAGGTTGTATGCACTCCTTAGGTCGAGTTTAGTGAATACTTGGGTACCTTTCAACCTGTCAAATAGCTCAGAAATAAGAGGAATGGGGAAGGCGTTTTTAATCGTTAGTTTATTCAGACCCCTATGTGGCGGAACCAACCTCGCCACTGGACATTGGAGAAGCTTGTTTACTCGCCTCCTGCCGCTAGACTATGGCCCCATGTTAAAACTGGTATTTTCCCCTGCAGAAAGGCTTGTTCGTGCATTTCTGCCTGGCCATTGGGTAGATTGAATCAACCTAACAAACAAGGAATGACGACCACCTGGGAATGATGTGTTCCGTCAATTGACCGTCCAGAAGCTGCAGTTAACCGCAGCTTAATTGAAGAACGCTGGGTGGCCTTTGTTCGTTTGCCGAACACGTGGCACTGGCCATTTTAAACTCCCGAACGGCCAGCAGTGTTCAGCTCCAAATCTATGGAACTCAAAACGGACACTTATTTGCACGAACACCGCTGAGCCGCCGACCACCATTCTCTTGCAAAGAAACGAACACCAGTTCATTCGGGACTTTCATTAGCTGAACAATGTTACCCCGGATAGCTATGCCATGGAGCCCATACATATACTGAAAGACTTTGGCTCCATGGCGATTGGACTGTATGTATGTGATCTGAGCGCCATTCGGTAATAATGTGCGCTCAGATCTAAGCTATCTGGGCATGTGTTGAATGTACCAGTTTTATGCAATAGCTGCACAGTTATGTATTTTTGTGTGATTTTATGTCTTTTGCTAACATGTGACTAATGGAGTTTTGTCTCTGTTCTTGGAGATAATTGGATTACTTCCCAATTATCTCCAGGACAGAGAGGAGGGATTGTAATGTACTGTGGGAGTGTTTTAGCCCTGTATGTCTGTGATTTGTCAGTTTACCATTTGTGTCCCAGTCTTCCATCTGGTCCCCTAGGGGAGTGTCCACCAGGTGGGAGACCTGCATAAAAGCCGGGCAGGTAGCCCCAGTAAACCAGATTCTGCTTGACCCTCATCACGAAGTGTCGTCTCGTTCTTGGGGGAAATTTGATTGTATGCTGTTACAGTTCGACTGCCAGGAGTGTAAGCTGTTCGTATGGTTTTTCCTGTTCGGCTGTTTACAGCATTCGTGTGTTTCCTGTTTGGGAATTGGAGTATTCATGTGTTTGCAGTTCGGGAGATTGGTTATTGCAGTAGCTGCTCGTCTATCTGGAAGGGGAATATTGCCTAAATGGATTTTACCCTTTGTGTGCCTGGGGGACAAGCAGCGGGATCATTCCCACAGCCCAGAGGGACAGCTACAGAGCAAGCATGACGTCCTGGTGTGAGAGGAACAGCACTCTGGAGACACCGGAATTATTCTGGAGCGGTATAGAGCCAGCGAATCCCTGGATAACGCTCAAGGTGGAAAATGTGTTTAACTGGAGGTTACAGAGCCTCTTGGCCCCACTGGTTAAGCCAATATCAGAGGCAACCAGGTTGGACTGCAGAGAGGGCATCCAAAAAGAGATGTGGGACAAAACTCTGGAGGGTGTCCAACATTGGCGAGGTGAGCGTCTCCCCAGCGAGGAGCAGCGGCTACAAGAGGGTGACCTCTGACCCCAGAACGTGCATGTGCGTTGACGTCGTGACGTCACGTGCACGTTCGTATAATTATGGGGGGCGGAGCCATTGATGGACGCGACCGCCCGGCGGAGGAGCGGTTCCCGGCTCGCCGCCGAGCAGGTAAGCTCAGCATGTTGGCGTGGTCGTGCCGGTTGGACACCGACGCGCACGGCAGCGAGCCGAGAGCTGTGACACTGACCTCTTAAAACTACAATTTAAAATAATACTTTAGAAAATGAATTGCTTCCACTTTTGCTTCAGTGAGGATTGCCATTTTTCGTGTTTCAACATAGCAGTGCCCCTGTGAAAAAAGTGAATTCCATACAGAGCCAAGGAAGAACATGAGTTGGCAATAGTCCTAAACCTAAGCCCATTAAACACTTTTGAGATGCATTGGAATGCATTCAGTTAGCCAATCTAATTCTTCAAATATTGGTGCCAACCTCACTAATGATTTTGTGGCTATATACACTGACCAGCCACAACATTAAATCCACATGCCTAATATCATGTTGTTCCCACTCATGATGCCAAAATAGCTCTGATGCATCGAGTCATGGACTCCACAAGACCTCTGAATGTGTCCTGTGGTATCTGGCACCAAGACATTAGCAGCAGATCCTTTAAGTCCTGCACGTTGCTAGGTGAGGCCTCCATGCATTGGATTAACTGCTCCAACACATCCCACAGATGCTCAATAGGATTGAGATCTTGAGAATTTGGATGTCAAGGCAACACCTTGAATGCTGAACAATGTTTTCAGTGTGGCAGGGTGCATTATCCTTCTGAAAGAGGTCACTGCCATCAGTGAAAATCATTGCCATGAAGGGGAGTGCATGGTCTGCAACAATCTCTAGGTAGGTTGTATGTGTCAAAGTAAAAGCCAAATGAATGCCAGGACCCAAGGTTTCCCAGGGCATAACACTGCCTACATCAGCCTGCCTTCTTCCCATGGTACATCCTGCTGCCATCTCTTCCCCAGGTAAATGGTGGACATGCATCGAGCCATCTACCTGATCTAAAAGATAATGGGATTAATCAGACCAGGCAACCTTCTTTCATTGTTCCATGGTCCTGTTCTGTCACTCACGTCCCCATTGAAGGCACTATTGGCATTGAACAGGGGTCAGCATCGGCACTCTAACAGTTCTGCGGCAACACAGCCCCATAACCTGCATACCACTGCATGCCAGGAACACTTCATAAGATTTGCCGTTTTGGACATGTTCTGACCTGGTCATCTACCAATCATTATTTGGCCCTTGTTAATCATTCAGATCTTTTTGCTTTTCAATTTTTTTCTGCTTCCAACACATGAAATTCAAGAACTGCCTATTCACCTGCTACTAATATATCCCATCCCTCGACAGGTACCATTGTAACAATATAATCAATGTTATTCACTTCACCTGTCATTGGATGTAATATTGTAGCTGATCAGTGTAAGTACTACAGTGTGTTGTAGTGGTTGGTGTACCAGGAGTTGCCTGAAATCTCTCTATGGTAAAACTTCACCTATCAGTGTTTTTATGTACTAATGTTGTGCCTGATCAGTGTATAAACAAATTTTGCAGCAGCGTTCCACCATTTAGTGGAAGATTTCCAAGAGGAATGGAAGTTATTAAACAAGTAAGTTTAAAGGGACACTATAGTCACCAGATCAACTACAACTTAATGTAGTTGTTCTGGTAAGTATAATCATTGCCTTTAGGCATTTTCATGCAAACACTGCCTTTTCAGAGAGGGACACCTCCAAGTGGACACTCCTCAAATGGCCACTGGAGGTGCTTCCTGGCTCAGTGCTGCATAGTAGACAGCACTGCCGTTCAGTGTCTCCACGCTCTGCATGGAGGTGCTGAATTTTCCTCATAGAGATGCATTGATTCAATGAATCTCTATGAGAAATTAGGAATGCTATTGGGAATTGAGAACGCATTGGATTGGCTAAAAATCGGCAATTCTGATGATGTCACCAAGGAGGCAGGACCAGCACAGGCGGACCCGTGTGGCGCTGGAAATAAGATGCGTTTTAACACCTTCTAAGGAGGGGGGGGGGGGCAAGCCAGCTAAATGGTGGGTTAAGCACTATAGGGTCAGGAATACATGTTTGTGTTTTTGACCCTATAGTGTTCCTTTAGATACTATAAGGGCCAGGAATACAAAGCGTGTGTGGGGGACAATGTGTGTATGTGTGTGGGGAGCAATGTGTTTATTGGGGGGTGTGTGTGTATGGGTGGGCAGTGTATGTGTGTGTGTGTAGTAAAATGTGTGTGGGGGGTGCAGTGTATGCGTGTGTGTGGTGAGCAGGGTAGGGGGGCTTTGTTATAATTTTTTTAAAATAAAAATAAATACATTTTATGTCACCCCTCCCTTCTTACCTTTACTGAGGGAGGTGGGGGGACATTTCTCGATCCCTGGTGGTCCAGTGGGGAATCGCTGGTGGTCCCAGTGGTGAGAGTGAACTCTAGTCTGTGCTCGCGAGAGAAGGACCCAGAGGAACTGCAGGCTGAGCTCCTAGGTCCTCTCTCCCTCCCCTGCCGGCTGCCAGCACGGTGTCTGCGGACCGGGGAGGGAGATCACTGATCTCCCCTCCGGTCCTTGAAGGCATATTGCAGGGCTGGCTCTTGGACTGTGCCAGCCCTGCATTAGCCAGCAGGGGAGAGCCTCGGGGAGAGCCTCGGGGAGACGAGAATTTCCCCATTGCCCCCTTCTCAGCTCCCCGAATCCGCCAGTGCCGTTGGTGAATAAATGGTTTAGAACTATTTTATTTACTTACCTTTCCTCAGTGCCGATGTCCCACCTCCCACGATGTCCTGCAATGAGCGAGCCCTAACGCGCATGCACGGCAAATGTTGCGTGCGCATTAGACCTCCCCATTTTTCCTCCCCATAGGAAAGCATTGAATCATTCAATGGATGTCCTCATGCAGAAGGTCCGTTTGGATCTAGAAAGTGCCTCCAGTGTCTGACTAGCAGAGAGCCACTGGAGGCAGACTTAGTGCTGCAATGTAAACACCGCAGTTTCTCTGAAACTGCTATGTCATTACAGCACTAACTGCAATAGGGACACTGTACCCTAACCACTTCAATGAGCTGAAGTGGTCTGGGTGCCTATACTAGGAGCAGGAGAGATTTTAATGCTAGAGCATGTGCTATTAACAGTTTTCCATAGCTTAATTTTGTCTTGACGAAAAAGGCAGGAAAGTCACAAAATCCGTTAATGTTTGTTGCTAAACTTTAGAAGACAACTTCCCATCATTTAACACATATTAATGTCTTTATTGTTACTATTATTATTTTAAATTTGAGTTGCACATTGCATTGTCTAGTTATATTGTTGTTTCTTTAAATAAGAACTGTGAATGAAATGATGTCTGATCACTAGGAAATGGTATTCGTAATAATACATTAAAATAATGCAAACAAAAATAAAACTGCATTTAAAAGTTTCTTATTTGCCTCCGATCTTCAGTATCTGCAAAGATCATGATGTGGCTGATATTTGTTAGCATATCTTAATCTTCCAGTTGTTTTAAATGAGATACATGTACAAAGCAATCTTAATAGTTTAATTTTTTAATAGTCTATTAACGATGTGTATTTGTTTTTTTTTTGGTCTGGCAGTGCCCTAATTTTGCAATGTGTTTTTGTGTTCACCACAAAAAATTCTCTCTTTAGAATATTTTGTTTTGTTTCTTTGTGTTTGTGAAATTAATTTCCCCCCAAAAAAGCAATAGGAGCATAGATTTTCGGAGGTACTCGTTCGGAGTGCAAGGCGGTCCGTCAAAGTCTTTTAATAAAATTCTTTATTTATGTCCATCAGCCAATGAATACATTGCCAATAAAATCAGATCATCGTATACCATACATTTCTTCACAAGTTATGTATACAGTGACAGGTTATACAAATAGCATTGCATTGCAAGTGGCAATCCCTTATAACCAGAATGTGATATGGTGTCTCCATTCCCGTAGGGTACCCCCGGATGAGAGCATTTTAACAACATAGAAATAAAAACAGGTGGGGATGGTGTGAGGGGTCACAACAAGGGGGGTAAGTGGCATAGGTTCTGCCTGATATGCTCCCCCAAGTGGGTTTCTTCACGGTGTTACCATGGTCTTTTTGAGGACATTAAAACTAAATAAATATACATATGAAAAAACTAAAACCTCAATCTAACTTTGGCCTCTACTTAATAGTGCTGGATACGCTTCCAAAATGATTTTATATTCTTGGATAAACATTTAAAATGATTTCATATTGTGAAAAATCTTTTAACTTTGTAATTTTTTGATAAATTGATATGTTTTTTATATTTTGAAATAACCATTTTAAACGGTTATACAAATATTATCTCAGTTGGAAAGCTTATCCAACAATATTAAATTGAGCCTTTTTTTTGCTCTTGTCCTTGCTCACTGTTTTTGTATCAGTATTGGTATTGCTGTTTTTGCAACAGGTTTATAAATTATTTTTTATTTTTGCTGAGGAGTTTTTTGTCGTTTTGTAGTCACTAAAAAGTAAGAATTCACAGGATACATTCACAGGATACATTGTATAAATTGTTATGCGTGTCTGTACACCTTTCAGGATTTTCCCTGTTTATGCACTGTATAATTCATAGCTACATGGCTATATTTATGATTGTCACCATCCTACCTTGCCATATCTAGTCAGTTAAGAGATCTTCACATCCGACACTTTTCATTGTTCAAGTAACGTTTAGTTCACTTATCGTTTTTATTCTCCCCCTTTCTTATTTCTCTAACCCTTATTTGTTGTGGGGTTTTTTTTTTGTTTGTTTTTTTTGGCATAACCCTTGTATTTCTGAACCACTCCTGCTTTTAGCTGGCAGTCCTACATCCCCTAAATGCTTCATCACCCTCATTGGATCTCTTTTTTCTATCTGCAAAACACTATACATTCCAAACCGTCTTTTCTGCCAGCTGCACATTCAACTGGTACTTAGAGACAGAATGTGTAGCAATGTGATGAATGCAACCAGTTCAAATAAATAAACAAGCAGAATGTTTGGAATGAGTACTGTATCTTAGAGACTTTACCTAATACAGATGAAATACGGTAAGTGTGCAGCAGGATTATTATATATATTTAGATATAGAGACAAGAACATATACAGACAAAATAAAAATCACACAGATATTGTAGCAGTCTTGTCAATCACACCATCCAGAGCAGGTGCTTTGTAACCCAATGTAAAAAGAATGGCATTTTATTTAAGAAATGTGGCAGAATATGACAAGAAATTAAAAACATGAGATTACATGTCATTCTGGTCTGGTGGCCATATTTTTCTTTAGAATCACCAAACTTAACCAGGAATTGTGGAGTATTGTAACCTCATTTGACAAGGGCCCTCATCGATCTCTGTTCCTTTTATTAATGTAAACATTAGACTTGGGCACTGCCAGAATTTTCATTTCATCCGAATAAAAATTTGTTTTATCCAAACCGAATATTGTCCATTTGTTCATTCATTTTCAGATGAAAGTCGGGCATTATATTGGATATTTCTTCTGATGAATGAAATTCTGATCTGTGCTGCAGACCGTGGCTGTATTTTGCAGCCAATTAGTAGATAACTCCCTAAATTGGTACAGTAGTGGGTTTGCAATATTTTGGTTTACCAAAGTAGGGTACGGTTTAGTAGATAGTTTCTGTTTGGTATCCTTATAGCAATCCAAAAAGGATTATCTACTAAGAAGCTGAAAGACCAAAATTACAAAAGCACTTGCTTTTAGGGGCACAGCTGCTCTCTGTTATAAAAAATTAGAGTGCTCTGACAGACAAATCTAGATAAATTTTGAGTCTTACCTATCAGCCTCAAGATTTATCTGTGAGAGCACTTAAGCCAACCAATCAGAGCGCTCTGAGTCAAATTGCATGGCGCAGAAAAAGCTTTAAGGCTTTTTCTGCCCTGCAAGCTCAGTCTGTGCGGAGCCCATGTCCAGGTGAAGATTAATTATTGGGGGGTTTTCTGGGGGGGGTTGTTCTTTTTTTTTTTATTTTAAATATTAGAAGGAGGGAGCCATGGTAGCTCCTACCTTGTAATATAAAACAAATTGCAGGATGAAATTTCATCCAACAAGCAAATCATTATTCGTTTCATTTGTTGTAATTTATATTCGTTCATTAGTCTTTCGAACGAATGGACAAATAGCCAAAATTGTGTTCATGCGAAAGTGAATGCCCAAGGCTAGTAAACAATACCATTCCGGCAGATTGGCATTGTTTTCAGTTGCAGGGTTAAGAATACAAGGGCGTGACACTTTTTTGTTCCTAAAATAAGTTTTTATTATTCTTGACATGCATCATTGTATTTTCAGTATTTTGCTCAGTAAATTATATAACAGAATATTCAGAGGAATATATTTACAATTGAATATTTGTTTTAGTCAATAAGGCATTTTCACATTAGCACGATGATAAAACAGGTAAAATGGCTTCTTTTAATCCTGCCCTGTTCCTATTTTACTTGCCTGTTGGCTATAAGAGATGCCAAAATCTTTATCATAGTTGCTAGGATACAGTATATTATACTGTCACAGTCTAGTGACGTTACTATGGAGATGTGGTTTTATTGCAGTTCTCTTGAGTTTAGGTGTAACATGCCTGTGACATCAGAATATTACTCAGACATTGCTCACTCTGAAAACATTCTGTATACTTTTGGTTTAACTATCCTGATCCCAGAGGAGCACATTGATGGTTTTATGCTGCAGTGAAATGCTTTCTTATCCTTTTGAATTGAATAAAGTAAAGGTTATGAAGATTTCTGTAAATTGATGTATGTTTTACAGTTATTCCGAGGATGTTGAAAAGGAAGCCCATGAGCTCCTTAGCAAGGATGTTCCACAAAATGCAATACATGTTTTATTAAGAAGATTTCCTGATTTAAAAAAATGGAACATGCGTTAAAGGCTCTTGGATTGTTATATAAGCTTACACCACCTCTATTACTCTATATATCTAACAGACCACATTCTCTTCTCTGAGGTTGCTTGCAGTTACAATTTTACAGCCCCTTTTTAAATCCATCTACTTTTGTTTTCTTCCCAACCTGTTTCCCAGCATTTTGTTTGAGAATAGTGCACTTTTGTACAACATGCTAGTTACTGACTATGCATAGTGCATGAGTAAGCGCACTATGTTTATGTTTTAAACAGTATGCTGTACATATAGGAAAGACCCACTGCTTGCAGATAAGCTGAGTGACTTAATATACTGTTTGACTTTGCTTGCTTATAAGCCCTGGAAATGAAGTGCCAAACCTGTAAGCTTCATGCTACATCCAGAGAGTAGCTATCATATGTTTAAATAATTCCTAACTAGTTAGGTTGCCATCAGGGCCGGTGCAAGGATTCCTGCCGCCCTAGGTAAAAGATCCTTTTTTCCGCCCCCTCATGTCACTCATGGACATACACATACACTCACTCACTGACACACACACATAGAAATTCACTGACAGACATACACTCACTCACTGACAGACACACACACACAGACACTTACTGACAGACATACACTCACACAGACACTCACTGACAAACATTCACTCACTCACTGACAGACGCACACAATCACTCACTGACAGACACACACACACACACACACAGACACTCACTGACACATTCACTCACTGGCAGACACACACACACACTTACTGACAGACACACACACACACACAGACAATCAATGACATTCACTCACTGACAGACACACTCACTGACCGTCAAACACTCACTGACACACAGACTCACACATTTTTTTTTTTTTAGGCCCATCCAGCCTCCCTGGAATCCAGCGTCGGGCAGCTCCTCACTCCTCCCACCCCCTGTTTAGAATGCCTGGGCCAGAATGACGTCATATTCCGGCTCCCGGCAGCACAGAGGGTGTGCAAAGGATTAGTGGGAAGCTGCAAGAAGAGGCTCCCCCGCCGCCTGCCTTCTCTTTCTCCTGGCTCCTCCGGTCACCTGCATTTGTTGGCAGAGCAGGCACCTGTCATCAAGATAAGGGGCAAACTGGGGGCGCCCTGAGGTGGCCAGAGGCCACCTCCTGGGCCCCCTGTGACAGGGCTCACCTGGGCACCCCACCTTCGGGGCACCTGGAGGAGCGGCCCTGTGCTGGGGGTGGTCCCAAGACAGGGGTCCAAATATCCCGGGGGGCGCCCCCAGCAGGCCGGCACCCTAGGGGAATGGTTGCCATAGATTTCAAACAACCAAATGAGATTTTAAATGGATGATAAAAATATTAATTATTTATGGCTTTATTTAAAGAATAGTGGCAAAAAGTCAAGAAAATGAATTTAAATATCTTTTGTTCATCTGCACTTATACTTTATACATGCAGACAGTCAGTATCATGCACATATTAATCTTAAAGGACCAGTTTGGGCGTCTTAACAACTTTATTGAAATTAAGTTGTTATGGAGCCAAGAGGTCCCTGGCCCAGGCTCACCTTTAAGGGTCAAACCATTCTCGAATGGTTTAACCCCAAAGTCTGTGTTCTGGCACCTGATCACTCTGCGCCCCTGTCCTTCCACTACCTTAAATTCTAAATAACAGAAGACTTGGCAGAGGATCCAATGATTGGCTTTGAGCGGTCAGTTAACGCTCTAAGCCAACCAAAGCTCCCCATTCATAAAAAGTGACGTAAATTATTATTTTGTTATTTTTTTTTATTTTGATGCTTAGAGCAGTGGTTCACAAACTTTTTAATGTTTTTACAAGGCGCCCCAATTTTAAACAATTTCCTAGGTTGTATATATGTTCAGCACAGCGGCATATACTGGGCCCTTGTTTTGCAGAAATACTTGCCGTTCAAGCGCAGATCCAGAACCTAATCTTGGGAGGGCACTGGTAGATTATTTAAAGAAACTTTGTAGTGGTTATGGTGCCAATAGTGCCCTCCCAGAGTAAGTAGTCATACTGTTTGAGAACAGTTTGACAACTTACCTGGAATCCGCGGGATAGGGTCTGTAGTAGGGGATTGGGGCAGTGGTGTGTGTGAGGGGTGCAGTGTGTGTGTGGGGGGGTCAGTGAGTGTACGGGGATGCATTGTGTTTGTAAAGGATGCAGTATGTGTGTGTGAGGGGTACAGTGTGTGTGTATATACGGCAGTTTGTGCGTAAGGGCTACAGTGTGTGGGGTCAGGTTGTATGAGAGTACAGTGTGTATAGGGGGAGTTGTCTGTGGGGGCAGAGAAATATATGCTTTTATTTTTTAATTTTAAAAAAATTATTATTTTTCATATCCCCCCTCCCTTCTTACCTTTGCCTGGGAGGGGGGACTGTATAAGGTCATCCCTGGTGGTACGGTGGAGAAGGCCTGGTGGTCCAAGTGGTGAGAGTGAACTCTCGCGAGATTCGAAGCGTTGCCATGGTAACAGCGGCAACACTCCTAGCTTGCAAGAGGAGAATCCGGCGGAGCTGCAGGTTGAGCTCCCCTGGGTCCTCTCTCTCTCTCTCCCTGCCGGCTTCCAGCATTACACTGCATTACACTGCTAGGGGGCCAGTGATCTCCCCTCTGGTCCTGCAGAGATGGCAGGGAACAGTGGGGCACACAGTTTGGGAACCGCTGGCTTAGAATATTATTTTAATTGCAGGACTGTTCTGCATAATGTGGCATTAATAGAAACCCTAAGCTAAAAGGGTCACTCTAAGCACCATGATCACTTTATTTTACTAGTGTATAGTAGTTTTTTTTTTCTGTGTGTATGGCCACTTCCCAGTGCTGTCAATCAGACAGCTGAAATATTTTCTTTCAGGCTGCCAGTGTAATTTTTGTGCATCTTATGCATTTGGTCTCAGCACATACAGCACCTACTGCATGCTAACACCAGATGCCTTAGACAGGTTGTCCAAAGTTAAAGGATCACTATAGTGTCAGGAAAAAAAATTGGTTTTCCTGACACTGTAGTACCCTGAGGGTGCCCCCACCCTCAGGGTCCCCCTCCCGTGGTGCTGAAGAGATTAAAACCCCTTCAGTTACTCACCTTCTTCCACCGCCGGGCTCCCTTACCTCTCCTCCCCCTGCCGCACGCACATTCAAAGTGTCCATAGGAAAGCATTTTTCAATGCTTTCCTATGGACTCTTTGCGTGATGGAGGCATTAAATGCCTCCAGCGTCGCAGATGCGCCTCTAGTGGCTGTTCTAGTGGCAGTTCTCTGAAACTGCTATGTTTACATCAGGCAGGGTTAACCCTAGAGGGACCTGGAACCCAGACCACTTCATTGAGCTGAAGTGGTCTGGGTGACTATAGTGTCCCTTTAAGTGTTATACATACAATTTCAAAGCTATTATCTGGCTCTCAGGCAACTAACACTTCCTGGTAAAGAAAAAAGGTGAATCAGTTCTGAACGTTGACCTCTGTCTTATCTATATGCAGAGGTCAGATGAAAACAAAAAGCCACTATATTGGTAATTTATGTCAAATCAAATCGAGTCATGAAATTGCCTGTCACTGCTGGACTTCAACTCTTAAAATGATAGGAGCTGAACTATACATCTAACTAGCTAGTGCCTCTATGTAATTAGCTTGTGCGGAATAGAGCTACAATCAACCTCATCCAGTGGTTGGCTAAGTGTTATCAGAATTTTATGTAGCAAATAACCATTTTAATGGATAAATAAAAAATAATACTTAAATAAACACTGTAGCACTAAAAATACAAACATGTATTCCTAATGCTAAATGGCTTTCCAGTATATTTTGATTATTAGCTCCCAGAATCAAACACAAATTTATTTTTTTACTCGCCTTGGCTACACCAGCATGCTGGTCTCACTGTGGCCAGCCTGCCATCTCAGCTAAGTTCATCAATCCTGACATTCTCAGCCAATTAACTGCTTCCCCATAGGGGAGGTTAGCGTGCACATGCAGCATATTGCCGCTCTTCACCAATCAGCATCTCCTCATTGGGATTTAAGCAATGCATGTTTATGGGAGTCATTTGGCATCTCCATGCAGAGTTTAGTAACACTGATCATCAGTCCTGTAATCTTTGCAGGATGCAACCCATGAAACTCCTCTAGTGCTGTCGAAGTGACATCCACTAGAGCATGGATAGGCACCCTTCGGCACTCCAGATGTTGTAGACTACATCCCCCATAGTGCTCTTACACCTATAATGCTGGCAACGCATCATGGGAGGTGTAGTCCAAAACATCTGCAGTGCCAAAGATTGCCTGTGCCTGCAATAGAGGCAGCAATGTAAACTCCATAGACAGTCTTTATGGCCCATAACCACTACATTTTGCTGTTGTAGTTCTTGTGTCTATATTGTCCCTTTAAAAACAGCATTTAAACTAACGCAGCCATAAACAACCAGTGAAGCTCAATAAAACTACCCACCTCTATGAGAAGCTTTGGACTCAAGGTTTGTAATCAATACTTTACTATGTAAGTAAGTACTGGTCAAAAAGAGAGCAGATTAAGCGATGAAGACCACCTGAACCAAGGACTATTGTTTTTTCATGTTTTCCTTTCTTTTCATACTTATTTTAGTTGGGTTTTACCCCCTGTTTTACATACACAGACCTATGATAATACAGAACCCAGGGTTTCCTGCACGCACAAGGCAGGACTGTTACCCGGCGGCCACCCTCCGCTGAAACCCGGCATAACCTGGATATGCTGGCTCCACTTCATCACCTACCCCCCCAGCTCCTATCCAACCACCTCATAATTTGGTTATTGACAGGGAGCTGTTTATACACCACACCAGGTACCACGTCGGTAACCTCTGTTAACTCTTGTTGCCTACGGCAGCCTAGGCTATGTGTTAGCCCCTTCCTCTTATATTGCCTTACGAGCCCCCACGTGGCCTATAACGGAGGTTTCTCTGTACCCGTACATCAAAGGCATATTGGCCTTCTCCCCTAGGGGGCATGGTTCCCACTAGATATCAATACACGTGACAAACAACCGCACATCACGCCTCAATCTGAATGCTCATTCTAGTTCGCATACATTTATGCCAATACTAATCTTACTGTCACAGTGGAAACTACTCTTGCCACACTTTAACTCTCTGTTGTTTTATTCTACTCAACATTTAAAGAATTGTGCTGTCACCATATATGCCATGCTGATGTTTTATCCTGTTACTATTGGACTTGTTATAACTGTCGTTGCTATCCAAGCATGTTGTTAATGCTCGCACAATAAAAATAAACATTTTTTTTTTAAAAGAGGACCTTGACTCGCTGCAAAGACCAGTTCTGTACCTAATGAAAGGTATGTTTTTAGGGCTTAGGAAATATTTGTGTAAATTGTAGTAAATGCTTTTTTTCCCTGCAATGATTTTTTCCATTTAACACCACTGTAGTCCAGGTCAGTTCTCCAAAGCAGAATATGTAAGAGGCAAGCAAATACTAACTTACTAAAACACTGCTTTGTCTTTATTGGTGAAAATAACTCCCCATTTTTGTATTAGTATGTGCTTCTTCACTTCTTTAATCAGATCAAAGTAGATTTTTTTTTTAAAGAATTGTTTTATTACATATGATACATGTATGACTAATTATTTGAAAATTGCTAAAATGCTTTTTTTGGGCAGTGCAATGTGAATACAAGGAATAGCTTTACATCCAACAAGAGATTTTTGATGGTCACTGAGTAATCATTTGAATCAGAGCTCAAAATAAGTCTGTCAGGGTACCTGTTCCTAGTGTCAATCTCACACTTGCAACATTGTGAATCCCTCAAATTTGATGCAAGCTGCTCCATCTCTGAGATTATTTCCGCTCTGCATCTTTGCCAAGACCAAAATGAGGCTGTATGTCGTTCAAGCATCTTGAGTGATGCTGACCACTACATTTATGGTTCTTATGTACATAAAAAAGACTCAAGCACAGCCACTAACGTTTGGCATTACTCAAATGGCGCAGGTGTCTAAAGCCTATATATTCTTACTCAACCATGAGACCTGTTCCCTGTTATGGTCTATAGTAGCCTCAGAGTGTATTATTGTGTATTGTTTGTTTGGTATTTTGAATTTGGCTTGCTCTCTCACCATTCCCAACCTTGGCTTTTCTCACTTTCCTGTTGCCTGGAGGGTCCATATCACACTAATAAGGGGTGAATTTCTACTTGTAATGACTAGGTTTTTTTAAATGGTGTGTCCTTTTAATTAATAAAGTGTTGGTGGTTTTATTGTTACCTAATATGTCAATTTGGATGAAGAGGTATTTTGCAAACCCAAGAGAATAGTATGGAATTTTATCTTTCTTTTTTTCTTTTTTTTTTTTTTTTAAATGTTCTAAGGTGTTTAAACAAATTAACCTACAAGTAAATGTTTTATTATTATCCCCACTGAAATTGATATTGATAATGGCTACATTCTGTACTGTTAACTGGTAAGTTGTTGGAAAAGCTTGTAGAGAATGGCATTACTTGGTCTCCGCTTTGGTGCTAAAGGTCCATTATTTTCACAAACAACCCAAAAAGCTGAATATGTATATACCACAATTATGAGCACTGAGTTATTGCGTTTGTATAACTGTTTAATTGCTAAGATGTTCAATACCTTTCTACCAAGTGAACGATGTAAATTGTCATTTTTGTGAAAAAATGAAAATATCAATAACTAATAACTAAGATCTAAAGTAAAAAAAGTAAAAAAAATAAAATGAAAAAATATATATATATATATATATATATATATATATATATATATAGGAAGAATTGTGCTAAAGGTATGTTACATCAATGGACTTATTCATACTTGGATCTTAAAAGCAAGAGAACCTTGTCTGGTCTAAAGCTGGAAAAAGATAAACTCTTTAATCCGTCTAATCTGATAAAGCTCTGTATTCTGTAAGAATCTTGAACTGCTAAATTACTCTATAATTACGGTATGCTGGGCTAATTGTACTATATTAAAGTGCATCAAGATAATCAGTTTAGAATAGAGTGATTTAGGCAATTTTAATAAGAATAATTTATACGTTTTTACCTGTTATGCATCTTAACACTGGGTACTCATTCTAATTCTAGAAATAAACTTTACCACCTTAGGACAATAATAATAGCATGAATCAAAATTAAATTAACCATGCATCAGGGAAATCTGTTTGTATAAATTAAGACAAACGTAAATATTAACAATTAACAAATAATAAATGTATTCTATTTCAATGTGCTATACAACATCATATAGTGTTCTGGTTTACTGTGAAGAATTGGCAGACCTTGGAAATGAAAGGGATGACATTGGGTACACATTGATAAAAATATGTTGCTGTCAATTTTCTTCACCCAGTTTTTAATAAAAATAAATGACCTCTATAGTGTTTACTAGTGTCCAATCTAATTTAATTAAGCAGCACTGAATCTCTGGCTAGCAAGTACTTCCATTAATCCTCTGTCCTTAACAGTAAAGGCTTTGTTGCAAATCAAGGTGAAAACCCTTACTGCAAGACCGTGAGATGCAAATTGGCAGGTATCGTGACAGCCCTAGCTGAACCTTAATCTTAATCAGTTACATGTGGGTGAGTCAGTGGCATTATCCTGCAACTGCTCAATGGTAATGATCTGAAATATAATGTATATAAAGGTCCCTGTGTTCTTCCAATACAAGAGTACAACAATTTATCTTCTAAAATAACATTTTCTACAGCTTGTTTACCTGTTTAATGTATATTGTCAACAATACATTTGCTTTGCATGTTAATCTGATATTTTGTAGGCACATTTTCAAGTTGTCTAAATGGTACTTTGCATCTAAACATGGTAATTGTCTGTGTACCTGTACTCGCTAATGGGAGTAAAAAAATGATCAGATTAGAATTGGAAACTAGCTCTTCATTGATAACAGACACATTATTCCACATGTAAAGAGCACGATTTAATCACCCTGACTCAAACCAATGCACCATGCCAGTTATTTTCTATGTATGATACCTTATCTATGTGAAAGCATTACAAAAATGTAAGATGTTTCCAGTTATTCTCTTATGCTGAGCATCACAGGGTGAAGATGCAATTCACAGTAGGCCAAGTATCCCTCCCTTCTCAGGCACAGTTAAAATAAAAAATGTTGTGTTAGAATTATTCACAAAATTTTATATTAACAAGGAATTTTATCTTTTTTATTTCCAACACGGCAAACCTGGAACTTGCTGCTTTCTTTTTACCTGATAAAATGTAAAAGATATATAGAAGTTGGGCTGGTCATATAATTATTTTACTGTTCTTCCAGATACACAGCTGCTTACCATGACTTTAAAGAAAATGCTACCTTTATACTTTACAAAGTACATAATTGCTTATTTTCCCTATGAAGATTTCCATCATATGTAAAATTTAGATATATTTCTGGTTTACCATCTAATCACATGGATTTGCCTACTACAGGCCACAGAGATGGAGAGACAGCTCTCGATGCAGGTGAATATTCTACAGGAAGAATTCCGTGGGAAGAGTCTATCTAGCAGCCAACATATTTCACGCTTGGAAAGTCTCCTGGCCGAGGTGAGCTTGCTCTGACTTGTTACTAAAATAACTAATGTAATTGAAGTGAGGTAAATGTTAGAGGCTGAATAGTGAGGTGACTAATGGAATGTCTTTGAGGAACTCTCCACAATACAGTATCATAATGTAGGGTAACTTCAGAGGCCTTGTCCTTACAATGCACTATTTTCAACATCACACGTGAAGCATTACATGGCAATGTTTATTTTATCCCTTTGAACTTTATTATTATATAGCAATGATTACTTAATTACAGATGAGACAGTACATGGTTCCACGGCTCTTATTTACAATAGAGTTCTTCTTTCTTCTTGACACTGGGCCTTTCTTTAGGTTTATATATGAGGCTTAGCCAGCTTTGAGTAACCATTTCTTTCATTTTAGCATCATTTCTTCTTTTCAAATCTGCATTCAGCACACTATCCTGACACCACTACCTTAAATTTCAGTATTAGTCTGTTCTATCAATTACTTTTTAGTTTAGGTAAATATAAATGACTTAAAAAAATTGATCATCTTGCACATTATCTCTTTGATACTGAAATAAATCCTATTTCTTTCAGTATCAAAGAGATAACGAAAGAAATAGCTATTTAAAAACATAGAATATTTGTGTTTGTGCATTCTGTAAATCTGGTTTTACTGCTCCATGTTGCATGAATGTTTTCGACCACCTTCTTCTTACCTTTTATCCTTCTGACCCTGCACCAACCTCCTTTAGTTTCCTTGTACATAAAAGCAGTGTACTGTAAAGTTTTCTAGGTTGCTATTCAAGACGCATAAGTAGACAAATTAAACATTTTATTTAATCATTAACAAGATGTCGTCATCATCATATAAGATAATTTATTGCTGTCCAAGGTCCGGTATCTGAACTCTGCATATATGAGAATTAGCTATAATAGTACATGTTAGTGGTTCAAAGGGCAAACCTATTGTAACTGTGAAAATTGGTACCCATGCCTTGTTCTGTTTGAGATATCAAATCTATGTGAAAGAAATCCTGCTGTCAACCTGTGCTGATGGGTTTAAATATAGTTCTATAGCTATAATACTTTGTTTTATTTTTCTCAGGCTTGCCTAGGTTGTGCAGCATAGATTCAATGTAACCCCAATATAATCTGCTAAATGCCTTCTCTGCATCTAAAGACTTAAGAAGGCATCCAAATAGTTCTCCTGCTTTATGAATTTAATTGAAGTCTTTCCTAGTGACATCAGAGTAACTAACCCAAACTTATGATAGTGAGTGAGTTAGGATTTTAGAGTTAGATCTTGAATTCATCCTGTTTTATGTTCACTCTCCCATGCTTTGAAATGCATTTACTTATAGAAGAATGATCTAATGAACACACTGATAGTCACAATTTTGTCCCTATACTTACCCTCCCCATACAAACAACTGGTGTCATAAAGGAGAAAAAGCACTATTTAAAAGAAAAATGCTTTCTAGCAACTTCTGCATGTATTTGCAGATGTAAGTAGAGTTATAACAGTCAGTTAATTGTAAAATATTTGTAAAAACCTCTTGTGTCAACTAATCTATTTTGGGCGGTAACCCCTAGGTGGCAGGCTGATGCAGCACTCACCAGGATTCATTATTATATGATCGTCAGTTTTAGCTCTTATCAAATTAATAAGTTTACTGTTTTTATGCACCAGTATAGTGTGTAGTAATGTACCAGCCACCTGGTATGTGCGATGCTTTAGTAGCCCCATGTTAAATGAGTTCCAGTTTGCTAAGGGTTTAGCTGTGTGTGTACAACAGGTATGAAGGATTGCAACTATTGCTATCATTATCTTTAATCATAGAGAAACTACATTTTCTGCAGTGCTGTAAATGGGTAAATGATACATACAAGTAATTGTGACAAATTAAGGAGCAGAAGTGATGAGAGTTCTGCTCAAATGAGTTTAAAGTCTGAAGGAAGTGGGTATAAATGTACAAATGGTAAAAGTGTATTATGTCCAGACAAGAAAAGTAGGCAGTAAATATATATTGTTGTTTCATTTTCCTCTGAGAAAAAATGTAGTTGCAGTTCTCAAGAGTTCCCACTCTCTTCCTAACCTGTTTTTGCAACACATGTAATGTAGATTGCAACTACAATCATTCTTGAACGAACAAAAACAACTGTAAATACAATCCAAAGCATTTAGTGTGTGGAAGGTGTTTTTAAAAATAAAACACAGTTGCTGTAGTCCCTGGTCTAAGAATATTATTTAACTAACTTTCATGACAGCAGTCTAACCATAGTTTCTCATCCAAACTCAAATTACCCCTCGCCTAACCTAATCTTTAACCCTAACTCCTAAGAGTTATGTAGATGGCAACTACAATCACACTCAAACTGGTTGTTTGACTGTCTCAGAGTGATGGCAGTTACAATCCATGTAGCAAGCAAAGTGAACACTATGCATGTGTCATGGTACCTGTAATTTCCACCTCTGAGGAGGTCAGGCATCAGGACATGGTCTCTCACAAAGGGGCTTGTATGTCCAATCATTTCGGCAATTTCGGCCGTTTTCACGCCGGCCGCGTTAGCTCCTCCCCCTTTTATGACACGACGGCCAATAGTCAACGTCATGACGTCATTAACGGCGCGGACCGCCAGAAACCGCAATTCCGGCCCTTTTGGGGGCGTGGTCATCAATTAAGGTGACATGGTATTTAAAGGAATCTTGTGCTACAACTCATTGCCCTATCGTTGTTCTAGCTTGCTAGTCACTCAGCGCGTTCCTTTCCTTGTGTTTTTCGGTTTTGACTTGTCTTTGTATTATCGTTCTTGCTTCTCTCTCCTCTCCTTATACCCGGCTTGTCTCTCGCTTACCTGTCCTCCGGCTCCCATCGACCTCGGCTTGTCTTTTGACCATTCTTGTCTTCTCTATACGTTAGTCCGGCCATTCTAAGGTCCGGTATATGTACCTCGTTCTGTCTGCACTCTGTGTATTGGATCCCTGTCACGATCCTGACATTACAACAGAGCCATATGGATTCTGCAGGTGCTAGCTCTCAGATTGGTTCCCCTGACTCCAGATTTGAGGCCATGGACCATAGAATGGACCAAATGGCTCTAGCTTTACAATCTTTATTAGCACGTCCCAGTACCCAGTCAGAGGAGATGCGTTCCACCACTAGCAATCCTGTAAGTACAGGTTTGGAAGTAGCCACAGTGGGTGCATCCTCTCATGTCACTTCACTGTTACGATATGGGGGATCGCCTGATACATGTCGAGGTTTTCTAAACCAGATAAGCATACATTTTGAACTTCAACCCCGGGCATACGGTAGGGTTTATTATAACACTACTAATAGACAAAGCGCTTAGATGGGCTAATCTTCTCTGGGAGAATGATAATCCTTTGGTCTATAATTATAATGCCTTTGTCACAGCTTTCAGGAGGACCTTTGATCCCCCAGGAAGGAAGGCTAATGCAGCCAGATCACTGTTACGCCTTAAACAACATAATAGAACCCTGGTAGAATATGCGCTAGAGTTCAGATCCTTGGCGGCAGAAGTCAAATGGAACGAACAGGCTTATGTGGATGTATTTTTGAATGGATTGTCTGATGAGATTTTAGACGAGATTGCCACAAGAGAACTTCTGGAAAATTTGAAAGATTTAGTGTCATTTATTTCCCGAATAGATGAACGTATGAGACAGAAGCAGAATACTTGGGGAAAGAACCATTAGTCCTTCTATACGACTTGCCCCTTCCTTCCAGAATCCTGATTCCATTAACCCAACTCCTCCAAAACCCATGCAGATAGGCACTACTCGCCTATCCGAGGACGAGAGACAATACTGGAGAAGGGAGGGTCTCTGTTTATATTGTGGACTAAGAGGTCACCTACGTCTAAATTGCCCTAATCGCCCGGGAAACGCTCGCACCTAAGTTCCCCTAGAGGACGGGCCTTGGGTGTTTCTATATTGTCCTCTATGTATAATGATAAAGACCATAGGCTTCTTATTCCTGTCTCTTTAGCTTGGGAGAGTGGGGCTATTACTACGATGGCTTTGTTAGATTCCGGAGCAGCTGAAAGCTTTATAGATCAAGCCTTTGCTTATAAGCATTGTCTCCCATCTCAACTGAGAGATACACCCTTGGCCGTTGAGGCCATAGATGGTAGACCTTTGTCAGAGCCGGTAATATTTCATGAGACTAAACCTGTTAAGTTGACCATAGGTATCCTCCACGAGGAGATGATATCCCTCTTGTTAATCTCCTCCCCTGCAGTCCCAGTGGTTTTAGGGTATCCTTGGCTTAAAAGACATAACCCTATCATTGATTGGGAATGTGGAGAAATAGTATCTTGGGGATCGGGTTGTAGGGAGGGATGTTTGCTGAGAGTCACTTCTGTTTGCCCAGTAAACTCCTCCATCAACCCTTCCCAACCTACAGATTTACAGATACCCTCTCAGTACCTGGATCTCAAGTCCGTATTTGACAAAAGGAAGGCTGACACTTTGCCTCCTCACCGGTCTTATGACTGTACAATTAGACTCTTGCCTGGTACTATGCCTCCTAGAGGTACGGTGTATCCTCTGTCTACTAAAGAGAATGTAGTCTTAGAGGAATACATAAAGGAGAATCTAGACAAAGGATTTATTAGAAAGTCTTCATCTCCGGCTGGGGCAGGTTTTTTCTTTGTAGAAAAGAAAGACGGTACTTTACGTCCTTGCATAGACTATCGGGGATTGAATAAAATTACCATCAGGAATGCTTATCCCATTCCTTTGATTACAGAACTCTTTGATAGACTGAAGGGCTCCAAGATTTTTACCAAGTTAGACTTGAGAGGAGCATATAACTTGGTAAGAATTAAACAGGGAGACGAATGGAAAACGGCGTTCAATACCCGTTACGGACATTATGAGTATACTGTAATGCCGTTTGGGTTATGCAATGCTCCGGCCGTCTTCCAAGACTTGATTAATGAGGTTCTTAGGGAATTTCAACAAGAGTGCGTTATAGTATATTTGGATGATATACTAATACATTCTAGGGACCTTGAGTCTCATCACAGACAAGTCAGAAGGGTATTACGGAAACTTTTACAACATGGATTGTATTGTATATTGGAGAAATGTAGCTTTGATCAATCCCAGATAACTTTCTTAGGCTACGTAATTTCCAAGGACGGGTTTATGATGGACCCGATTAAACTAAAATCGATACTAGATTGGCCATTACCTAAGGGACTCAAAGCCATACAAAGATTTATTGGGTTTTCTAATTACTATAGACGCTTCATTAAAGGTTACTCCTCTATTATTGCTCCTATCACTAATATGACTAAACAAGGGGCTAACACCAAAACTTGGTCTACTGAGGCTCTATCTGCTTTCGAAACGCTCAAACAGACTTTTGCTTCAGCACCTATATTGGTCCATCCTGATACCTCTTTACCCTTTTTACTTGAGGTTGATGCGTCTGAAACAGGTATAGGGGCAGTTTTATTCCAAAGACAAAGTTTGGATAAACCTTTGCACCCATGCGTTTTTTTGTTCCAAAAAATTATCACACACGGAAAGGAGATATGATATTGGTGACAGAGAACTCTTAGCTATTATTATGGCATTAAAAGAATGGAGGCATCTGTTAGAGGGAACTGTACATCCCATTACCATTTTGACGGACCACAAAAATTTATCCTACATTGGAGAGGCCAAAAGATTGTCCGCCAGACAAGCCCGTTGGTCATTGTTCCTCACACATTTCAACTACTTACTAACATACAGACCTGGTTCTAAGAACACCAAAGCAGACGCGTTATCCCGCCAACATGAACGTATTACCGTCACGGAAGACACCTTGTCTCCTATTGTTCCTAAACAATATATTATTGCAAACACTAATGTCAAAATACACTCTCCGTTGCTTTCGGATATAATGAAGGAACAATCTCTTGCTCCAGAACGTACCCCTGAGGAACGGTATTTCGTTTCTCCTAAGTTCCAAATGGACGTACTTCGATGCCTTCACGATAGCAAGATTGCTAGTCACCCCGGCATTCACAAAACTTACTCACTGATTTCCAAGGACTTCTGGTGGCCTAATATACGGAGGGATGTGAAAGATTTTGTCAAGGCCTGCGATGTCTGTGTTAGGAATAAACTACCACAGACACTCCCTTGTGGCCTATTGCAACCCTTAGTCATTCCCAACTAGTTTAGCTATGGATTTTATTGTTGATTTACCGGTTTCTAATAAACGCACAGTTATCCTTACGGTGATCGACAGGTTTACCAAAGTGGCTCATTTCGTTCCCTTGCCTAAACTTCCTTCCTCGCCCGAATTGGCCGAGATATTTGCAAAGGAAATTTTTCGCTTACATGGTATCCCCAATGAGATCGTGTCTGACAGGGGTTCCCAATTCGTTTCCCGTTTTTGGAAATCATTCTGTTCCCAGTTGGGTATCAAGCTGAATTTTTCCTCCGCCTATCACCCTCAATCTAACGGAGCTTCCGAACGCACTAACCAAAAAATTGAGCAATATCTACGTTGTTTTGTTTCTGAACACCAAGACGATTGGGTCGGTCTGATTCCTTGGGCGGAGTTTGCTCACAACAATCTTGTTTGTGATTCCACTCATAATAGCCCCTTTTTCTTGAATTATGGCTTTAACCCTACTGTTCTAACATCGGTATCACCTTCTCACGGTATACCATCGGTTGATGTTCATGTGGCGACCCTGAGAAAGTTGTGGGATCAGACTCGATGAATTCTTACCCGTAGCTCCGCGGTGTTCAAGATGCAAGCTGATAAACGTAGACGGCCTGCTCCTGTCTTTTCTCTGGGTGATAGGGTCTGGTTGAGTACCAGGCACATCCGCTTGAAAGTCCCTTCCATGAAGTTTGCTCCTCGTTACGTTGGGCCTTACAAGGTTTTAAGGAGGATTAACCCGGTTTCTTATCTGCTGGACCTGCCTCCTACTCTGCGCATCCCTAACTCTTTTCATGTATCTTTATTGAATCCTCTTGTATGTAACAGGTTTTCTTCCCAGACTTCACCCCCTCTTTCGGTTCAAGTTGATGGTCAGGAAGAATTCTTGATTCTCGTATTTCCAGGGGGGAGTTGCAATATCTCATAGACTGGAAGGGTTATGGCCCTGAGGATAGGTCTTGGGTTCCTTGTGAGGATGTCCATGCTCCGCGTCTTCCCCGCCCAGGGGGGTACTGTCATGGTACCTGTAATTTCCACCTCTGAGGAGGTCAGGCATCAGGACATGGTCTCTCACAAAGGGGCTTGTATGTCCAATCATTTCGGCAATTTCAGCCGTTTTCACGCCGGCCGCGTTAGCTCCTCCCCTTTTATGACGCGACGGGCAATAGTCGACATCATGACGTCATTAACGGCACGGACCGCCAGAAACCGCAATTCCGGCCCTTTTGGGGGCGTGGTCATCAATTAAGGTGACAAGATATTTAAAGAAATCTTGTGCTACAACTCATTGTGCTGTCGTGGTTCTAGCTTGCTAGTCACTCAGCGTGTTCCTTTCCTTGTGTTTTTCGGTTTTGACTTGGCTTTGTATTATCGTTCTTGCTTCTCTCTCCTCTCCTTAGACCCGGCTTGTCTCTCGCTTACCTGTCCTCTGGCTCCCTCGACCTCGGCTTTGACCATTCTTGTCTTCTCTATACGTTAGTCCAGCCATTCTAAGGTCCGGTATACGTACCTCGTTCTGTCTGCACTCTGCGTATTGGATCCCTGTCACGATCCTGACAGCATGCACCTGGAGCCTGTATCTACTTAAATAAATAAACCATTCAATACTAAATTGTCAATATTGGAAATAAAGTTTTTTTTAAATTAAAAATTCCTATACCATCTAACAGTCAATCTCATAAAAAGGGGAAAACATATTATTCACCTCAACAGGGCATATGTAAATTAACATGTAAAGAGCAGGAAGCTGGAGTTGAAATGTTCAAAATCAATCATTCATGAAATCTATACACCTAAAAATATCTGCAGAATAGTTAGTAAATGATAAAATCATAAAACACAAACATCTATTAAGGGGGGGAAAACCAACAACAAATGAATTGGTCCATCCACTATTAAAGTCAGTCTCAATAGAAGTGTGAGACTCCTTCCCAAAGTAATGAATGTAGCCATTTAACAGTAGTGTAAACATTAATTGATTGTTACAGAGCATCAATATCAATGTGAAAAAAATATTATGTAGCCATCTAGTCTACAGACTCCTTACTATATTAGGCAGGGCTAAAACTGATCTGCTGGATAATATAGTACTGAATTAAATCTCTGTTTAGTAAATCATCCCCAGAAGAGAGATCAAACCATATGTGTATATCTATACACTGGATATACAAATAATCCATCTGCAGATCTACAAAATAAAAAGCAAAGCTATAGTGCTGTCTGTAATATTAGGTTTTTTTTTTTTTTTTAATCAAATGGATTAAAATGTAAGTAAAATACACAAAAAAATTACAACACGACAAATAAAATAAAAAAAATTTAAAAAAAGGAATATGCATTACATATTATTGACTGAACTTAAATGGTCCAGTCAATTATATGTTGGACTTTTAGTTCTTTAAAATTAAGTTTATTTACTTTTACAAAGGGGCATCTATAGTGGAGGGGTGGGGTGCTCAATCCAAAAGGAATCTGGTCTGGATTCAAAATATACATAGCGTAGGGAATATTTGGGGGTGGCATACCGAGAACATGCATTTCTCAGTAGTGGTGCTGCCGTAAAGACCAAAATATATACAAAATACAGATTAAGGAACAGCTCGCACAAAAATTTTTTTTTAAATTTAAAAGGCTACTTAAAATTACCTATCTCTGCAAACAAATATAGGGCTTCAGTTACACCATATGGCCATATTGTTTTAAGCCTACCACTACGTCACAGTACCCCAATATTGGTGGGTCCTACATTAAATGTAACATGGGAGATTAGCACGCCACCTACAGTACTTACTGCTCAAACTGCTTCCAGAGGTTCTTCTCAATTTATGCTTTCATGTGGTCACCTCCAAAGGGGAACCCTTAATGGAGGGGCAGGGTACGCAACCCAAAAGGAATTTGGTCTGGATTCCAAATCTAAATAGTAAAAAAAATGCATTACATTTGGAAAGATGCCATTTATCTACAGTAGCACAAATTCTCCCTGAAATACCTCCTCAGCCATTCTCTACACACCTATTGCATAAAACTTACTACAGTCTCAGTAAGAGTATTTTATACCTCTATTTATTGCACTCAAAAAGGGCAACATTATGTTTTTTCCTAGCTCCATATAACTGCACTTGTGTTAAAGGAAGTGGATCCTGAAAGAGCAATGAATGCATAATCCAGAAGAGTTGAAGGGTTTTGGGTGGGCTGGATAGACCTGCCGAAGAAGAATTATCTGAGCATGCAACATACAAATATAGAAAGATGGCACAAGTCAAGGTAGACTTTAATGTAGTAATTTAATATTAAGAGAAACAAGCAACAACACTGATAGAGGACATTCTAACGCAGAATTATGCAATATAGCTCTTGTGCAACAGTGTAGTAGCATTCAACAATATTATAGTTAAATATCTTGTGCATGTACTGGCAAGTAAAGAAATGTCATTGACATGCTATGATTAATTTCATATACTGTATTAGTCAGTGATCATCAAATGAATTGAAATACTGACTGACTGACAATTACAGTTGTTTGTGTTAATGGGTCAGCTTGTGAAACAAGTCCTGCTACCATGTAATTCCTTTTGTGATTGTTATTAAACTTAATAAATGTAATCTGCTAAAGCTCTCTCATGCAAATTAAAACTAATGTATTAATTTCAGCAGCCCACTTGTAAATCCTGGATCATTCCTTGTAAATAAGCACAGTGCAAGGCTAATTAGTTTCATAGTAATCTAGATTAAAACAAATCCATAAATTCAACCTTTAAAACAGTAAATATAAATAAAAATAGCTTAAACTCAAAATCACACACAGTAAGTACTTTATGGGCACCTCTGCTCTACACTATAAGTTAGGTTAGAGGGCAGTACACCATGTTATTTAAGCCTCAGATACAGAAGCATAATTTCAACATACGCAAGCTTAAAGGACCACTCTAGGCACCCAGACCACTTCAGCTTTATGAAGTGGTCTGGGTGCCAGGTACCTCTAGGATTAACCCTTTTTTTATAAACATAGCAGTTTCAGAGAAACTGCTATGTTTATACTGAGGGTTAATCCAGCCTCCAGAGCCTCTAGTGGCTGTCTCATTGACAGCCGCTAGAGGCGCTTGCGTGCTTCTGACTGTGAAAATCACAGTGAGAGCACGCAAGCGTCCATAGGAAAGCATTGTAAATGCTTTCCTATGCGACCGGCTGAATGCGCGCGCGGCTCCTGACGCGCATGCGAATTCAGCCGATGACGTCGCGAGCAAGGAGGAGTACAGCTCCCCGCCCGGCGCTGGAGAAAGGTAAGTGTTTAACCCCTTCCTGTCTTCAGAGCCCGGCGGGAGGGGGTCCCTGAGGGTGGGGGCACCCTCAGGGCACTATAGTGCCAGGAAAACGAGTATGTTTTCCTGGCATTATAGTGGTCCTTTAATGACACTTCACTCATATGAACATTGTATTATTAGCCCATTGTCCTATTTAATGGTTACATTTCTTCCTTTTGTCATTCAAGGGCAGAAACATTTCTAATTTGACTTCACAAGGTTGATATTTTAAACATGCGCAGTTAGTTAAATGCAGGGAAATACTTCTGCTTATCAGTATGTGTGTATAAACAAACATAGCCAGACATTCATGCATTACTGCCAGGTGGTAAGATAGAGGTGTTTTTGTTGAGCTAGTGTGCAGGGTGAGTTGCCCCTGATCTCTATAAAAATGTACAACAATTGTAATGCTGTATTTTATTGGGACATACATTTCAATCCAGCAGTTATTGGTTGATGCAGATTTGTGAGGCCTGACCTCGAGAGTGCCAGTTGGGATTGGCCGAGATTGTAACACAGTGTAGGAGGACAGATAACAAATAACAGAAATGACAGGCAGGAACTGTTGGCTGTACATCATCCAAATGGAGTATTCTTGGAAGATGCCCAGCAATTACTGACAAACCTTGTGAAAGGTGTATAAGAAATGCTGCAACATCAATTTAATGATGCAAAGCAAAATCTGATATACCCTTTTAAAAGCTATGAATAGCTGTGTGGACTGAATAAACTGCACAAAATTAATTTCATTACTAGTACATACAGCGATTTATGCTCAGATGAACATCTCTGCTGAAGCTTTGGGGCCAAAGCTGCAAATTGCAGATGCACTCTACCTTTACCTCAGCTACTTCATTACCTAAACAGGACATCTCTTTTCATACCAAAAAAACAGTTTGTACAGTCTTGCTTCCAATAGTTTGTGGTTAATGCTCCAAAAGAGACAAATTGTTTAACAGTTGTTTTCCTAACAAAGCAAAAGGTATTATACCAACAAGTTTGCAATTCACAGCATATGTACAGATTTGCATTAGGAGTTTGCACAACACTACAGTTACACTGCTGTACTTCTGAGACAACAACTTGTGTTGTAATGACTGTATGCTCTAATGAGTTGATTTCAGTAGCAAAGTCAGCATTACAGTTGTACAGCATTTCATCCTTGACATTTCAGTAATCAATGCAAACTGCAGCGTTACTGGTTCCTTGCTTAAACAACTGATTTTGTAACTATAGCCAAGTTGAAGATCAGTATGTTTTGTCAAAATATGTGCAATTCAATCTACAGTTCAATACTATTCACTATTAATTCCACAATTCCAACTATGTCTTTACCAGAGAGGAGATGTATGACTTTTTTCCCCCATCATCCTTTGGATGTGGGAGCCTCTGCAGGGTGTCAGAACTCACTGTTAGCATTGCTTACAGGTTTTATGGGTGATCTTGTGGCCAGCCAGAGCACAGCTTTGCCACTTCAGCTTGACTCCTTTTTACAGTATGCATAATAATGTACAAGTTTTGAGAGTTCTGCTACAAACTTTTAGTCTAATGGGAAATGGCACTGTTAAAACATAATGTACAGAGAATGGGGTATGAACGGCCAATTCTTTTGATAATCAAAGAGAATAATTAAGAGTGGCACACAACCAAAAAGGAAGCAGTGCTAGGTTCCAAGTGACCTTCATGTGATTGCTGCACTTAGGCAGGCTTGCTGACACCATTTAGATGTCAAATACTGCTGATTGAGTTGGAGAATTTTTCTAGTGTGGTTTAAAATATGCTATTTTATTTTTATTTTTACACATTTCATTATTTGGTGGTGGGGCGGTGGGGACTATAGGTGCTCTGTTTTACAACAAAACATGTTTGACAGACCTAAGCAGGACAGTTGTTTCTCTGAGCCTTACCTGCATCCTTATAGTGTATAATTTTTTTCAAGTGCATTATTCTTATTTTACTTAATGTCATTTTTAGTTTCCTCATATTATGGCAAATACTAACACAGTGCAGCCAAAAATAACTACTTCACAATCAATGTGCAAAACAGCACGAACAATAGACCTAGACAAAAACAAAGAAAGTGGAAATCAGAGTAAATTTTTGAGATAGAAGTATTTTAATTAGTGAGTGCTGGTTGCGGGTTTTCATATTTTTTTATTCAATGTATGTGATCACTTGTTGCACAGATACCATTGCCGAAAACTGTCACTTCTTACACTAGAAGTTAATGCACTACTATGAGAATTGTTTATCTTTCTGAAACCTTATATCACTTCTTACCCCTCAGCAGCTTGTTATTAATCCTGCTGACTGTATTTGCATGGTGCTCCTCTGCAACAGCTACATTTCACCCAGAGACCTTTGCAGTGCTGGCTGTCTCGGTGGCTTTCTCTCCTGTGGTAGTAGATTCATTGTAAAATTAAATCAACTTTCAAAAGTTTCATGACGTTCAACCACAACCTATTAAGTGCGCGTAGGAAACACATTGAATTCAAGCTTGCCATTTCTCATGAGATATGTCACAAGAGGCCATTCCAGTATGCAGAGTGCAATAAAACATACTCTTATTATTTCCAGGAGGAATAATAGCCCTTCTTTCAACTGATGATTCACATTGTTGCCTCAGGGATATTAAACACGGATAACTGTTTAAATTTAAGCACTGACTCATGTTCATACGCCATACTGTAAAAACCATAAAGAATGCTTTATGCAATACAAATGTTATAAAAATGATTATATTGTTTTTCATCTTAGATTAGCTTCTTGTTGCATTACATTACTTTCATGCTAATCTGTTAGGTATATAGTTGTCTTTAACTGAAATTTGAAAATACCACAAATAGAACAGGCTAATTTTATTCACATGTCCTTTACCCATGTTTAAGGCCTTAACCATTGCATTAAAGGAACACTACAGGCACCAAACAACTTTAGCGTAATGAAGCAGTGTTGTATGGTGTATACATCATGCCCCTGTAGTCTCACTGCTCAATTCTCTACCATTTAGGAGTTAAATTACTTTGTTTATGCAACCCTAGCCACACCTCTTTGCATGTGACTTACACAGCCTTCCTAAAAATGTCCTGTAAAGATCTAATTGTTAAACTTCTTTTATCGCACAGTATGTTTCATTTAGAATTTCTTTTCTCCTGCTCTGTTAAAAGTCTGCTAGAGCCTGCAAGAGCCTTATATGTGGTTAAAGTTTATTTTATAGAGCAGTAGATACAAACTTATAAAGTAAGTTTAGGATCTGATTGAAAATTAAACCATTTTTGTCATGCAGGCTGTGTCAGTCACAGCCAGGGCAAGTGTGGCTAGTGCTGCATGGACAGAAACAAATGTGAATTAACTCCTAAATGGCAGTAAGACTGTAGGGACATGGTCCCTGCACCCAAACTGCTGCATTAAAGGAAATCTATAGTGTTAGGATCTCTAGTGGCTTATCATTTAGACCGTTACTAGAGGCAGTCTTAGTACTGCAAAATAAAAGTTGCAGTTTCTCAGAAACGTCAATATTTTACATTGCAGGGCTAACATAGAAACATAGAAACATAGAATGTGACGGCAGATAAGAACCATTCGGCCCATCTAGTCTGCCCAATTTTCTAAGTACTTTCATTAGTCCCTAGTCTTATCTTACAGTTAGGATAGCCTTATGCCTATCCCACGCATGCTTAAACTCATTTACTGTGTTAACCTCTACCACTTCAGCTGGAAGGCTATTCCATGCATCCACTACCCTCTCAGTAAAGTAATACTTTCTGATATTATTTTTAAACCTTTGTCCCACTAATTTAAGACTATGTCCTCTTGTTGTGGTAGTTTTTCTTCTTTTAAATATAGTCTCCTCCTTTACTGTGTTGATTCCCTTTATATATTTAAATGTTTCTATCATATCCCCCCTGTCTCGTCTTTCCTCCAAGCTATACATGTTAAGATCCTTTAACCTTTCCTGGTAAGTTTTATCCCGCAATCCATGAACCAGTTTAGTAGCCCTTCTCTGAACCCTCTCTAAGGTATCAATATCCTTCTGAAGATACGGTCTCCAGTACTGTGTACAATACTCCAAGTGAGGTCTCACCAGTGTTCTGTACAATGGCATGAGCACTTCCCTCTTTCTACTGCTAATACCTCTCCCTATACAACCAAGCATTCTGCTAGCATTTCCTGCTGCTCTATTACATTGTCTGCCTACCTTTAAGTCATCAGAAATAATCACCCCTAAATCCCTTTCCTCATATGTTGAGGTTAGGACTCTATCAAATATTCTGTACTCTGCCCTTGGGTTTTTACGTCCAAGATGCATTATCTTGCACTTATCCACATTAAATGTCAGTTGCCACAATTCTGACCATTTTTCTAGTTTACCTAAATCATTTGTCATTTGGCTTATCCCTCCTGGAACATCAACCCTGTTACATATCTTAGTATCATCAGCAAAAAGACATACCTTACCATCAAGACCTTCTGCAATATCACTAATAAAAATATTAAAGAGAATGGGTCCAAGTACAGATCCCTGAGGTACCCCACTGGTGACAAGTCCAAGCTTCGAATATATTCCATTAACTACAACCCTCTGTTGCCTGTCACTCAGCCACTGCCTTACCCATTCAACAATATTTGAATCCAAACTTAAAGATTGCAGTTTATTGATAAGCCTTCTATGTGCAACAGTGTCAAAAGCCTTACTGAAATCTAGGTAAGCAATGTCTACTGCACCACCCTGATCTATAATGCTCTGTCCCTGTCCACTAAGGTGGACAGGGACACTGCACTCAGACCACTTCAATGTGATAAAGTTGTCTGTATGCCTGTACTGTCCCTTTAAGTTAAAGTTATTTTGATACCTATAATATTCATATAAACAAAGAGAAAAAAGCAACCAACTCCATTTTACACTAAATACTGGTTATTGCTGTCAATCTAGATATTTATATCTATTCTGTGTTGTACGATTAATCAGTTAAAATCTTTTCTAACATATACTTCATTATATCAGTGTTTGTCAGATAAGATGACATTAGTCAACAAACCATAGAAACCAAAAATTGAGGAGCTTTGTGATTTTACCAAATGCAGTAGGTCAGTGAGAATTTGGATAACTTAACATGAAAGAAACAAAAATTACTCCTTTTGAATATTTATCAATACCTAATGCATCTTTGTGACACTGAACTTCACTTAACACAGAAAAAAATCATATACTAGATATTATAATCACAAAACTGTTTACAAGTTTGTTCCGTAAATGTACATCTTATATACTTTGCTTATACTCCACAAATCAAAGTATATGAATATGTTGATAGTTTTTATTTATTTATACAATATTTTACCAGGATGGATACATTGAGATTTCTCTCATTTTCAAGTATGTCCTGGGTCCACAAAACACAGCATTGTTACAAAAGGATGCAATATTCCAAAAATACAATATACAAACAATATATATATATATATATATATTTACACACATACCGTATATACTCAAGTATAAGCCGAGTTTTTCGGCACATTTTTTGTGCTGAAAAAGTCCCGCTCGGCTTATACTCGAGTCACTGTCTGTATTATGGGAACTTACATTGCCATAATACAGACCAGGACCGCCGGGCTCATTACATTGGGGACCGGGAGCAAGCTGTTACATACCTTTGCAGCAGCTCCGTTCAGCTTCCCCAGTGTAAATCTCGTGAGACCCGCGGCCGTCAGGCATGCAGACCGCAAGATTTACACTGGGGAAGCTGAACGGAGTTGCTGCAAAGGTATGTAACAGCTTGCTACCGGTCCCCCACTGACCTGGACCGCCGGGCTCATTACAAGGCCGGCGGTCTGTTGGGGGCCGGAGCAAGCTGTTACTTACATGTGCAGCCGCTCCGTTCAGCTCCCTTCTCCTCCGTTCTGGTCAGCTCATTGTGTAAATCTTGCGAGACCCGCGCGGAGCGTTGCCACGGTAACCTGTGGCAACGCTCTGATGGCCGCGGGTCTCGCAAGATTTACACAGTGAGCTGACCGGAACGGAGGAGAAGGGAGCTGAACGGAGCAGCTGCACATGTAAGTAACAGCTTGCTCCCAGCCCCCCTCCTGCACAGCCCATGCCACTGGACCACCAGGGAATAATATAGCCCCACTCCCTGGCCAAGTATCAAGCAGATGGGGGGGAGGACAAAAAATATAAAAAAATATATATATTAAAATAATAAAAATGATAATAAAAAAATATTAACAATATTAAAATAAAAATGCCCTCCCCCCACCCAGTTTGCACACACTGCACACACACACTCTGCATCATATACACACACACTTCATTATATACACACGCATTCATACAAACACACACACTGCATTCATTATATACACACTGCATTCAGAATATACACACACTGCATTCATTATATACACACACACACACTCTCTCTCTCTGCATTCAGAATATACACACACTGTAAATAAATATTCAATTAATGTAATTTTATTGGGATCTAATTTTATGTAGAAATTTTGCAGTAGCTGCTGCATTTCCCACCCTAGGCTTATACTCGAGTCAATAAGTTTTCCCAGTTTTTGGTTTAAAATTAGTGGCCTCGACTTATATTCGGGTCGACTTATACTCGAGTATATACAGTATATACATTTAACAATATATTTAGGCTGGGTAACGAGTTTATGTCACAGTAATGGGTACCTGGGACTTTTTCAGATAACCAACTACCTAATTGTTCTCCTGTATTAGAATAGTTTATTAATTCACCTACTTGAGTAATTCAAGGGGGGGGGGGGGTAACTAGTTGTACCATTTCAAGATGCTATATGTCCATGGCGTGTTCTTTTGTGGTAACACCAAACACTTTTTCAGAACATCTAAGCAATAATTTGAGAGAATAGATAGTACAGGTTCTCCAGAATTCCTGCTGTAAATGGCCCATACCATACGCAATATTGTAAACATATGAAGCAATTTCACTAACCGTCCATAAACTCCTATTCTGACCATGCGCTTGTTCTCCTGTACATCTATAGTGACTATACAGATCTATACTGTAGACATTATATAAGCCTAAATAGATAATGTTCCTCAGTCACTGCAACCCCGACTTCCTCTCTTCACCCATTCAACCCCGTTTTTCCTCTTTCTTTCTTGCCTGATATGGAGCAGCAGATTGTAGAAGTAAGTACCGCTGCCTACATGGGCCTGGAGTGCATGAACAGCTCTAAAGTGTTATTTGCTTATTGCTGTATTTTTATTGTCTGCATGAATTATTGTGAACCTTACATACTGTGGCCTGTGAAATTAAAGTAATATTTCTATATTTTTTGTGCTTGTTAAGTTGCTTTCAGTGGGGAAAGGAATGTGAGTCATAGACAATTTACTATGTAGCAATAACGAAGGAACAGAATGTAATTGAAGAGAATTTCCGATGCAGCTCACGTGTGAATATATCAAAATATTGATAGGGTCTAAAATATGAGGCACTGGTGTCATATAACTTGATAAGTTACCACATTTAAAGTCATGATCCACTATTTTGTATGAACAAATGTTCACATTTAACTTAGTCACTGACTGATATGCTGACCTCATTCATGGTGTGTGCAAGTACATAATTTCACAACCGGTACAGGTTACATGATGCATATCTCATAAAAAACAGTTGGTAGCATTTTCAGGAGGTAAGGTAATGAAGGGTTGATGTAATAAAAAAATATTTGTGGATTTTTTTGTCAATACCTTCAGTGCAGAAACATTTAGTCATCTTCAGTCCAAGAAAGGTGTGTTTTTGCCCAGTTCCTTTTGTTTACAATTGTTTCCAAGAACAATGATATTTCCTTTAGTGAGTGATTATGGAAAAGTTGTATTAGAAACATGGGATCAATCTCGTTAATTTTGTTGAGTTTTGTATTGATTTGGTTATTCCTCCACTTCAATTTGCCATTCATCCTGATATTCTGTCAGGTCTGGAGTGAGGTTTGGTGCACTGAATTGCCCTTGCTAAATGTAATAGTCCCTTTAATTGTTGAAGTGGTTATGCTATATATAAACTATTTCTAGTTTTGTTCAAGTATGGTTAGCCGGTGATCAAGCTTCGTTCCTTAGCCCATAATAAGGATTCCAAATGATGCATAAAAACTACAAAACCCTAACGTGTTTACTCACATCTAACTTGCAAACAATTATATTGGTGGTCCAATTTTTCATCGATTTGGCACTAGTATAGATGAAATTCACTATATTTACTAACAACTCTATTGAAATAAGAAAAGGGCAAATAATACATCAACTGTTAAAAAATAATTTCTCCAAGTGGCGCAGGAATGTCCATAAAATGGGAACCGAAATTAATTTGGGATTTGACAAAGAATTTAGCCCCAAGAAATCTAAAATACTTAATACAAATATCACATGATAAAAGAGAAAAGATAGGAAATTAAAACAAGCTGAACAAGAAACCTTTAAAATCTCTTCCTTTACTTTGTTCTTAAACAGAGGTTTCTGGACACCACTAAAAAAGTTTCCCTCAGTCAGGGCTCTCAACCTCCACCATGGATGCTCAATGCCTTCTTCCTTCTCATAGGCAAATCAAGAAATCCAGGCAAGGAGGGGGGTGTTTCACTTTACTTTTACCATAAAATAAAATAACCTTTAGATATAACGCAATTGACTAGCATTGTCAAATAATAATTTTAAGAAATGATAATGCTCATAAATCCTCATCTTCTGGCCATGTAAATAGACATCGTCTAATAAAATGCATCTTAGAAATAAAAAACTTTTCAATAGGTCTTCCCAGTCTGTAGCTATAAAAGCATTAATCCCTGTGAAGCATTAAGGATTTAATTCATCTTACACAATGGGATATTTATGAAATCAGGGTTCCTCCAACACTTACATTATAAGCACACATTCCAAAGGAAGGAGATTGGAACAGGGTTGCAACCAAAGGTTGCCTATTTGGTAATATTAAGTTTATTGCGAATAGGGGGCTCTTTGGGCTGGAACTCTCCAGTTAATAAGGGTTCTTAACCAGTTAAATTAGATGGAATGCTTATAGTGCCTAGAATGTGCCTTTAAGGGGTGTGCGGTACCTAATTTTCCCATTAATTGAATATGCCTAAAATTTATTTTAGAGTTCTAGATTGTCTGACTCGTCTCCTTGGCGATGCTAACTTTGCTATCTGTTCTATGGACAATAATGACCCTCCGAGTCAGACACGTAGAGTTTAAGTTATTTTGAAGCCCAACAGTGAATGACCTTTTTTTTTTTTTTTTTTGCAACCTTGTGCATGCATCGAGATTTAGCTACATTATGTGCAAATAGTACATGGTATGGCATCTTGCAGGAGTTAGAAATGTATCAAGAGTAACTGTGCATGTTTGAGATCAAGGTAAAGAGTTAACTCAGAGATGTAGCTCACTGGCCTGCTTTATCTCCTGGCATTCCTTAGGCACTCCCACACAGCTGGCTTGTTTCTGGTCCTTGATTTCAGGGCAGATCACATTCTTTTTTATTTTTCTCTACCTCCCCCACTTTTGTAGAAATCTCACAGATTCCATGCACCTTAGTCTCCACTATTTTGTGCTGAATAGATAAATATATTTTTCTTTCTGGAGAATCATTCAACGTCTATTCCCTTCTCTCTTTACCTGTTCTTTTTTTGTGGCTTCCAGATCAAAATGCTTTCAGATCGGAAACAGGAGTTGGAGGAGCAACTGGGCACCATTATGGAAGAGAACGAGCAGCTCCAGGGACTCGTGGATGAACTACACGATCGAGAATTCATTTTAAGTCAACAAAGTTGTGCCAAGGAGCGGCAGGTAGTCAAATTCCAGTAACAGTAATTCCAGTTTTATTGAGAAAGGACTGGAACAACATGCTGGGAGGGGCCAGTATTCTCTCAAAGTAAATAGTGCCACAATTTTCTTTAATACACCTGTTCTTTGATCAATCAGGAAATTACTTAACAAGTCAGAACATTTATATATCCCTGCCTAAGCAGCAGTGAGTATATAAAATGTAAGCAATTAATTAACTCACCCGTGATCAAGCAGGGATGTTCAAAAGTCCAACCATAATAGGGGATCTCAATATAGTAACAGATAAGACCTTTGTGAAATATATATGGTACCAAATGTGTTGTATTTATAAAAGCAAAATATAGGACACGAGGTTGGATTCTGTCAGCACAGTAAGGGTTTACTGTGATTACTGAATTTTTAGATTTTTTTATTTTTTTAATGTTTTGGCTGAAAATCACCAGCCTGCCTTTGGCAGTAAAACTTTTTGTAGGTTTTTGTTTGTGTTCTTTCTTTGTGTGGTTTATAATCACAATGTGTTTTCAGCATTTGTTAAATACAGTTGCCCACTCTTCCCTTCACAGTTGTGCTTAATGAGTGAATATTTTTATGTATGGGCCAAAGAATCAAGTTAGGAATAACAGTGAAGAATTGTATATAAGTGAACATTTATTTGTAAGGTAAATGATTAGTGAATAAACCAGCCAAGTTTTATTATTTAATTTTTTATTTTATTTATTTATTTTATTTTGCATCTTGCTTTAATGGTGAGAATACAGATAACATGCTATTACTACTTGAATCCTGGTGAAGATGGGTGGTTTTATAATGTTCCTTTTATAATTCCTTTGCCCCATGTTTTGGTTGTTGAAAGCAAACACAGGCAGGCACTGGCTTTGGACTGCATCCTCCGTCATGTTTATTGAGAGGGTGAAGGTTGTAGTCTATAGAATCTGGAATGCAAGAGGTTGTCAGTTTCTGATTTAGGGTAATGATATAGCACTTGTCTCATTTCATGTAAACATTAAATGATGGAATGCTTAGTTTCTGCTTCACCTGCAGCTGGGAGAGAGCCAACTGGAATTAGAAGAACTTAGACTTTCTTATCGGCAGCTGCAGATAAAAATGGAGGAACTCAAAGAAGAGAAGAGTCTCCAGCATCTAAACAGCACAAACACTTCTCTCCTATCGGAGATTGAGCAGAGTATAGAGGCCGAAGAACAGGAACAAGAAAGAGAGCAGGTAGATCCTGTTTATAATATATAAGAGATGTGTTGTGCATATTGTGTAAAAATAATGGCTCACAAATGGCTTCTATTTTTGGTTTCATTACAGCTAAAATGAAGGAAGAATTTATAGAATACAGATTGTCTCTTGCCAGTAGCATTTAAGTAGTGATGTCCCGAACGGTTCGCCGATTGGTTCGCCGCGGACTCATCATTGAGTAAACTTTGACCCTGTACCTCACAGTCAGCAGACACATTCCAGCCAATCAGCAGCAGACCCTCCCTCCCAGACCCTCCCACCTCCTGGACAGCTCACTAAGAATGCAGCTTCACAATGAATGTAAAATGGATGCTGTCCAGGAGGTGGGAGGGTCTGGGAGGGAGTGTCTGTTGCTGATTGGCTGGAATGTGTCTGCTGACTGTGAGGTACAGGGTCAAAATTTACTCAATGATGAGTCCGTTGCGAACCGTTCGGGACATCACTACATTTAAATCTTGTAGCATTCTCAAGGGTCTGAATGGAACAAGCAGGCATATTGATTTTTATTAGACTGCAAATTAAAGGGAATGTATACGCTTGGGTAAAAAAAACATTGCTGCTGAACACCCTGTGTAAATGAAGTTTTCCATTCCTACTACAACCTGATTGCCCAGTCACCTTCTTTCTTGTCTGCAATTTAAATGGATGCTCTAAGAAGCATAGCCACTACAGCATCCTGCAGTGTTTATGCTGCTAAAAGTATATGCTGCTAAAAGTATCTGGGTACAGTCCCCAGGCAAAACTGTCTAGGAACAGATTGCCATAAACAAAGACTCTTCCATTTGCCCTGAAGCCATGCCCTCTTAAGACTCTTTTGTAATGCAGACTTAACATGGATGGTAGTGATTGGCTAAGAGTACTGGTGTGGGTTAACCTGGTGCTAAAGCTCCAATTTAAGTAGATCGACAAGTTACCACATTTTCTGGTGCAAATATTAGTGACCCTAAAATGAAGGATAATTAGCAATTCAAATATATAGACCTTGGCAAATCTCCATAATTCCTGATTTAGTGAATAACAGCAAGTGAGTCATGCTGATTGACAAAACAGTTTCAGAATAATATTAAAGCATTACTTGTCCAGTTTAGGTCAATTAGCCCCCCATACTTTTTTTTTTTTTTTTTTATAATGATTTCAAAAGGTATACATAAGTGGAAGTAGTAACTACTCCTTCTTATGCTGAACCTGCAAGTTTACTTAAGTTGACAAAGAGTGGAGCTCTAGTCAAGCTGCAAATCCTTTGTCAACTTTGTCATTGGCTGGCCACTTCTCACTCCCCTCCCTCCAACATCACATCACCTTCTCTCTGTGCTGGCTTTCGTGGGATCCTGAGAATCAACACAGTGCAAGGAAAACCCAATGTGCATGCCCTAGGAAGGGCAGAGGTAGGACATCTGGCGAGCTCCATCTTGGAAACGCCATGATGGCACCATGACTAAAGACCCATTGGGACAGGCAGGAAATGAAAAACAGTAGATTTAAATATCGTGTTGCCAGTCACAATCATATGATGGGGTGGGGGCACCAAGGAGACCCAAAGTGTGCCATTCTTGTTATAATTGTGCTTTAAAATGTTTACTTGTTTGTGAGAGAATTATTTTTTAATTGATGTCACCATAAGAGGTTTTCAGCCCTCTCATTCTTTTTCATACAAGTTGAGGTTGCAGCTCTGGGAAGCACACTGTCAGGTCCGATCTCTTTGCTGCCAACTAAGAGGAAATGAAAGTGCAGATTCTGCTGTTTCCACTGACTCCTCCATGGATGAATCTTCCGAAACTTCTTCAGCCAAAGATGTACCAGCTGGGAGCCTCCGGACAGCCCTAACAGAGTTGAAGAGCCTTATCTTGAGTATCCTAGACACATGCGAGTCTGCGGTATATGTCTTATAAGCAATTCACCTAACATTTAGATTTTTTTGCATCCATTCAGACAAATGCAATACATATCAAACTTTTCCTCACTACCATACTCTCTTTTATTATACCAGATGTCATGGTTTGACACATAATCTTGTTTGCGACTGTTGGATCAAATTTCCGAACACCAAATAGCCCTAACACTACCCCAGAATAAAATAAATTTTTGTCCCCTTGTTATTCCCAATCATAACTTCTAGAATTTCATTTCATATGACTAATAGTCCTAACACCCAAGGATGTTATACAGTTGCTGTCGTTCATTATTGAAATGCAAAGTTTTAGAAAGGAAAACAATGGACTATTCTTGTGGATTGAAAATTTGATTCACAATTCCTTGTCATAACTAACACTTAGTATCTATAAACTATGTTTTCTAGAGCTCAAGAAAATGTGAGGATGATGGTTTAGAGGAGCAGATTAAACGAACAAGTGAAGACTCCAAAGCTTTACGGGAACTTTTACAAGGAGAACAAGTGAGAATGAAGCAGACATTTGAGGAGCTTCAACGGCTTCACCAACAGGTAAAAATCTTGTCCATTAAATCAATACTGTTTTCTCAGTATTCCGGGTCCAAATATTCAGTTTGGTATACAGTGTGAATACATGAATTGAATATTGAAGTCAATGTTATACTTCTCATTGTATCAAAATTAATTTTAGCATTCTTTCTATACGTATGCATGTGTGTAAATATAATTAGTTCTATAAAATGTAATATAAATAGATATAGAACAGAAAAAAAAAATCAGCACTCCCAGGATTTTTAAATAAAGCTTCTTTTTACTCCAAAATATCGACGTTTCAGTTCCTACCACAAACTTTCATCAGGATAAAGATGTTTGTTATCTGATGAAAGTTCCTGGTATGAACTGAAACATCAATATTTTGGAGTAAAAATAAGCTTTATTTAAAAATACTAGGAGTGCTGATTTTTTTTCTGTTCTGCATGTCTAGTGCAATCTAGCACCGGGTTCTACATTTTTGTAAGTAGGAGTGCAAGGCTTTTAAAAAATAAATATATATATATATATATATATATATATATATATGTATATATAGTAAGGTTTGGTAAATGTATAGGTACACTTTAAATGAAAGTATCCAGATATTTTTTGCATAGTAAATCTCAAACAAAAGCATAAACTGAGTGATAACTAATCACCACTAGTCTACACAGTGGAGCACTTACAACATTTACACTTACCCCTATTTGGGCGGTTATTTAGCAATGGAATACTATGGGGAGGAAAAAACACATAGTGTAGTACAATTAAGTAAAATAGGTAGTGTATAGTACAAAATGGACACACTCACATGGAAGAGAACCTTTGTTTCCGAAACCCATTTCACTGTTTCCAGTACCGCTTTTTCAATCAGTAACCTGCTTCCTTCTGTAAATTCCTTAAAATCCCCTGTCTATATCTTAATTGGTTGCCTGGCTTGTGATTTGTCTAATCACGAGCGCAAGCCCAGGGAAGTGTGTGTTCTGGCTGTGTAGTATTGATAATCCTGTCCCCTTTAGTTTCTTAACTCGCTTTTCAGCCAATCACATAGTAATGCAGTTGTGGTAGTATAAAAAACGCACGACTGGGCTGTCTTCAACCATCACTCTGTCATGACTTCCTGTGTTTTCTGGCATGCTAATGAAACTAATCTTCTTTTTCAGTTAAAGGTACACTATAAGCATCTATAATAGAGTGGCTCCGATGTGTAGACCATGTCCTTGCAGTCTAACTGCTCAATTGTCTTCCATTTTGGAGATAAACCACGTAGTTTGTGCAGGCCTAACTACACCTCCCCTGCTTGTGACTTATACAGTATCCCTACACATTTCCTGTAAAGAAAGATCTAATGTTTAAACTTCTTTATTGCACAGTATGTTTAATTTAGAATGTCTTATCTCCTGCTCTGTTAGTAGTCTGCTAGACCCTGCAGAATCCTTCCGTGTGTGATTCAAGTTCAATTAAATAAACACTAAAACGTTAGAAATACAAAAATGTATTCCGAATGTTATAGTATAATAGTCCCTGTACTTTTTCAGGTCGCTCCTTAGCTCTCCTCCATCCAATCAATGCACTGCGCACGCATTTAACCTTTCCCCATAGGAAAGCATTCAGATATTGTTTTCCTATGGGGCTTCTGCAGTAACAGGTTCCAATGTAGAGACACTCACATTAGAGCTGCCTGCATGCAATATAAAGAATGTTCGACATTGTCACGAACGTGGGTTATTGGCCCAGCAGACAGTGGGGAGAGTGTGGACATGAAAAGTTAATGATACCAGACCCCTGGTTACCTGTTGCTAGTCCCAGCAACCACTAAGTTAACCACTGCAATACCTTCTACACTAACACCGTAGTACACACTTTACTGCCACCACCCAGACTTTATACCCAGCGACACGGTCAAATTATAGTATCACAACCTTACTTTACTGATCAGACATATATGATTAACCCTTTTGGTAACATGTTTACTTGCATTTTCACTTTAGAAGAGTGAGCTTATAGAGAACAAAGACACAAGCTGATTAAGTAAATATTTAATCTGACAAAAAGGAATCACCGTGCTGGGTACAAAAATACAGAAATAAATGACATACAGAAACACAGATAATAAATTGCAAACAGTCCATAAAATAAAATAGGAGAAAGCACAAGAGATATATTTACCGCTTATATAAAATTCTTGTGGGAGATTCCGATGTTAAAATTCTAAAAGTAGTTGTTAAAAAGAAATCTCTCACTGGATAGTCCAACATCCTCTATATACCTTGAAACCAGTTGTTTCTCAGTGGGCAGACCCCTGGCTGGGGGGGATCAGAGGGGTTTGGCCTGGCAGTTTATATCCCACTCCATATTTTCATACAGCTCAATGAAGTGGTCTGAGTGCCAGGTCCCTCAGGTTTTAACCCTTTAGATGCAAACATAGCAGTTTCAGAGAAACTGCTATGTTTACATTTGGGATTAATCCAGCCTCTAGTGGCTGTCTTCCAGACAGCCACTAGAGGCGCATCTGCGATGCTGAAGGCACATTTGGCCTCCATCACGCAGAGCAATGCTTTCCTATGAACACTTTGGATGCGCGCGCGGCACTTGCCGCTCATGCGCATTCGGCTCCGCTGACGGGGGAGGAGAAAAGGGTAAGGGGCTGAAGGGGTTTTAACCCCTTTGTTTTCCTGACACTATAGTGATCCTTTAAATTATGTTGTCCTTTGAGGAACCCAATGTCAGAGCATATGCACCAATACCTTTTACAATGCCCTATGTCCAGCTCTGGTGATGGTTATCTTAGTAGTTTTATGACTTAGGCCTGGTGTAAGATAAAAGCCTACAGGGGGCGAGCTTGCTTGCAAGGGAGAGCGGACGCCATTTCTTGAAGCTCCGGTCAATTGCCTGTAATTTCCCCAAAAAACCTGATACCGACTCACCTCTCAGCAACGCAAAACCCGGCATCTGCCTCCTGGTGTCCTACCGATCAGACCCATGCCATTTTTTCATACACCAAAGGTCTCCCGATCGAAACGCCGGCCTGTGGCCTACTACTCACCTCCCAGGGCTGTGCTCAGCGTGCTACTCAGTAACTCCCACGGATTAATATCTCCCGCTACGGAGCTCCACGATCCGACTGGGCAGGTTGGTAACGAACCGGCAATGGGACGTCGCACCCAGAAACAGATGGCTGGGGCCGCAGCAGACACCAGGGATATTGAATCCATGCTCCAACGGCCGCCCCAAGTTAAAAAGGTGACAGAGGCCCACCATGACACCTCACCAAGCCCCAGAGCGCTGTCCACCCCTACCTCACAGCCCCCAGAACCGGCAACACAGGCCTCACTAGACCTACCCCAGGGGGAGACTGACCTGGCCAAAAAGCTGGACATTCAAAACTTCCTCCATGAAATTAAACAAATGCTGACAGCAGACATAGCTGCAGTAAAAACGGAGGTACAGGCTGTGACAGACTGAGTCAGAGTTACTGAAGAGGACATCATGGATCTGCGCAGGGACCTTACAGCTACCCAGGATAGACTTACACAAGTCCAATCCTCCCACCAGACGCTCAACTCGCAACTAACCTATAGATACCGTAAGAACCATATTAAGATCCGCGGCATACCAGACACGGTTCCCTCAGAGGAAATACCCCACTATGTGAGACGCCTAGTGGCTGTGATATTGCCTCCAAATGTGGCCAGGAAATTCACACTAGACTGGGCATACCGCCTTCCGAAACCCCAACGGGCCACGACGGCTATACCACGGGACGTCATAGTCCGCTGTGCTACACTACAGGATAAGGGACAATTTATGTCTGCTGTTAGGGGTAAACCACCATACCCCTTTGAGAACTCCCATCTGTCCTTTTTTCATGATCTCACCAGAGCCACACTCCAGTGGCGCAAGTCCCTCAGCATGGTGACAAGCCGGCTTAGAGACGCGGGTTTGGCCTACAGATGGAGCCGCTCGAAGACTTTCCTGGTGACCCACCAAGGAACTTTATACAACCTACCATCAGCTACAGAAGCCCCAGCATTTCTCAGTGCTCTAGGACTCCCCCCACTAACTGCTAACGAAACTCAGCCACATAATCCGCAAACTTGGGATCCGGCCACAGTTGTCCCTTTCACCCCACGAAGCACCTCTGATACCCATCGGGGAACCTGAGAGAAATGCAGAGAATCCACGCCTGGGACCCTAATTGTTAATGACTACTTGTTAATGCCTTTCTCTACTTACTTATGTTTATTCGCACCAGTTGTTCTTTTTCTTTTTCTTGTTTTTTGTTTTTATTATATTATTTTAATTTCAATGATTGCCCTCGCATCTGACAGGCCCTTATCAAGAGGTACAATTCCAGTCCGCTGTACCCACCAAAATGAAAGAGAATCCCTCTCCTCCCCCCGCCCCCTTGGTCAGTGGCAATACACATGCTCCACTGAGCTCAGCCTGGCATAACACTACAAAGCATGATCTCCTATAGAGCATCTACCGGAATATGCATATCAGCCATCTTGTCTAGACCAGTCTATAGCATTCTAGCACCCACACTACCATGCAGCACCCACTTGACATAACACCAAGGACTTTAGGCTAAGTATACACACGCTCACTTCACAGTGATAGGTCAAGCACCCTCCTAAATAACTGACAAGGCAGCTATTTGAATATACTCCTGCTAATACGGTGCTTGTGTCCTGACCATATAATACGCCTATTTATCTGCAACTATCTTAGCTGACCACGCAGTAGGGTCTAGAGTTTGACATGTTATATCCCATTCTGCACGAAAAGGTAGTGAATTCTATACCTGACTTCGTCATATGGCAGAATTGCAATGCTTATATATTTACGTAAATATTGTGCAGTTCCATCAATTGTCATGACACTAACTTAAATTGTTCTTGAAAGCTTGTACATGTTGTTGTGGCAGTACATGCCTGTCTGTTACTCTATGCACAGAAAAATAAAGAATTATAAAAAAAAAAAGATAAAAGCCTACAATAAAGGTTATCCAAACATGTACAAAACAAAACAACTCATTACATATATCAAATGCCAACTCATGCTTTGGTATGACAGACATCCTCATGCAAAGCTTAAACACTGCAGTTTTTTTTTTTTAGCAGAAAACACTAACGGTTATTCACTAAACTCAGAATTGTAGCAAAGCAAGAAAAAAATATGTTGAAATAGCTGAACTAGAAAAATTCTCCAGCTCATCTATAGGAAGTCTGTTGGATTTTAATTAAGGTTAGAATTTAGTGTTTTAAATACACTTGTGATTACATTTGTAATATATGTTTTTTTGTGTGCCTCTCTGCCAATCTCTACTTGCTTTCTCTAAAATGTAATGTGTTCTATAGTTTGGCCGGGTTATCCTTTAAAACATTATACATTCTACCCCAAGAAATGTTTTGCCCCCCCCTCTAGCTCAAGGGTGTCCAAAAGGTAGGTTCACTATCTGTCATGCTATGCTAGCTGGGGATCACTATTTGTATTTGTGAGCAGTGTGTGTTTTAGAATGTAATCATATTTTGTATGGAGTATGTATGCGTACATGTAGGAGTGTATTTATATTTACTGTTTTTTACTGCACTGTATTGTGTACTTCTACAGTTGTAACCAAAATGATTCAACCCCCCTTGAAAATAAGGTTTACAGACTTTCAGCTGTTTGCAATGAACAATTCAAATAAAAGCAATTGAAATAGCTCAACGGAATGAATGCCTCAAATGGTTTCCTCAAATTCAGCTGAGAATGCAACTTACAATGACTTCTTTAGTCCCAAAAATTACTCAAGCCCCCGAATAGAATACCTCACAACAGTACAAATATGCAAAACAAGTGTTGTCTCAAGCACATCTGATGCAACTAATCAAAGGGGTTTGTTGATTGTCACATTTGACTGCATGTTAGAAGTCTGGTTAAGTCAAAAGAATTGTCCACAAAGTTAAGAGAAGAGATCATAGTGTAACGTTCACTAGGGAACCCTAACATGCAGACAGGACAGAGTAGAGAGAATTGCAATACCGATCCTTAGAATGGTCGGGTTATGTAAAAAGGGATACTCAAAATACGAGCCAAGGTCAAGGGAAACAGAGAGACGGAATAACGAGATACAAAGCCAAATATCATTAACCAGGAAATCCAAATAACAAGTGCAACGCTCAATGGTAAACCAAAGACCACACCAGGGCACGGAGGCAAGGGAAAGGTTAGCTTATATACACACATTGTGTGTCTGATTGGCTAATCTCCAGTTAGTGTTAACCACAACACGTGGGAGGAGTTTCTTCCCTCCCTTGTGGTCTCTGAGGTCATCACTGTGTGCCGGGTAACATGACCGGGTGCAGCACACTTATAAGGAAGCTGCTCTGGAACGTGCAGCATCAGAAACACTGCCAGTCTGGAGACAGGGACCAGATGACACCGCTCACTGTGATGAAATAAGCAAGCTCGCCGCGATCGGCACAGGGGCAGGGGATCTGACACATAGCCCTTCACAATCAAGGAACATGATAAAAAAGATAGAGAAGGCACTGAATGTTCCTGGAGATACCATTGGAAGCATAGTTTGCAAGTTCCAAGTTGAATGAACAGTGGTTACACTTCCTGGACATGGCAGAAAAAGAAAATTTTTACTGGCTGCAACCAGATTTCTGAGATGGCAGGTTGTAAAAGACCCTCAAGTAACTGCAAAAGACCTGCTGCAAGACTTGGTGGCAACAGGCACTGAGGTTTCAGTGAGCACAGTAAGGTGTGTGCTAAATGCAGAAGGTTTCCATGCCAGAACTCCAAGACGTAGACCACTACTGACCCAAAAGCACAAGAAAAGTCGGCTCCAATGTGCTCAAAATCATATAAATAAGCCAGAAGTTTAGGGATTCTATTCTGTGGAGCGATGAAACAAAACTGGAACTTTTTGCCCAATGGATCAGCAGTACATCTGGAGAAAGAAGAATGAAGTGTATGCTGAAAAGAACACTCTGCTTACAGTTGAGCATGGTGGTGGCACGGTGATGCTCTAAGACTGCTTTGCATCCTCTGGCACTGGAAACCTGCAGTGTGTAGAAGGCAAGATGGATTCATTGAAGTATCAGGAAATCCTAGGAGAAAATCTTATGCCATCTGTGAGGAAGCTTGGACGTCATTGGACCTTCCAACAAGACCATGATCCCAAGCATACCTCAAATTCTACCAAGACTTTGCTGCAGAAATTGTCCTGAAAAATTCTGCAGTGGCCATCACAATCGCCTGACTTGAATCCCATAAAAAATGATCTTGTGGGATTTGAAGAAGGTGGCTGCAGCATGCAAACCCAAGGATATTTCTGAATTATTACATGAGCGATCGGCTAAGATTCCTCAGAAACGCTGCCAGAAGCTGGTGTCTGGCTATGCATCTCGTTTGCAGCAGATCATAATGGCGAAAGGGTGCTCTAGCATGAACTAAAGATTCTTGTCATGAAGAGGTTTAATAATTTTGAGACTGGATTTGAATTTTCACTTGAATTTGGGGAAACCACTTGAAGCATGTATTGTCTTGAGCTATTTCAATAGCTTTTGTTTGATTTGTTCATTGCAAACAGCTGAAAGTCTCTAAATTTTAACAATAAACCTGATTTTTAAATGGAAATTGAATAATTTTGATTACAACTGAATGTAATGTTTTCATTTGAATGCAGGAGTGTGTTTGTGTGTAGTGTTAGCTTTTAAATGCAGGTGCAATTCTGTGTTGTGTGTAGTGTTGGTGTTTGAATGAAGTTGTGTTTGTATATAATTTTGGCATTTTAATATAGGGGTGTGTTTGCATGCAATGTTGGCGTTTCTTGGGATGTTTACATAAATACATATACACTGCGACATACATAAATACATACACATTGACACACAACTACACACACAAAAATACATACACACTCGCACACACACACACATGCACGCTCGGATGCACACACTGAAGCATACACACTCCACACATTAGGGATCGACCGATTACCGGTCTGGCCAATAGCTTGATTGATAAAGGCCTCTGTATAGGTCGAAATGTTGCACTTTTTGTTCCAAGAAATCAGCCCTCCTGCAGCAATCCTGAGTGCCTGGACCTAATTTATTTTATCTACTAAACTGGGTTTTGCCAACCGTGGCCCGGATTCCTAAGTGTGAGTGCAGTATCCTTCATTTGTGAATTACTTTGGCCAATATTATCATCTGATATGCAGCATTTTCATTAATATCGTTATTGGCCTATAATTGTACCAATATTGCCGATAAAGCAGATGGCGGCGGAGGCCCAGCACATGCTATGTGCAGCATCTCTCTCTCGCTGTAAACAAGAGTTGCTTTTACTTGCTAAGGAGTACTGAGTGTGAAGTGTCCTATACATTTAAAGGAAAACTACCTTGAAAAAAGTGATGAAACCCCCTGGCAGCCTGTAATGCCCCCCTACCTGGCCAATGCTAAAAGGCAGAGAAAGGAAAATAAAAATAAAAATATTTTTTTAAAGTTACTAAGTAATGTAATAATATTTATAAAAAATTATTTTATTTTTTTTAAAAGCTTTTAGCCTATCCTATCCCACATACTGTGTATATATATATATATATATATATATATATATATATATATATATATATATATATATATATATATATATATATATATACACACACACTGCATCTACTACACAAACACATATATATTCTTGAAAACATTGCAAATCTGACTGGCATGTATATTTTGTGCATTTACCACTCAATAAAGAAAATATTTGGGGGCGGAGCCAGCAGCGCAGCTGAACGGACGCCATTTCTAACGGCTCCTGAACAGCATTTATAATCTTACAAATATCTTAATTTACATGCACAATCCACAATCTGCAGACCCACCAACAGAATCAGGGGTTCAAGCTGCGCAGATTGATGCCCTTCTTTCAACCAGCCAAGACACCTAAGCGGAGATGCAGGCATGGGACATACACCACGCAGATCTGGAGACATTCCTCGGAAGTGCATATGCGGCCACAGAGCCCGAATCACACAGCCAAACACACCCAGAGCCCTCCATACACATACCTGCTATGGGAAGTCGTTCCCAGAAGACGAGCACTCCGGCTGAGCACCAAGACATCAGAGCGCTGCTTCAAAGACAGGTACGGCCCAAGATGGCGCCTGCAGAAAGCCTCCACACTGCGGCCTCTGACATATCCTCAGAGCACCAACAACAGCGCGAGCCGCCCAATACACCACCCAATCCCACAGCCGGCCTGGAAGACTCGTCCCCCGCAACGAAACACGCCATGAATGTCCTGCTGCAGGACTTCCACAAGGTACTTGCAGCTGAACTTGCAATACTACTCTCAGACATGCAAAACACCACTGACAGGATCCGGGCTACAGAAGAGGACATTATAAATGCAGGCCTCACCAACATACACACCTTGGTACAGCAGCTGACTAAATCGAATCAAACACTCTCACTACAGATGACCACCATGGAAGAACGGTACAGACGTAATAACGTGAAAATCAGGAGCATACCGACAGCAATATCGGTAGAAGAGCTATCCCACTATGTCAGGAGATTGATGGCAACAATATTGCTCCCGGCAATGGCAAAGAAAATCACTCCCAGGGCCCACCAGGCCTCCACCGCACACAACCAGAGACGTCATCATAAGATGCACTTCGGCATAAGATAGGGGGCATATCATGGCAGCCCTGAGCAGCAAGACGCCACTAACATTCGAAGAAAAATTTACCTTCTATCAAGATCTTACCAGAACGACCCTACAATGGCGCAAATCGCTCAGACAAGGCATGCAACAATTGAGAACAAGTAATCCACAACGGAACAACTCACTCGCTTACCGACCTGGCGGACGCACCTAAGTTCCTTTCATCAATGGGACTGGCAGAACCATGGACTGGCCCAGAAACCAATGCCCCGGGCAGGTCATGGGACCTGGCCACCACCATACCCTTTGTTCCAAGAATGGGAGCCAAGAGGCAACTGGGCACCTGAAAGCAAAAGAGGTGGTCGTGTCCGCTATAAAGACAACTGGCAGAGATCTGCAACTTAACTGACCTCATGTTTTATTTTCCATCTTTTCTCATATCGTGTCTCTTAAATTGTATTTGATTAATATTGTTTTACAATTTGACTAAGCTATACAACACTTCACAGAGGCTCCACTGAGACTTACACTGACGGAAGACCACCCCACGCAGGAGTGACCCAGACGGCTCTAGAGCCCAAAGATCATCCCATCACAACTCCTAGGCGAGGCATACACTACAGCTCAACCCCCTCCCCCTGCAGCGCCCTTGGTTAGGAGCACGCCACGCTTAATTGCAATGTACCCCTACAACAGTTCTTTGTTGGAACCCATCACAATGCAGAAACCAACACAACAGGCAACCTTTCATGACCTCCCCACAATGTCAGTGACCCTCAACGGGTCTTGCCTCATACAGAGGACCACCAACCAACGCTGAACCCAAGATCCTAACATTGTGTCACTACTCAGATATAGAAACCCCGTACCTCAACTATGCAATATATCAGCACACTTACGATTACTGACCCACAAGGCACACTCACCTACTGAGATATACAGAATTTTTCATGTTTATGAAAAAAAATGTTTGTGCCGCATACTCATGTCACACCTTTGTCCAATTGCAAAAGCCGTTCCATGCTATCATGGCATTCTCGGCATGTCGGTTACTTCATGGCGCAACAAAAATAAAGAATTATAAAAAAACAAAGGAAAGATCAGCAAAAAAATAAATTAAATTAAATAATTAATATGTTCAGTTAACAGCAGATTTGTGTAGAAATTTTTCTTTTTTCAAAATGGTAAATGTTCAAAATGTCGGTACAAGTCATTGGCTATTGGCCTGAAAGGCCACAGATTATTGGTATCGGCCCTAAAAAAGCAATATTGATCGATCTCTAAAACACATACACACACTGACACATACATACTCAACTACAGACACATTCATACACAGACACATACATACACATACTTGTAATATTTTTAGCCACTTTCCTATCAACATATCTTTTATGTGCAGGAGGGTGACTTCCTTGCTGGTGTCCAATAGAGGTGTAGATCTGGGGCTGGTACTCACCTAGTGCCTCCCCTCTCTTGTGTTAGCTCTCTCCCTGCCGTGGTGTTCCCTCTGAATGTGGGAGGAAGTGACAGGCACTCACTTCCTCCCAGCATTGACGATCTTCCAGGGGCCTGGTCGCGCTGTTAAAGGGTAACATGATTCTAGGGAAGTGCCTAATATCTATGGGACATAAATCCTGGTGTCTTATCTCCATTTTTACTTGCTGAAAGCAGCAAGCAGATGAACACAACCAGGGCTGGTATTTACATGATTGTGGGATTATAATGCAGTAAGTGCCTTTGGTTTGTGCCCAATTAAGTTCCATATTATGGTCTAAAATAGCAAATGTAGCATTTGCCATACAATATATTTGTTGTGTATAATAAAACCATGGTGAAGAGCAATCTTTTTGTTTTGATGGAGGTTACCTTATTCCACATTTGTCCTTGAGGGATGCCCAATATGATATGTTTTCAACGAAGGAATAAAAATCCATTTTGATGTATCTTATTTGTGATTTTTTTTTTTTTTTTATTCAAGGATTCAATTCCAAATTATACACGTTTCTGTTTTCAGGTGAAACTTTTAAGTATTGAAATGACTGCACTGAAAGAAGAGCGGGACCATCTCCTGGTACTAACTCAAAATACAGAGACACACGAGCAGTTAACGAAGGCCATCAAGGACCGGGATGAAGCAATAGCCAAGTAATGACAATATTTGCTACTACTTTTGACTATAGCCCAGGGGCAGGGGTAAATCCACAGAGCTAATAAGTTAACATGTCATATGCACTCTTGGGTCACACAAAAGTGCTGCCTGGTGTTATTTATTATAACTGTACTGGTAAGAAAAATCCAAGATTTATATAGGTTGAAAAAAATACATGTGTCCATCAAGGTTAGCTTTTCTCACATCTGTTCCTGCTGTTGATCCAAAAGGCAAAAAATAATCTTCAAGCTCTTTCCAATTTTAAAGCAACTAGGAAAAAGTCCTTCTCCACCCCAGAAGGGCAGTTAGATATTTTATTGGATTGATAGGTTGTGTATTTGTGTGTACTGTTGGCATTTAAATGCAGTTGTGTGTTTTTATGTACTATTGCCATTTGAAAGCAGTGACTAGGCATGTTGGGAGTCAGTTGCCCTCTCTCGTGCGATACTCCATATATGTTAGCTGGGAGGAAATGACCTACACTTACTTCCTCCCAGCAATAGTTGCCATTTTTCAAGGGGCTTCGTCATGTTGTTAATGAGTTGCAGTGCAGACTGGGCCCCTGAGGACAAATGCCCATCCTGTGGCCTCCTCAGTGTTCGTGGCTCGGTGCCGCCACCACTGTTTTGTAGCATATTCCAACCATTAATTAATTTCCCATCTTTGACCCATGCAGATATCTACTCATAAGTCATCCATATGCTTAATATTTGGCATTAACTCATGATTGACATGGCAGTAATCCGTTAAGAACCACCATGATACATATTCCCTCCACCAGCATATGAATGATAAACAGTGAAAGGCAGTATATTTTTAAGTCAAATCTGTTTAAAAGTCTTGAAATGTTGCTGGTTTTACCATACCATTTTCTAATTTCTAAATATTAAAATCATGACAGTTAAATATGGAAAGAAAATTAAGACGTGGCTGCAAAGTAGCAGGTAACGAGTAAATGTGGGAAGGTAGAGGTATGGATAGATGGAGGACTGAAAGGTAGTCCAAAAACTATACCCTAGCGTGCCTTCGAGGGCACCCCTTAAAAACGTTGACACCTCCAAACTTCCCAGACTCCCAAAATTGTATACAATGACATGAAAAAAAAACCTTTTCCCGCTTACCCCCAGCAACAGAAAGATAAATTAAAAAAAGATAAAAGTAAATGTAATTCTAAATAAATCTAAATAAAGATCTTATACTAAAATCACAGTGTGGTGGCTTGTCTTTATCTTAGAAAATAGCTGCAGCATCATCCCTAATCTTAATGCCAACCACTGCTAAAGTTTCGCCTAGTAAAGGCTCTTTACTGTTGCTGGGGTACGCAGGAAAAGTTTTTCTTCATGGTATAAGATTTTGGGAGTCCGGGAGGTTTGGAGGTTTTTAACCCCTTTTTAACCCCTTAAGGACACGACATGTCTGACATGTCATGATTCCCTTTTATTCCAGAAGTTTGGTCCTTAAGGGGTTAAGGGGTGCCCTCGAAGGCACGCTAGGGTCTAACTTTTGGACTATCTTTCAGTCCTCCCTCTATCCATACCCCTTCCTTCCCACGCTTACTCGTTACCTGCAACTTTGCAGCCAGGTCTTAATTACTTTCCTTCCCCTCCCCCCCATATCTTTTCAGCAATATTTAGACTTTTGGTTATTATTATTTTTTGTTAGTTAGCACTATTTTGGATTTATAATTACTTTCTTTACCCACTTATGCTGGGATTTTATTATACTTATTAAACTTGACTTTTTATCTATGGGTTGCTCATATATATATATATATATATATATATATATATATATATATAGTTTGAAACCGTCTCCACCTCCAATTCTCCCCTTGTACTTGTGTTTATACTTACTTGAAGCCACTGCCCCAATTGCAATATCAGCCTTTTCTGGGTATAGTGGTGAGAATTACATGACTGCTATGGAATAAAAGATTGGAAACGGGGAGCAGGGGTGCAGGCTGCCCTACGTGACAGACAGCAGGAGTAGTACACTGAGCAACCCGCTCCCACCAGACTCCGTTACATCATGGAGAAGAGCAGGCACCTACCAGCACACTTCTAATAAGGGAGCCCTGTAGCAAGTGTCTGCTTAGAATATGTAAATGTGCAAATGCAAGGAAGCACCTGGGTTCACTGTTTGCACTAGTTGGATAGCTCACTAACATGCCCTCTACTGCCAGAAGATGGGATGTCATGTCTCCTAGCAGTGGCATCAGTATAGAGCTGCAGAGCACAAGGGAACTGTGGAACATTTGTACAAATTAATCCAAGCATCTTTACACTGGACTCTCCCAGCAAAGATAAGAAAAGGGAGACTGGGTGTGTTATCCTAGACCTAAAAAAGTGAAAGTTGGCACTTATACACTTATGTCTACAAATAACTCTTGTCATTGATGCTGCTAGCAAATGTCAACAATGTGCCATCTTTTAAAGGAACACTCCACATATGAAACACTTGAGCTTTTTCATTTTAATTTTTGTTTATGAAAGTGCTGATATATATTTGAAATTGTCACTTTTATTTATATGTGCAGACACCCCTTCTTGGCTGTCAATCAAGACAGATAGGGAGGTTATCTTCCCGATTTCATTAGCTCAACAAAGCTAACAGCAGTGGCTTGTCTGCCTTCTCCCCCAAGTCACAGTAATTCTGTGAATGTACATACCCATGCATGCACATCGACAGGGCTCAGGGCCCTGCATCCCTGGCTTGCCATTGGTCCCTGGCTAAGGGTGCATGCTTATGTAAGACTCTGAGGCTTTTTAGTGAGAAACCTGTGATTTTGAGGGGTCATTCTCACTGCCCAGTGTAAAAAATGGTGCTGGTGAAGAAGGGGAGAGCTTGCAAAGGATGCAGACAAGAGATTTCCAACTTTTACAAGCTGTCTTTAGATGTATCCCCAATGACAAAATGCACAATAAAATGCATGCTTGTTTTCAATGGGTGTATATCTACTAAATAGTGATTTTTATTTATTTGGGGGAGGGGAGGCAGTGGAGTGTCCCTTTAAACAACTTTAGGAATGTATGCTAGCAATATCTGATTGGATATTTCACCAAAACTACAGTCTTGTTTAGAAGCAAGAGAAACTGTTATATATTAGCTAGGCAGAAGCCATTATATAGAGAGAGAAAGGTGACTTTCATTTTTTATTTTTTTTAAATACAAACATGAAAACAGCAAGCTAATGACCATTGTTGTGTCTGATTACCGTTTCAGGAAGAATGCAATGGAAATGGAGTTGGCAAAATGTAGAATTGATCTGATGTCACTGAACACTCAGCTATTAGATGCCATTCAACAAAAACTGAATTTGTCCCAGCAACTGGAGGCATGGCAGGTCAGTGACAGGTTCTAGAACTGTGCTAGTAGTTGTGTTTCTTAATGTAAGATGACATAAAACAGGCAACATACCTATGGACGTCTGCACAATTTTATCAAGGAGGGGGCATAATTGTAATGACATCCATGCTCTGCACCTTTTTGACAATGTCATGGGAGGGGCACTGTCATTATCACATAAAGCTAAGGCATGCACAAGTAAGAAAACTGATGCAAAAGTGTATTAGAAGAATCATTATCTGATTTGATACATACACTGGCACACATGTACATGGCACAAATACAAACACTAACATAAATAAAGATGCAGACACACAAAGCACACATATAGATGCATAAGATACAAACAATGACATATGCAGATACACAGACACTAATTCAAATAATGCCACACATGCAGATGCAGAGATACACAGAACCAGTTACACAAATACACAGATACACAGAAGCAAACACTGACACACATTCAGATATACAGACACGCAGATACAAACACTGACACACATGTATGGGCGCAGACAAACTAGTGCAAACCCTGACACACATGCAGATACTCAGACAGATACAAACACTGATGTTTTACTTGCTTTTTGCTTTATTTGTACATGCATTACAATTTTTATTCACAATAATGTTTTATTACTCAGGCAAGGATGCATCTTTACCAGTTTGTCTCTTAATCCCCCTTTTGAAATTCGTACTCCCTTTAGTGTTTCTTATCCCATCTGTTGAATGTCTTACTCCTTTTTGTGCATCGTATCTCCCATTTTCCCCCTTTATATAATTTTCCACTTTTTGTGTCATTGTCCAATTCCCCAGCCTCTCTGTGTGTCACTGTCCCCTTCTCAGTCCCTGTGTTTAATTATCCCAAGCTCTGTCTCTTTCCCCCAGTGTGTGTTACTGTCCTCTGCTCAGCCCACTCTGTCATTGTGCCCATCTCAACCCCTCTGTGTTATCCCCTTCCCCTGCCTCTGTGTCACTGTCCCCTTTTCAGCCCATGTGTAATTACTGCAAGCCCGTCTGTCTCTTTCTCTCAGTGTTTGTTACGGTCCTCTGCTCAGCCCACTCTGTTATTGTGCCATTCTCAGCCCCTCTGTGTCATTATCCCCTTCCCCAGCCTCTCTGTATTACTGTCCCCTTCTCAGCCCCTCTGTTTAATTAATTAGAAGCAAGAGAAACTGTTATATATTAGCTAGGCAGAAGCCATTATATAGAGAGAGAAAGGTGACTTTCATTTTTTCTCAAGCCCCTCTGTCTCTTTCCCCCAAGTGTGCCATTCTCAGATCCTCTGTGTCATTATCCCCTTCCCCAACCTCTCTGTGTTGCAACCACCAGCCCATCCATGTGTCTTATCTCCCCCCAGCTCCTCAATGTCTCACTCTAATCCCACAGTCTCTCCATGTGTCTCATCTCCTCCACCCCCCCACTACACTCCGTTTGTCTTATTCTCTCCCACAGCCCCTCTAAGTGTCTCATCCCCCTCTATGCTGACCTCAGTGGGTCTGAACAAATTGCAGGTAGATGATCTTCTGTTTATGACAGGAAGTGCTCACTGAGAGCACTTCCTGACAGAGCATGATCCGCTCGGCCATGCTACATAGAGCGATGTGTATGAAGATCTTTGACAATGATTTTAGATGACATTTATATTTTGTTTTGCGCTGAAATTCACTTGGGTACTTTGTTACGAATGTATATGCCTAATACAATCTCTTTATATTGTATGTTTTCTATTATTGATATGCACTTTAATGTCATGGTCCCTTTTACTGGGATTCTGGCCCATGGATAATAAAAAAAACATGGGTATGGCACTCTGGTGGAAATGTGCTAAGATGTTACGAGATATTCTACTGAGAGGATCATCCCCATTTTTAAATTATTTTTTTTTTATACCTGTGTTTAATAGCAGTACAATTTGATGCTGATACTTAGCAAAAGCTCTCTGCAGTGGAAATTCTCATGACACTTTAGTACATTGCCTATATTTTAGAGTACCATTTCCAACTCAGTGAGTGTTCACCACTTGTCTTTGGGCTCTAGTTTGCTTCCTCAGGGCTTTTTACAATCTGGCTCCTTTGGTTTCTGATCTAATGGCCTTTCACAGTTCCTGTACCGACAACTTTAGTCATACACCCCTCCTGCCTTAGAGGTGAGACCTTGCCCCTGTGCAAACCCATTTAGCACTTCCATTGCATCAAATAAGCGCTCAAATTACCATTGGCAAGTTTGTACTCACCAATCTGCATTCATACATTTTTCACAAGTATGCTCATTTCTATAATCATATGGCAACAAGCTGTCCATCCCCCTCACTGTTTGAGTCTGCTATTAGCTTTCCATCCTTCATCTTAATGTATACTTGCATGATTGTGAGTTGATGTCACGTGGTCTGTGAAAAGCACTAGCATGTTAGTGTCAATTTATCCAGAGCTGGAGAGCCCAAGCTTGCATCTCCTGTACAAATCAGGGCTAACAGAAGGTAATAGGAATAGTTAACCAATAGTTGTAGGGTTTAAATCAGCGTAGACATGTCTTTTTTTAATTGAGCAATACAAGGTTTCATTTGCAGCAGTCTTTATAAAGAGGGAGAGGGAGAGGGAATAAAATACACAATCCATACACACATCAGCGGTGCTCTATAGTCAATAACACTGAAGCAACGACACCATAGACGTTCAGTGCAAAACCACACAAGAATACACAAAATAGAAATACGATTGCAAACAGAATATAAATAAATAATGAATTCACCAATACAGATATGGACAATGACAATACGTTCTATCCCACTTCTGGTTCGTGGAGTGTGGTACTATTTGGAATGCAGTCCCCCTAAAAGCGGCACTGTCATGCCAAACTTACCTTTACCCAATCACTTCCTCTTCTCTCCCTCTGTCAGGATCTGTTCTTCATTTCTTCATGTCTGCTTTAGTTTTCTTTAAAACATAAGACAAAGTAGGGACTATTTTGTCTTATGCAAGTTTCCTACGCCTGACCAGCTATGACCAGCGGAGGAGCAAAGTGTGCTTCATTTCCTGTGGTCAGAGCGATTTTCCCACAATTCTCACCTTTCCTCCGTGATCTCGCGATGCTTCCTTTCACTGTTCCCGAATGTCCTGTCATTTTAGACAGAACACCGGCGAAACTACTGAATTTCGTCCTAACGGAATGAGAACAGTTTCTCCATTCGTGTTAGGATGCAATTCAGGACTTTGTTCGGATCGGAATTTCATTTGAATGAATTAAATTCCTATCTATTCTTGCAGCCGCTTAGTAGATAACTCCCTAATTCCCACGGTATTAGGGAGCTATCTACCAAAAGGCTGCGCGGTGCCCTCGCTGGGTGAAGATGGATTCTTTTTTTAGCGTCAGGATTTTTTATTTTTTTTGCTCGGGTTTTGTTTTATTTTACAAGTTCGACAGATTTTTATTTGGCTTTTTTGGGGCTAAAAAGAAGACCTCAAATGTGGTGTATTTTTTTTACGTACAGGGATTTAGTTTTATTGTTCCCCTTCACTTTCTTTATGGTGAGGGAGTTAGGTAGTGCTTTATTTAATTTTTTATTTTTTTTTTTTATTGTGGGGGGGAAAGGGTGTGGGGGACCCCTAATCAATTGGGAGTTGGGGAGGTTACATTGAGCCCCCACCCTCCGCTCATGGGTGGGTAACAATAGGGGTGTGTGTGTGTATCCATTTTCATTTAGGGTCCCTACCTGCCGCTCATGGGTGGGGCTGGGGGGAGAACAATAGATCCCATGTCTCCCCCTCCCCCTCCCATATTTTCATTTCACTGTTTAGTAGACATGCCCCTACTCGCGGCATAGCTTGTAGGGGCATTCAGGAGATTTTAATAGTTTAATCTACCTTATGCTATTATGGGGGTCATATTGAAATAAAGATGAAAAAAGAGGTAACATGGGGGGCTTAGGGGCATTTGGGGGTGACTAGGGGGACAATTAGATGTAGTGAAGTCAGGAGGGGGGTTAAAAACAAACAACTGGATTCGACCATGACAGTGCCGCTTTAAAAATCAAAGGAACTCATTTATACATAGCATATCCTGTTATGTTTGCAATTAATATATGTATATTTTATGTATTCTTGTGTGGTTTTGCACTGAATATTATTTACATGTGTATGGTGTCATTTCCTCTAGATTACAGTGCATTAACTATGGGGCACAATAATCTCATTGATATACTAGTTTTGCATGATATAAATTAGGTTTCATAAAGACTCATTGGAGTCGATCAAACCCTGCACTGGATTAAGCGCTGAGGGCTCAGACCTGTTCTGGATTTGAGGTATGTACCTTTTCAAGACGTTTTTATGAATGGGGAGCTACCAATTGGCCTCTGTCCAATGCTGCCTTAGCCCTACATTATGAAGAATTTAAAAAAACGGCATAACAGAGATGCAGAGCAGAATGGCACTGGAGTAGACACATTAATATTTTAAACCCTATAAGGTAAGCCCCCCGGGTACCATAACTTAATTTGTGAAGTTGTTATGGTGCCTGGAATGTTCCTTTAAATAAAATAACACTTTAAATCACCATTAAACCTATATGTAAGCCAGAGATCAAAGTAACTTCCTACATCATTGGACTCTCACAGAGTCTGGTGTTGACTTACTATACATGCTGATAACAAATAGCAATAGCTTAAACTTACTGTTGGGTCTGTGCACATGTCAACCCCAAACCCCAGGAGAGCCATCACATCCCTGGACAGGGGAGGGGAACCAGGGACTGACCCAGGAAGCACTCCTTTCCTACCAGGAGATTAAAGCTATAGAGCTGCACTACCCAGCCCTGTATAGATTGTGTCCTACAGCTATCTGGGAACTCCCTGTAATGTGATCGGGGAAGCTGCAGTCAGGTCACTGAGGGAGGGAAGCCAAGCTAAAGCCACGTGGGGGGAATGGATAAAGAGATAGCTGCCCCGGGCTGAGGGGGGAGCTAGGGTGACTGGGATCTGAGCCATTGAATGAGGCCTTGCCCTCCGGCCCCCACCCGGAGTTCCCTAGTCACTATGTCCCAGCTCACCTTAGCTCCGAGAAGGCTGCGGCATGCCCTGGGTGGGAGCGACTTGTACTTGGAGCCGGTGTTCTATCAAATTTCCCTACCCGTGAAAATCCCCTACTCCTCCAAGGAGCGAGCCTGAAAGGCCAGAGCCGGGACAAGGTTGAAAAGGACTCTGGCCCCTCCTCCTGCGCAGTGATGTCACGCGGCCGCCCTCTTTTGAGAGTCAGAAAGCAGAAGGTGAACGGGGATAGCTCCTGGAACATCTGGGAGGGTTGGGATGTCTGCGCACACGGGGGAAGGATGTCATTTTTGGCAGAAAATTTCAGCCGCAGAAATTTCGGTGCACCCCTAATTGCTTCATTTATTTGTAGTGGTTATGGTGCCTGGAGACTGTACATGCAGTATTTTAGCATTATTCTGGGTTGGTGAATGTTAATTCAATGCAAAATTGGCATCTTATGCCAGCACACCAATAGCGGCTCATCTGCTATGCTGCCCCTGTCCCCCCTCCAGTGAAGGGGAGTGACATCAGGCAAGAAAAATGGGCTATGTTATCTCTGGGAGACAATATTATGGGATCTTTTGAATTTCAGCACCTGTTCCTGCCAAATTTAGCAGTAATGTTTACATGCACACTAGATTTTTTTTAGTTTTGTAATCAATTTCACAGACCTCGGTCTCTTAATTTGAAGTAGAATTATTATTTCTGTGCAAGTCATGTGCCCCATTTCCTTACTCTAGTTAGTATATGTTATTGACGCTTTTACTGTGGTGAATATTAAATTTTTCAAAAGCTTTAAGAATAAAACACATTTACCTTCACAGTACTTTCATGTCAGGACAGTTTCCCATGATGCTTCAGTCATGACAACAAACACCACTTGCTGTGGTTCTAATAAAGTGCCTGTCTTGAACAAAGGAGAGCCTGGACCTCTTATTTTATTCTACTAATCTGGTGTTTGGTTCCAGTACAGTAAGCACCCTGGCTCTGACTGATGGTAGTGCAGTTCCATACATACTTCAAAAAGACAATAACCTGAGTTGCAGGAAAATGCTGTACTAATGCATGCATTGTACAGCGCTACGGAATTTGTTGGCGCTATATAAATAATAAAATAATAATAATAGTGCCATTTGTGTACATATCACCAGTTAGTTGACCCACCCGGTATGCCGTATTTGTACAAAAAAGGGAGGGGGTCGGGGAGTAGGAAATTCCTAAATATAGACATAACAGATATGACAAGTCTGTCTCCCATAGCGAACACAGTGCTTAGGATCTAATCATGATCCATTGTTGGACAACTACATTGGCTGACCCTGATGTGTAACAAGTACAGCTGATGTCTAATGGACCAACTACACTATAATCCCACACTCAAAGCTGTCACATGCCATCAACAGATGAGGCGTTGCTAGACTGCTCCGTGTGGGAGGTATCCAGAAATAGCCTGATCATGCCAATAAGGACACTGGGTCAGCAGCGTACATCAGCTGAAGACATATTGTGGCATCGAAGTGCCTTGTACGCTTGCCATCACAGAGCTGGAAATTTGGTCTATAGCAGAACAAGTTGCATTTCAACCAAGCCAATAAGGTTCTAATGATTTCAGAGGGCAAAGACCATTAAGCATGGAAGCAAAATTAAGTAGCCCACTTGATTACTATTTGCTTTGATCCCAGTACTTAATTGCCAGTTACTAAAAAAAACAGTTGCTGAATTTCTTAAAACATTTGCAAATATCTTAAGGACAGCCATCTGCACACCCCAAGTATTCTTTAATACCTTTATTGTGCAATGTAATGCTTTAAAGTCAGAACGGAAACCCTGTTAATGATGCTACCAGATGATCACAGAAGTAGTTTATCAACCTGTGAAGGTATGTAGGATTATATGGGTGTACATGTAAATAAATAATGCAAGGACCTCTGTACTAGGATCAGAGCTAAAGTGTAGCCAACATTATTGGGGGAGGATTTATCTAATAGTATCGAGAGAGGAAGGGGGTTGTGTGTTCTATGTGGTTAAATTATAAGGAATAGGGACAAGTAAAAAAACACACAACAACCTCAACAGTCCACCTAACCTCCCCCCCCCCTTTTTCTTTCCTTCTTCACAGGATGACATGCACAGAGTCATTGACCAGCAATTGATGGACAAACACCAGAAGGAATGGAACCAGTCTGTATATTCCTTCACCAGTGGCCAACCAGTTAAGCACTGTGGCAAAGTAACCACTCTAAACCGTTCAGAGCGGTCAGGAGAAGAGCCTATTGGAACAGAAGGGAGGAGTCTCTTCTCATTTCTAAAGAAAACCAAGTGCTAGTTTTAAACTTTCCACAACTCCCTTCAATGTAAAATTGCTTTAGGATTAATGACATAATGAAAAGCAATGACATGCAGGAAGACAGCTGTATACTAAAGAAATGATCTTCAATAATGACATAAACCTGGAAGGTCTCTTACTGAAATGGGCAATCACTGTATTCACAACATATAAAGGCCATTTGTGTGTGATCTACAGACAGATGTACTTCTAACAAACTCTGAAATCAAGAGGTGTAAAAAGACTTCTAGTAAATGGCAGTTAATAGAGAAAAGGAAAAAAAAAAACACCACACAATATTATAGATTTTTTTTTCAATAGATGTTACTTTGTATTTTTTTTTTTTAATTTTTATTCTGGTTAATTTCTAACCCCTGTGTGCCAGATGGATATACATTTTCCATCTTTCTAGCACTTACAGGTTAACTGTTTAACTGCCATTGGTCTATATAATGTTTTGCACAGTGCTCTAGTACTCACAGGGTTAAAAGGTGTTTTGAATAGGGAGAGAGAACTTCATGCTTTCTTCAGGGGGTTTCACGATGAAATATTTTGCACTTTTAGAGCAATCCGTTTCTATCCACTACACAGTTGTTTTATTTGTTGTAGAAAATGTATAGAAGTCCTGGGCTGCTTTCATTCCAATGAACAGACTTCCTACCTCTGGTCTTCCAGACAGAGCACAGCACAGGAACCGTCACAGCCTGTTTCTTACAGCCCAACTACTGAGAAACACTCTATATATGTATATAGAAGAAGCAGAATTTTTATAATGGAATAACGAAACAGTCTTTTATAATATATACAGATATACAGAGAAAGTCATATTTTTAGTACAAATTATGCTCTTTTTAATGTAAATCCTCTGGAATAAAATATTTATGACTTTTTATGTTCCACTTTGTACTTACCTTTTAGGTTTCTGTTCACACGACAGTAAAAAACAAACAAAAAAACAAAAAACACCATACTCCCGCCCCTCCCCAACACAGCAGCACAAAATACAAGCCCTTTTTTCTTGAGGCAGTGTGGCTACTCAGTATGTATATGAAGCATTTGCACAGATTTCTATTGAACTTTTTGCTCTGACAAATACGAATGTTTTCTCCACGACTTGACTTACCTAAAACATATCACTGAGTTTTCACACCACAGAATAAAATCCCTACCACCCCCAAAACTTTAAAAATTTAGGAATGTAAACTCAAAATGTCTTAATTTAGGACCCATAGTTCACATTTTTATTATCATTTGTTCCTATTTATGAACAAGATGGTACAAAAAAATTTGGCAGATTGTTTTCATAATTTTGTTTCTTAAATTCACAATTTTTTTTGTTTTGTGGTTTTTTTTTCTGTTTTTTTTTTTTGTTTTTTTTTTTTAGACAGATCAAAACAAGTGATAACAGTTCAGAATAAATCCATTAAAAACTACCAAAAAAAATTGTTGTAGTCTTATATCCTGCCCTGGTCAATGTAATGGTCACTTTTCTATAGCATGGTTTTAAATATTGACATAAACTAAACAGCAGAAAAGCAAATTAACAGCAAGGCCTAGTAAATCTTACCCTAACGGCAAGGACAGAAACCAGGCGCAAGCCAAGGTTAAGACGCCATCTGTACTAATAAATCTTTAAAAAGTGGATCAGTTCATATTCACGCATCATGACAGATTGGCGATAAGAAGCCAAAAGCGATGAGGGAGGAGAGGATGGTTAACGCAATATACAGTATGTACAGACTCTTGTTAATCAGTCCATAATGTAGGCACTGCAATTGTCCTTTCCTAGCAGACGCTCTGGACAAGGGGCCGACAAGAATCCACAACACCTTCTTGGCACAGCAATAAAAAGGTGCCTGCGCCTCTCAACAGAAAATCTGGAGTAAATTCTTAAATTAACAGCACAAAATTGAGAAAATGCCCCAACCCCTGAAAGATAGGGACTGCCCGTGGCACAGGTACTCTTCATCCCAGGAGCGAATGTTCGGATTGAGAGCAGGCTCTGTGCTGTGCCTGCACCTAGCAGCACCTCTTCTTCCGTTTACTGTTTTTGGTTAATTTCACCACATCATTCTGTTGCTGCTGCTGCTGCTTTGCCAAGTTCTCTTTCTTAGCTTTCAGGACTAGCTCTGTAATGCAGTTAAACATCTGGAAAAAAATAAAGAAACAAATTAAATTAGACCAGCAGATAACTTGACCGTGGACTTCATTTTGGAGAGGTTTTCATTTCTACAAACAAATATATTGCATATTGAATAGATTGTGAATAATTGCTATGGGAAATAATATTTTCTTAATTTTCCATAGATTATCTACAGTATCCATGAATCCCACTTCAGAGAACATTTTACAGCTAATCAGAATAGAAATTTGGGAAAGAGATGCTTATACTAGCTCTCTTTAGCTAAGCCCTGCAATTGGTTAGCTCTTGGGCTGAGAGCAATGTCTTAGCTTAGATAAAGAGCGGGAAGCTCTCTCCAGAGAAGAAGCCAAAGTTTTAAAAGAGGTTGATTGAGACAATGTTCTCTCCCTGGCTGAACTGAGTCAGGAAGACATTTTGCAACAAAAAAAAAGTAGTGGTGAAGGGTTATGTAGCAGAAAGCTTAGTTTTTATTTATTTTTTTTAAATATGCAAAATTTCATATATTTGAACTCTGAGAATGAGGATAACCTATCAAACTTAAGTTGTGTTGGTGCTCAGTGTGTAGAAGTTTACCGGAGGCAATACTGAAACCCCCTGATGTCACATTAATGTATAGAAAAAGGAAGAAACAATCGTAAAATGCATCCCCCCTACATGAGAAGGCACCATAGCTTTCCATTCACATACAGAAACACTGTCAAGCAGCAAAAGAAGAATGACCAGCTAGGAAAATTCTTCTAAAAGAGATGAAGACAATATCTGGGTATAATAGATACATTATTATTTTGAGGCAGTGTTGATAGTACCTGCCAAATGAATGGAATCACATGATTTAGTAATACTGCATCCAATTTGGAAATATAAGTTCAAGACGGACAACATTTATACCTCTTCAACATTTAAGTTTTCTTTGGCACTAGTCTCAAAAAGCTGTATATCCATTTGTCCAGCAAACTTGAAAGCATCTTCAGTCTCCACCACTTTCCGGTCAGGGTCATCATTCTTATTGCCCACTGGTGAAAAATAGAGGAGTAGAAAGGAAGTTGAGGACACTTCATAGCACTCATTACTATATTCATATGTGAACATATTGGGCATGATAACTCACCTAATATCCGACATACATCATCGCAATTCTGATTGATTTCATGTAACCATCTTTTGACATTGACAAAAGATTCTGCACTGGTTACATCATAAACAACAATAACACCATGTGTCCCTCTGTAATATCTGCAAGAAATAAGAGACAAGTTTTAATGTATTTTTAACGTACATAAGTGTTTTACAGCTCCATACTCTCTCTCTCTCTACACACACACACACACCTGTCTAATATTATAAAGTCCCACACCTGAATATGAATATAGATAGATTGATCTCCTGATGAAACTCCCACATAGGGACTGAAACGATCGTATTTTTAATGGATTTATAATAAAGTTTGAAGATTTTTAACTACTAAAAGACAGTGAGAACTGATCACTACCCTGTATGAATATATTTATTCCCTGGATTTCAAGCACTCGACAACTACAATTTAAAGCGTGAGTGCAAGGACATATACACACACACTATATATATATATATATTATATATATATATATATATATATATATATATATATATATATATATATATATATATATATATATATATATATATATATATACACACACACACACACACACACGCACATATATATACATATATACACACACACATACACATTCACATATACATATATATACATATACACACACACACTCCAATGTTATAAAAGATCTGCACACCAGACTTGCTTTTCCCCGAAAAAAATAAAACAAATCACAAATTTGCTGTGATATTACTACTGCAAAGGATTCTGGGTGGGCATATGCAAATTAGCTTAACAATGACTCACATTTTTGCCTCATTCCATTTTAAACATAGATTCCTTTGAGTTTGTGTTTGCTTCATACAACAGCTTTGAAACACAACTTAGGAAAAGATGCAAAGCCAGTGAACCACTCATGGACAGCTGTACACACATTAGAAAGGATTGTTACAATCAGACATAATATATTAAAATAAAATAACGCAGAATAAGAACATCAATAAACAATGCCTAAACTTCAACATTTCTTTGTATGGCATCATCCAAGAGGTTGGAAAGCTTAGCCTGGCTATGTCACCAACACCACGCTAGACAGGAATATCCCTCTACAGATTTTTACTATATGAGCACCCACAAAAATGTTTTCTCGATTTTTGATATTATGGAATATACCATTCTAGCAAGAATTGTGTTCTCAGTAGGAACGGATAACAAAATCATATGGCGCAGATATATGCCCATAAAGTTTTGAGAGAGAGGTAGTCTAAAACACAAGATGATGGGGAGATGGAAAAAAAAAAAACTAGAGAGGTGATTAAACAAATGCTTAGTTGAGCATGGGTGCCTGGTACAGACTAAATGAAAATATATCACACTATGAACTATACTAAAACGAGGTTGTAGTAGTTAAAGCCGTTTTAGTCTACATACCAAGAAACAAAGGGTAAAAGATAAGTTTTTAATTTTTTAAAAAGTACGCTCTGCCTAAATTACCCTTAAAACTGATCTGCCATGTTTTTGGTTTTTAAATAAAAATAAATAAATAAATAAAAAATTATATATATCTATCTATCTCTATATCTTATATAGGAAAGGAAAGACTCCTGGACCAGTGTTAATTTTGCCGACTAAAATTTTTGAGATCAAACACTAAAAGAATTCAGATGACTAAAATGAAAATGTTTTTGTTTTTTTAGTCAAAAGACTGACTAAAACAAAATTGAAATATGCCGCCAAATTAACACGGTCCTGGACTGGACGAATTTAGTGGCAATTATGGTAAGATATGGAAATATGGTCACCTCATCTATTAGTGATATTTAATCAGGCCAGTCAATCTGAGATTTTTCCCATAGATATAAACATAGCTAACATTATTAAAAAGGATACTGACCCAACTTCTGTGGGAAATTATAGATCCATCTCATTAATAAATGTAGATACCAAAATTTTGGCGAAAATGCAAGCAAAACTGACATGTCATGTGTCCTTAAGGGGTTAAGAACATTTTGGAGCCATATCCGGAGAGAAGATAAATGATTCCAAACCATGCGCAATACCCTTCCATATACCAGAAGTGATGAAACCAGGCAGAGTTTGTTATTTCTTTTGGACGATTCTTCCAATATCTAGGGATTCGAGTGAGATCTCACTTTATCCTGTTTTTCAAATAACTACATACCCCTTATTGACACACAAAAAAAGGCATGGTAGACATGGTAGACATGGTAGACTAAACCCATAGCCTGGATAGGAAGGATACACTGTAAAATAAACAAACATTCTACCCAGACTTCTATTTCAAGAATGACCTATTAAGGTCAACAAAGGGCATTTATATAGATTACAAAGAGCAATAGACTAGTTCATATGGATGAACAAACTCCATAGACTAGCTAGAAACCTTCTCTAAACACCAAGAAATTAGGGCGGTTTGGGTCTTATCATATACTATTATGCTGCACAACTATCCCAAATCATAATGTGGCATAACCCTACAGGATACAAACATTGGGTAAAATGGAAGACAGACCTCATGGAATCCAGTCTACCTTTGTTTTATTTGAGACTGGAAAAGCCCTTAAGAACCCCTTTACACATATCTTGCCCTTCCACCCTGAATTCCTTATATATCAGTGATGGGGTTGAGAACCAAATTTGAGCTAGCACATTTTCCATCTCCAATGACCCAAATCTTCTGCAACAAACTTTTTACCTCGGGCATGAGACCATTTGACCTTAGACATCTTGATGAGGCAGGTATCCTAAGATATATCCTTCTGTGGCCAGAAAGAAAAAATTATAGAATTTGAAAACTTGAGACAGATCACACATCTAACGACTAGTGACTTCTTCCACTACCTCCAGATAAGTGATTTTGCGCAATCTACATATATAAAAGTAGTAGCAATATCACTTTCCACATTCCTTGAATTGTGATGCAACTAAGGAAAATACAAAAAGGATCTCCCTCCTACATACACATCTAAGCAAAGAACCCTCAGTATGGGGACCACTAAGATATATGAACGAATGGGAAACAGATTTGGGCCAGACTCTAGAAGGGAGAGTGTGGGAAGAAATAGCTGCAAAAATCTGTGTCTTATCTCAAGAACAGATGTTTAACCCCTTAAGGACATGTGTTACATGTCATGATTCCAATTAATTCCAGAAGTTTGGTCCTTAAGGGGTTCAAATTCCATTCAGATTGCCCCAGTTTGGGTACATAGAAGAGGTAAAAATCCAAGATACCTCTGCTGGCGCCTTTGTGGTCACAAAACCAAATACCTACACATGTGGTGGGATTTCCTAAAATTACATGGCTTCTGGACGAGCATAAGGGATCAGGTAACAGAGGTCTTACAGAGAGCAACTGATCTCTCTTCTTGGACCTCCCTCTTGTCTAAGGGAGGCAATTCCAAAACATAATTAAAAACGTTTGAATTTAATTACACTAGCGGCCCATAGGGTCCTTGCAGCCGGATGGCTAAAAACAGACGTCCCGACATTACATGTTATTACAAAAATCTAAGACAATGCGGTAATGGATCCCAAAAAAGAATTTAACTCCAGTTTGTTTTGTTTTGTTTTTTAAATAGTTATAACGTAGTCTCTGGGTAAATTGCACACAGTGGTACCCTCCTCTTTTCTCCCCTCCTTTTCTTCCTTTTATTAGGACTTATTTCTCGCTCTACCTCTGTTCATTAACAATTATGAGAGCAGGACACTGATCTTGATAAAACAGGTACATAATGTCAATAATAGACACAGTAATGAAAATTAATCCATTCATTGTTAGCATAATATTACTCTTCTTTATGATACATAGTTAATATGACATGTTATGCTGTGTCTTTTTGTACACTGTATTTCTACATGTCTGCCTCTCTTAAATAAAAAAATAGAAATAATAAATTTTAAAAAACCCTAAGTGGAAACATGCCTATGATACCAATGCTTCTTATTTGTTGCAGATTTTAAAACACATGACTGAAATCCAGCACAAAAACTGATTTCTCACCGTTTCTTAAAGGATCACTATTGGGTCAGGAACACAAACATGTATTCCTGACCCTGTAGTGTTAATACCACCATCTAGCCCCCCTGGGCCCCTCATGCCTCCATAAATATAGCAAAATCTTACTGTATTCAAGCCAGAAGCTATAGCTCTGCATGCAGTTTGCCTAAAAAAGAGCAGTCTGCTGACATCAGAGGTGGTGGCCTGATCCAATCACAATGCTTCCCCATAGGATTGGCTGAGACTGACAAAGAGGCAGGGCCAGCATGATTCAAACACAGCCCTGGCCAATCAGCATTCCCTCATAGAGATGAATTGAATCAATGAATCTCTATGAGGAAAGTTCAGTGTCTGCATGCAGAGGGAGGAGATACTGAATGTTTGGATGCATTTTAGGCAGCCATGACCCAGGAAGGATCTCTAATAGCCATCTTAGGAGTGACCAGTGAAGTTATCACTAGGCTGTAATGTAAACAATGCATTTTCTCTGAAAAGACAGTGTTTACAGCAAAAGGCCTGAAGGTAATGATTCTATTCACCAGAACAAATTCAATAAGCTGTAGTTGTTCTGGTGACTATAGTGTCCCTTTAAGCAAGGTGGCAATATTCTTTATTTTGAAAAAAAGGTGTATTTCTTTTCCACTATTGTCTTGTTAAATATCAGGTAAAACAAAATAGAATCACGTTTAAAGGGAGACTGAGCACCAATAAATGTTTTGAGGAATGCTCCACCATAAGTCTGACCCTTTAGCCACAACCCCTTCCTCCAGAAAAAGACTTGCTTATCACAGCTCATATGTGGAATAAACCTGAAGAAACCATAAGTCAGATTGCATATTAGTACTTCTGGTTACCATTGACATGTATTAACCTGGCGAACTTTTAACAGAAGAAGATACAGTGAGGGGAAAAAAGTATTTGATCCCCTGCTGATTTTGAACGTTTGCCCACTGACAAAGAAATTATCAGTCTATAATTTTAATGGTAGGTGTATTTTAACAGTGAGACAGAATAAGAAAAAAAAAAAATCCAGAAAAACGCATGTCAAAAAGGTTTTAAATTGATTTGCATGTCAATGAGGGAAATAAGTATTTGACCCCTTCAACTTAGTACTTGGTGGCAAAACCCTTGTTGGCAATCACAGAGGTCAGACGTTTCTTGTAGTTGACCACCAGGTTTGCACACATCTCAGAAGGGATTTTGTCCCACTCCTCTTTGCAGATCCTCTCCAATTCATTAAGGTTTCAAGGCTGACATTTGGCAAATCGGACCTTCAGCTTCCACCACAGATTTTCTATGGGATTATGGTCTGGAGAATGGCTAGGCCACTCCAGGACCTTAATGTGCTTTTTCTTGAGCCACTACTTTGTTGCCTTGGCTGTGTGTTTTGGGTCATTGTCATGCTGAAATACCCATCCACGACCCATTTTCAATGCCCTGGCTGAGCGAAGGAGGTTCTCACCTAAGATTTGGCGGTACATGGCCCCGTCCATTGTCCCTTTTATGCGTTGCAGTTGTCCTGTCCCCTTAACAGAAAAACACCCCCAAAGCATAATGTTTCCACCTCAATGTTTGATGGTGGGAATGGTGTTCTTAGGGTCATAGGCAGCATTCCTCCTCCAAACACGGCGAGTTGATTTGATGCCAAAATTTAAAAAAAAAACAAGAACGATTTTGGTCTCATCTGACCACAACACTTTCACCCATCTCCTCTGAATCATTCAGATGTTTACTGGCAAACTTCAGACAGGCCTGTACATGTGCTTTCTTGAGCAGGGAGACCTTGTGGGCACTGCAGGATTTCAGTCCCTCACGGCGTGACTTGGTGACTATGGTCCCAGCTGCCCTCAGATCATTAACAAGATCCTCCTGTGTAGTTCTGGGCTAATTCCTCACCGTTCTCATGATCATTGAAACTTCACCAGGTGAGATCTTGCATGGAGCACCAGACCGAGGAACACAGTTATTTTGTGTTTCTTCCATTTGCGAATAATCACACTAACTGTTGTCACCTTTTCCCCAAGTTGCTTGGCGACGATCTTGTAGCCCATTCCAGACTTGTGTAGGTCTACAATCTTGTCCCTGACATCCTTGGACAGCTCTTTGGTCTTGGCCATGGTGGCGAGTTGCTTCTGTGGACAGGTGTCTTTTACACAGGTAATGAGCCGAGATTAGGAGCACTCCCTTTAAGAAAGTGCTCCTAATCTCAGCTCGTTACCTGTGTAAAAGACACCTGGGGGCCAGAAATCTTACTTTTTCCACTCATGGACATGCAAATCAATTTATAAATTTTACATTAGTTTTTCTGGATTCTTTTTTGCTATTCTGTCTCTCACTGTTAAAATACATCTACCATTAAAATTATAGACTGATCATTTCTGTCAGTGGACAAATGTTCAAAATCGGCAGGGGGTCAAATACTTTTTTTCCCCTCACTGTATATAGACATAAATTACTTATTTCAATCAATCAGGAAAACACACAGAAAGCAAATTTATTACATCAATCACTGACCGTACTGAATGATCTATCAACAAAACGATTTGCATTAGAAGGAGAGGACACTCAGGGAGGAATATAATAAATATTTCACTACCTGTCTACAGCCAAGTTGTGAATTAAAAACAGCTCACTCAGTGCTGTTGGTGTTGAGACTGTACATACTTTGATAAGGAAGTCTTTCTGGCATGAAGGTGTGTGACTGAGAAGGCAGGCTTATGGTGCAGCATGCTTCAAAAAACACCAAAACGTATTCGTGCCTGAATTGTCCCTTTAAGTGTACACTGCATGTGTGTGTGGAGTGGCATGCTTGCTCTACTATAAAAAGTGAGTGCACAGTTAAATATATTTATACAAGAACTACAATCCAAGGGATAGTCTACAGAAGCTGGTGTTTCCATCTAGTTTTTTTTCCCTATATATTTTATGAGCAAGGCCAGGTTTCATGTGTCTTGTGTACCATAGGTGGTCTCAGTTCCTGAACTACTTCAGATGGTACCAACTATAATTGGGTACACATCACTGTTAATTGTGACCTGGTCTTAAATGCACTCACCAATGAACCGCTCGAGGGAGATGGGAACGATACAACATAATGGACACACTGTTGCTATATATGCAGACATCCCAATCTCAGTCCTGACAGAGAAGAGGAAGCTGGCCCCGATAGCTAAGTGACAGAGAGCACCCCATAAAATACCGCTGGGGAATAGATTGGTCCCTATTTGTAGACAATGGAGACGAGACCACAATGTTGACGTCAGCGGATAATCCGAAGCCGCTCCTGCAAACATGGAGTCTTTCACCGCACCCGCGGAATGCAGAGACAGCATACAGTGACAGAGAACATATAGAAAGGGGCAACTGCGGGGTGGTGCAACCAATCAAGAACACACTAAGGAAACTGCAACCTCTATCAAGAGATCGAGACCCCAACTTCAGGACCACTCAACAGTCCATACAATGTCAGACGCCTCACATGAAGAGAGTCAGTCCTGTACAGAGTGAGGTCCGGCAACTCAACCGTATATCACTAAATGCCTAGATCTTTCTAAATGCGATCACCCAGAGGCCAAAACAAACACCATGTTACCTCATGTTATCATACCTGCAGAGACACTGTGATAGCCAATAATAATATGCCACATGTAGTAACGTTGTTAGGTACATTTAATGTTTTGTTAGCTCCAAGCATATGTTCAATTTTTTATTTTTATATACAATGGAAAAACTATTGATGAGGTACACTCAAAAATACAATTGAAAAAGCACTCACCAGTGTGAGGAGTTGATAAGCATCTATGATAATTGGTGTATAAGCAATATTACAATACATTGTATGTTTTTATGCATGCATTACAAGGAGGTGTTCCTTAAAGTGCAAGTCTGAATAAGCAGCAGTGGCATCAAATACATATGTCCACTTAGGGGTTCTTGTTTTCTATGCTTGTTATTTTTGAATGAAGATATTCACTAATTCTGTCTTGTGTTTTTGCATTGTATACCAGTGTAGTATTGCTTTTCCAGTCATTTTTTATGTTAGTTCATAGAGATGGCCTGACAACTGAATTTTCAAATATAAAAAAAAAAAAGTTACAATATATGGGAAAAATTTAATTTTGTAGACAAAAAAAGAAAAAAAAATACCTGATAAAGTACTGTGCTGTGAAAACCCAATAAAATAAAAATGTAAATGTTAACAGATTCCCTAATTAGGACAATCTATACGGACAGGAGTTTACCAAGACCAATAAAAATGTGATCACAACAGTCCACAGATATCTGTATGCAAGCACATCTGAACCATGGTAAACTACATTCTGCTACACTGAACACATAAGTTTAAAATCAATGGCACTGAAGTGAGTTTAACCCCTTAAGGACCAAACTTCTGGAATAAAAGGGAATCATGACATGTCACACGTCATGTGTCCTTAACCCCTTAAGTGTTTAAGGGGTTAAAGTGTTGACTTGCTGTGAACCCACATCCTGTATGCAGCTTAAGTTAATGTCATCACGTCATGAGTTAACCTGTAAGTAGCTATTTTTCTCTTAGGTCTGACACTGTACATTCCATAAGCTGCGTTGCTATCTATACATAGATAGCAACGCATTGCTATATATATAGCAATGTAACTTATGGAATGTACAGATACACATAAAAGTCAGGCAATTTACTTGTTTTGCATGCTTTCCTCACAACAGATACTCACGTGGAGGTGATGGTTCGAAATCGTTCCTGGCCTGCAGTGTCCCAGATTTGAAGTTTCACTTTCTCTCCATTAATTTCAACAGTCCGAATCTTAAAGTCCACTCCAATAGTAGTTATATAGCTGCCTGTGAAATAAAGGGATACAATCAACACATTTATGATGACTATCTGCCCTATCTGAATGATTTCTTAAGTATAAAGCTGCAATTAAAGAAACTCTCACTGAAGTGGTTATGGTGCCAGGAGTGTTCAGCGCCCCATTAAATAGTCAAACTGTAAATGGGTTTACATCTTACCTGGAGTCCACAAGTCTCCAATCATCTCCTCAATAAGAGCCAGAAGTTCTCTGCATTGATCCAAGCCAAGCAGTGCAGAGCTGAGAATGTTCAGCTGACACTCGCAGCAAATGAGCTGGTCCTGCACTGCAGGATTTAGCTCAAGAGAGCTAAAGGAAACTGTACAGTAGCTTCCAGCTCTAAATGGAGGATGTGACTGGCACCCAACACATCCCATGTAACTTGTCAAAACAGTCATAAATAAGATAGCGCACTTTAAAGGAACACTCCACGCACCATAACCTCTAAAGCAGACTCATGTTTTATTTCACAATTTCATATGGCATATTGTTAAAATGCCTTTTTTTTTTTTTTAAAGTGCAATTACTGATTTTAATCGAAAACTGTCATTTCCTAGGTTTACGGATATACATCTTAAATCTATATTCTCAGCCTCCATGTATGAATTATTGGGAGCTCAGTAATACTCCCTGTAATATATCCAATACTTGCTACACATTATATTTTAAGTTACTGGTCCCAAGTAGAGTGTGCATGCCGTGTTGTGATTCCACTACCTCACACCAGCACAGTTCCATAAATGGTAAACATAACATACATGCCAGGTCAACTGCCTGGGCTCAATTTTGAGATTTGCTAACCTCTTCCTGGCCTTGCCATTCCTTTAACTTAGTAGAAAACCACTGGCATTTTCTCAAGTATCACATGTCAAGTTGTATGTAAACGTCAATTTAAAGCGTTACTCTAACAACCACTTCTGCTTTTAGTGGTGGTCATGGAGCAAGCAATTTGCAGCTTGAAACACTTCCAATGCAGAGCTATCTGTACCTTTGTGCTGAGGTATAGCTAAAGTCCTAGCACACTACTTAGGCAGCCTGTAACTATGTTCCAGACTGCATAATGTGAGTTCTGTGCAAAAATTACATCTATTGTCAGCACACACTGCACACTGGTGATTAATGCAATCACTCTCTTCACTTGCAGGTAGCACTGTGAGAATACCTGCAAGGAGAAGTCAACTATATGGCGCTATATAAATACCAATATTTATGAACAACTAAATGTATCATGTTAAATTTGTCCCCTCCCAGCCTTCCTTGCCTCCCTATATGAGTTTGTTAGTTTATGGCTTTTTTTTGTCCCTCCCTCCATTCATAAAATCGAGCGAGTACAGCTTTCCCAACCTCCCTACCTGATTTTTCAAAATGTTTTGTGTTGTCCACAGTCCTAGTCCGTGTCACACCCTTACTCCCCTACTCAATTCTGAACAAAGCCTTGGAAGTTGGTGGGCTGGCTTTAGTATAGAGAAGAGCTGTCACACTGATCACCAGCGCTCAAACCGCAAACACACACACACACATTGTAATGTTTCATGCATCTCATAAGAAGGCATTGGATTGCCACTTATGTGCACAAGGTTTAACAATGCCTCACTGAGGAGCATGTGATTAGACTAAGGACCGGCAAACTATAAGATAAGGTTTACTTACTATTTTTACAAATTTATGTGGTGGAAAAAAAAGGAGTGGTGACTAAGTGATAATGTAAAATCTTAATATTAGGAAAAATAATTACAGGCTCCAACAAGGAAGGGTGCTGTAACAATTTAAAAGCCGTCTGAAAATAAAACTTTCAGATTGCTTAGTGTCAGTGCTTACTTTTAACTGGTTTATTGTTTTTAATTACCTGCAAAAGATTGCAGAAAAAAAGTGTGTTATTCCAGCTTTGAATATCTTTCACAGAATGTGTGACCAATGAGTAATTGCAATAGACTTCCACCACATCCTCTCAGCTAAATATACAAGAATACTTTTACACACATAAATGTCAATATCATCGAACAGAAACATTTCCTCCAGCTACAAGTGTATACCACTTGCTATACAGTGCCTTGCAAAAAGTATTCACATCCCTCAACTTTTTACCTATTTTGTTACATTATGGCCTTAAATTCAATGTTTTATTAATCTGAATTTTATGTGATGGATCAGAACACAATAGTCAAAGTTGGTGAAGTGAAATGAGAAAAATATATACATAAAACTATTTTTTAGAAATAGAAACAGAAAATTGGCATGTGCGTATGTATTCATCCCCTTTGTTATGATGCCCATAAAAAGCTCTGGTGCAACTTATTACCTTCAGAAGTCACATAATTAGTGAAATGATGTCCACCTGTGTGCAATCTAAGGGTCACATGATCTGTCATAACATATACGCACCTTTTTTGAAAGGCCACAAAGGCTGCAACACCTAAGAAAGAGGCACCACTAACCAAACACTGCCATGAACACCAAGGAACTCTCCAAATAAGTAAGGAACAATGTTGTTGAGAAGTACAAGTCAGGGTTAGGTTATAAAAAAAAATATCCAAATCTTTGATGATCCCCAGGAGCACCATCAAATCCATCATAACCAAAATAGAAAGAACATAGCACAACAGCAAACCTGCCAAGAGACGGCCGCCCACCAAAACTCACGGAGCGGGCTAGGAGGGCATTAATCAGAGAGGCAGCACAGAGACCTAAGGTAACCCTGGAAAAGCTGCAGAGTTCCACAGCAGAGACTGGAGTATCTGTACATAATAAGGACGATATGCCGTACGCTACATAGAGTTGGGCTTTATGGCAGAGTGGCCAGAAGAGAGCCATTACTTTCAGCAAAAAACAAAATGGCACGTTTTGAGTTTGCGAAAAGGCATGTGGGAGACTCCCAAAATGTATGGAGGAAGGTGCTTTGGTCTGATGAGACTAAAATTGAACTTTTCGGCCATCAAAGAAAATGCTATGTCTGGCGCAAACCCAACACATCACATCACCCAAAGAACACCATCCCCACAGCAAAACATTTTCAGCAGCCGGGACTGGGAAACTGGTCAGAGTTGAGGGAAAGATGGATGGTGCTAAATACAGAGATATTCTTGAGCAAAACCTGGACCACTCTGTGCATGATTTGAGGCTAGGATGGAGGCTCACCTTCCAGCAAGACAATGACCTCAAACACACTGCTAAAGCAACACTTGAGTGGTTTAAGGGGAAACATGTAAATGTGTTGGAATGGCCTAGTCAAAGCCCAGAGCTCAATCCAATAGAAAATCTGTGGTCAGACTTAAAGATTGCTGTTCACAAGCGCAAACCATCCAACTTGAAGGAGCTGGAGCAGTTTTGCAAGGAGGAATGGGCAAAAATCCCAGTGGTAAGATGTGGAAGCTCATAGAGACTTATCCAAAGCGACTTGGAGCTGTGATTGCCGCAAAAGGTGGCTCTACAAAGTATTGACTTTAGGGGGGTGAATAGTTCTGCACATTGACTTTTTCTATTACTTTGTCCTATTTGTGGTTTGCTTCACAATTAAAAAAAATAAAAATACATCTTCAAAGTTATGGGCATGTTCTGTAAATTAAATGATGCAAATCCTCAATCAATGTTAATTCCAGGTTGTGAGGCAACAAAACACGAAAAATGCCAAGGGGGTGAATACTTTTGCAAGGCACTGTATCAACTGCAGCTCTAGATTAATTCAACAAATGGCATCAATAAAAAAATAAATAAAAAAAAGTAACAGACCAAAACAAATCAATACAGTACATGCTGAGAAGAACATCCAATCAAGCTAAACACTATGCCACTGTGTTCAAATTCATGGTGAAAATGTAGTAAAAACCTTGCGACTCACATTCAGATATTAAAGCAGAGGGGTTACACACATTCTTGTTCTTTAGCAACTCAGCAGTGTTAGTGAAAATGCCAATCCAATACTCATTAATCTCAGGCTGTAATGGAATAATTAGAAAAAAAATGCAGATATTCTCAATAGTTATGTGCTAAAATGATTGGAGTTGTTGGGTTAAAGGAAAAATATAAGCTATCAGAATTGTGGTGCCAAGGTTTGCTGCTGTAGTCCAAGTAGATTCAGCAGAAAGCCCAACTACTATTGGAGTACAGGCTTTAATTTGATATACACTCCTCAAATATGAAAAGGCAGAGCCTCTTCCATTAACTACTACACAAATACTAGAATATTAGAACCATGCACACCATTACAACACTGTCACTGATTTATGTTAACTATTTTGATACTTTTATTCCTTTTACCCTAAAATAAAAAAATTAAATTTTTTTTTAAAAAAGCACATTCACCCCAATTGACAATAACTGTTCATTTCAACGCAACAGTTATCCTTTAATAAAACAACTCATTTAACGTGGCAGTCAAAGCACCACAACCAATACAACCAGCTGTAGCAGTTATGATGCCTGGTATCAGTAAAACCATCCGATGGTAAGTAGTCTAACCGTTTGACACTCACCTGGGATCTCTGGTAGTCGCAAGTATACATTTTTTTTGTAGACTGCAGTAGTTATGGCACCTAGACGGTCCCTTTAAAATACATTCTGTCTATACATTCATACCATATCACTGAAAATGCAGAGACCCAAAGAGGAAAGTATTTTCAAGCATTCACTTGTCTTGAGTGAATTAAAGTCCTACTTGTTGGAGTCAATTAGGTCTACATGTGCACCAAAAAACATAACATCAACTAACTATAGTAACAAACTGCTTGACACCAAGGATAGAGTGATGCAGTGTTCATGCACACTAAAAAGTGTACAATGGAGGTTTAGAGAATTGAAAGGGATACCTTTAACTTGTTTCATCAAAGAGTAAAACTACCAACACTGCAGATTTGGCAAACATATTGCACATGCAGCTAGTACCTTGCATTTCAGAAAAACTAAATTATGCGAGGACATTGGAAACTCACCTGAAAAGGTGTTGTCAGCAAATCTCAGAAGTAAACTGCTTTTTCCAACACCTGAAAAGGAAGCATTAGTAAATTAATAAGAATACTTCCAAAAGCTTAATATTTATCTATGGATTTATAAATCAAAAACAGAGCAAGCCCTGATTTTGTGCTCTATGAACCAGTGGGTAAACTTAGAAAAGAGACAAACAGTGAGACAGAACTGAAAATTATGAATTTTGAAAGAATATTTAGCGAGCCATTGCCTTCAAGATATACTTTCAGAATAAATCTTTAGATTTGACATACATTTCTTTACACATTTTTTTTCAATTAAAATATAGCCAGCCATTCTGCAACAATGCTGTGGAAGGGTTAGCTGTGTAAAACCGATCTGTCTAAACTAAGCCCAGCAGTGCAGGGCTTAGCTCATTGACTATAGCGATTATAGCCATAGCGATAGCAGTTTATATTTTTAGTAGTTTAACCCCTTCAGGACAGAGTCAATAGTTCTGATCAAAACAAAATGTAAACAAAAACTGGAATTTGTGCTATATATGTCTGTTCACCCATAGTTTACCTCATTCATATTATATGCACCCACACTTATTAGATATCAGTTTGTTCAGGAGAAACAGGTCTTTAATTTCATATCAAATATTTGTATATGAAACAATCTATTATGAATAAAATCAAAAAAACTGAGAAATTTAATTTATTTTTTAAATCTGTAGTTCTGCCTCACATTTTAGCTGTAAATGTCATAATACTGTTAGCTTTTACTGCACAAAAAGCACATATTTGGATTCAGCAAAGTCTCACGAGTACAACAGTAGCCCCCATTAACAGTTTTTACAGTGTTTTGGAAAGTTAAAGGGTCATATACAGCCCATTCCATTTTTCAGTTTTTTCACATTGAAATTTTCCAGATTAGTAATGTAACCTAAAACATATTAAAACAATAATATCGTCAGTAAAAGTGCCGTTCGTGTGTAAAAAATGCAAAAAACGTCACTTTCACTAACAATATCACTGTTGTAATACAAGTTACCATTTGGAAACACTAATATTTGTGTTCAGCGATGTCTCCCAAGTAAAATGGTACCCCCCATGTACAGGTTTTATGGTGTCCTGGAAAGTTACAGGGTTAAATATAGTGCTCGCAATTAAAATTCTCTGCACTTATTGCCTGTGTTGTTGGGCATGTCAATCAAATTTTAACTAATTAAATCACATAATTATGTTAAAATATTACCCTAATATACACGTAGAATTTTAATATATATATACACATACATATATGTATTTAAAGTATACACAAACACTTATGTAGTTATGTAAATAAATAAATAAATATATATATATATATAGATAGATAGAATGTCATTCTAAGTGTATTTTGTTACATATATATATACACATATATATATATATAATAAAATACAGTTAGAATGAAATTACATATGTATATATAATTTTTTTATATTTTATTTATTATTGTAATTATACGTGTATATATAAATAGAAAATATAATATATATATATCATATATATGTAACGTCATTCTAAGTGTATTTTAATACTAATATATGTACTTATATTAACATTAAAACACACACACACATTTCATTTATTTTAAAAACATGTCTAATGATTTTTTTTTTACTACTCCCCACCAGCAGGGGGACTGTGACATTCCAGACATTCCCCCTGTTGGCAGATCCTCAGCCAGCTGTAGGGGGCCATGTGATCGCTCTTTGAGAGCAATCACATGGCCCCCGGGGGCCCTTATTTGCCAGGGGGAGGGCTGCCAGGCAGCCCTCCAGAAGAGGATCGCGGCGGAGGTGAGTAAATCTCACCCCCTGGTGCTGCAAGCCATTACGGCATCCTATGCCGCCGCAACGGCTTTACAGCCCATTTAAATGGGGACGGCATAGAACGCCGTAACGGCATGAAGGGGTTAATGACAACTTGAAAATTCCTAAAATTGTTATGGCACTTAAATGGCCTTTATTTAGCTGTATGCTGGCTCGCCTGGAAAAAGAACACTCTAGGGTCAGCAACACTAATGTATTCCTGACCCTATAGTGTTAAAACCACCATCTACTCCCCCTTGCGTACCTCAATATTGTAAAATCATGGCTTCAAGTCTGCAGCCTCTGCCCCTGATCTGCCTGCTGTCATCATCAGAAGTGGTGGTGTGAGTCAATTACAATGCTTCCCCGTAGGATTGGCTGATACTATCAAGGAGGCAGATCAGGAGCAGAGCCAGCATGATTCAAACACAGCCCTGGCCAATCAGCATCTCCTCATAGAGATGAATTGAATCAATGCATCTCTGTGAGGAAAGTTCAGTGTCTGCATGCAGCACCTCTAGTAGCCATCTGAGGAGTGGCCAGTGAAGGTATCTCTAGGCTGTTATGTAAACACTGCATTTTCACTGAAATACAGTGTTTACTGCAAAAAGCCTGAAGGAAATTATTCTTATCACCAGAACAAATATAATAATCTTTAGTTGATCTGGCGACTATAAGTTAGTATTATCTATACATTTAGACTCCCTTACAAATCATTCCACCGGCAACATTTCCCAACTTTTCCCTGAAAAAAAAAAAAAAAAAAAAAGAGAATTGCCATGAATCCAAAATAAATGACCAAAACAGTCAAAAATTATCCAAGTCAATTCTGTTTTCAGTTTGTTAATTTGCCCATAAATCTGAAACAATCTTTTACAGTAGAAAATAAGATTGTAGTGCTAGTACTCACTGAAAACAATGCATCGTGCTAGATAGCAACAATCATGTCAGTTTTTTGAGTTTTTTTTTTACTAACAATTTATGTAGAACATTCCACGTAATGTTGTTTTGGTGACTATATTGTCCCTATAAGTAATACATACAAGATGTTAAGTGGAAGATAAAAGCAGTGTGTATGCAGAGCACAAAGGGTATTTAGGCTGCAAATGTATATTAATAAAATAAAACCAAATGTTTCAAAAAACAGTGGTAAAGTTTAGACTTGACAAACCTCATCTATAACTAGCCTATTGTATGTACTCTTAAGGACATTTATATGGTTGAATTTAAAGGGGCACTCCAGACCCCTAATGCACTTTTAGCTGAAAAGCTTTATATGTGAAGAGCGTGTCCTCCTTCATTTTGCAAAAAGTGCAGATTTCTATAGAAATTGACACTTTTATAAATCACAGATAACAGGTAATGTTACTTCCAGGCTTGGTTAGCTCTGTGGAGCTAAACTCAAGAGGCTGCAGATGCCCCCATCACCTGTCTTGCAAATACTTGCCATTGACCTGCATTGAGAAGTATGTGATTGGACAGCTGGGGAAGTCTGGGTGGGGTTAAAAGGGGATGGCTTGCAAAAGAGCAAACGCTAGAAATGCAGGTTTTAGAAATGTAACCCCAATGAAAAAATGAATAGCTAAATGCATGTATGTTCCCTTTTGAGGTATATCTAATAAACAGTGATTTTTTTAATATTGTGTTTGGACAGTGGAGTGTCCCTTTAAGTAGTGAGTTGCAGATTCTAAAAGATTAGATGGATTAAAATCATAGACAAAACATAGAGGGTAGCCATAGTGTACGGTCACTTAAACAATAGCAGTGCAAGCCGAACAATTATTAGATTGTTTCTTTAGTGTTGGCTTTTCTTGTAAAATGCTGCTATGCTACTGCTTGGTAACCTGTAAACATGGTTGTGGGAGTACAGAGTAAGTGTTTGGCTTGAAATTCTAAACAACTCTATGCCTAAAGGGCCCTGTTACAGTTATTGGAGTATGAGAATTGAGCTTGGCATCACTAGAAGACATGCTTATTTCTGCTTCCAGCAGCAGCCTACATTCTGAGAACACATTCAGATTCATAGATTGTACATGTTGCCCATCTAGCAACTGTACATTCTGCTCTTTAACGGTTTGATTGCCAGTCAAAGAAAGGCATAAATTAAAACATTTTTGAAAACACAAATTCCATCTAAGAAAAATAGTCACAATTAACAGCTGCTTTTGTAAGTTATGATCCACAAGACACTCATCAGTGGAACTACCGCCGGTATGAATGAAATAAAAATATTTAACCACGAATGCACCTATTGCAGAAGGATCTGCCAGTCCACTTGTCAGAAGTTACTAAAACCAAGTACGGAGATGGCTCTACCAATTCATTGGCTTGCAATGCTAACAACTGAAATATTTATTGATCATGTGTATTTAGATTTTGACAGAACGCAATTTCTATAATTTAGTTAGTAATTCAAATATAGCATTCAATAAAATGGCATTTCTCACAAACAAAAACATTGTTTTATATTTGACCAATTTTCAATGAGTTTTTTTTATTTAAAAAAAAAAAAAAAAGGTCTTTTAAATATTGAGGCAGTAAAAGTGGCACAATCCATTTAACCACTACCAAATTTGAGACCAATAAACCATAGCATTAAAAAGCTTTATAAAGAACACATTAACATCAGACCTCCAGCCTTAGATAGTCCTCATAGGAAAGCATTGAATAATGCTTTCCTATGAAGAGGTCTAATGCGTGTGCGCCCATTGCCGCGCATGAGGTCTCCCCCGACGGCTGATGGTGGAGCCTGACCCCTTCAGCCCCACAGGAGGGGGACCTTTTAAACCTGTAGTGCCAGGAAAATTGCTGTTTTCCTGTAACTATAGGATCCCTTTAAATTAATAAAATAACAGTCACAGTAAGTCACACAAGAAACATGGATGGAGTAATTTTGGAATCATATTGCCCAGAAAACTTGCCTTGCAAAAACATAAAGGGACACTATAGTCACCAGAGCAACTATAGCTTATTGAATTTGGTGAGTAGAATCATTACCTTCAGGCCTTTTGCTGTAAACACTGTCTTTTCAGAGAAAATGCAGTGTTTACATTACAGCCTAGTGATAACTTCACTAGCCACTCCTCAGATGTCTGTTAGAGATCCTTCCTGGGTCATGGCTGCGTAAAATGCACCCAAACATTCAGTGTCTCCACCCTCTGCATGCAGACACTGAACTTTCCTCATAGAGATTCATTGATTCAATTCATCTCTATGAGGAGATGCTGATTGGCCGGGGCTGTGTTTGAATTGTGCTGGATCTGCCCCTGATCTGCCTCTTTGTCAGTCTCAGCCAATCCTATGGGGAAACATTGTGATTGGATCAGGCTACCACTTCTAATGATGTCAACAGGCAGTGGACATGTCTAAAGGAAACAGGCACAAAGCATGCAGCTGCAGACTTGAATACAAGTAAGATTTATATTGAGGGGACCAGGGTGGCTAGATGGTGGTTTTAACCCTATAGGGTCGGGCATACGTTTGTGTTCCGGACCCTATAGTGCTCCTTTAACCCCTTAAGGACCAAATTTCTGGAATGAAAGGGAATCATGACATGTCACACATGTCATGTGTCCTTAAGTGGTTAAGCTATGAAAACAGCTTGTAAATCTTCAAGCTCATACTGCTATGGAACTTTTCAGTGTTGGGTAACGACTAGCTGCCTAATACCAGAAACATCCAAATTATACTATTTTATGCAGTAACACAAACAATAAAATAGCATGCAGAAAGTATATCTGAATCTGAAACATTTTTTCCCCAAATAAATACTACAGTGATATGTGCACAAAATATTCTCAATGGTCTTTGCTACTTTACCTATATGAACAAATTGTGTATATTCTACACTAAAACTGCAATAAATGTTATTGCTCTTGTAATCTTAACACAGTCACATTAGTACCAGAGCGCACACACACACAATCAGCAAAATGTAGTCATTTAATGCTACAATTAATTCCACTGTTTAGTTTAGGACCTGGAGATAAACACATCCAAATATAGAAAGATCACGATTAAAGAAGAATTAAGGAAGAGTTCCTAATACCAATAAGCACTAATTAAAGGGTTATTGCAACCACCATAACCTAGCATTCTGCAATGGTTTGTCCTCTTACCTGCATCATCACTGGGTGTCATGTCTCCTGTAAAGCAGGCTTGTGAAATCTGGCTTCTGCAGAAGCTGATCCTGACGCTCATTCACTGGCTAAGTGTGTCAGCCAATGAATGAGCATCTGTGCATAGCAATATGCACATAATTGACTTTAGCCAACCCAGAACCCTCGTTCCAGACTAGCTAATGAAACCCCAGAGGTGTGACGCTGCCAGTGTGACGCTGTCAATATGTCACTGCAAAACACTGCCATAGAGACATGAGGCACCATGACCACTTCAAAACACTGAGGTGGTCATTGTGAACCACTGTGGTAAAATGTACAGCAGAGGTAAGTATAAAAAACACCTTCCTCCGGGGGGCGGGGCTGGACCGCAGAGCTGAGCGGAAGCAATCCTTACCAGCTCCTGCGACCAGCTTCAGCAAAAGCGACATTAAGCTGCTGAAACGGCACCAAAACGCCAAGCTACAACCACCAAACGAAGGGGGAAGTCGGGGCAGACAGAATTATACCCCACAAGTGACACCCGACCCGATCGACGCCCGACGCAGCAATTAGGCCTACTAGCATGGCGGCCACGGGAAAGATGGCCGCTCTCCTGATGCCCAGAACAACGGAAAAGCAGACTCAGAGCCCTCGCTCCCCTCCCATGGACCGGCGGGGGATATCCCGGTCCTCCCTCACACGATCAGCCATACCCAAGAGTCAGGACCACGCATTCCAGAGGCCACATGCGGAGAAAACAAAATGGCGGCAGGCTCACACACCACTTCTAGGTGCGAGATCAGAAGGGACAGGGAGCTCAGGTACGAGCGCATGTTCAGGGCAGTCTGGGAGAGGCTGGAGGCCCTACTGCAGTCCCCACGCACAGAACCCTCAGCCGGCGGGAAGGCACACCCAGACAGCCCAAACAGACGGCAGAAGGTAAAGCCTAACCCGGCTGAAAGCGATACACCATCCCTACACCGATCCGCACAAGTCCCAGCCCGGGAATCCATACTACTCACCAGGCGACCCTGAAATAAACCTGTCACACCAAGACGCCGCAAAGACCCCTTAAGGCATCGGCTAACAACTTCGACAGTGGGACAGTAACCCCCTTAGGGGAGACGTACCACACATGATATGGCTGACCCATCACACACGCTCCTATTGCTTTGCGGCAGTAGCAAGCCTTAGCCCAATCACCTACACCCATTTAAGCAACGACCAGACAAAGGTACACACCACTCAGGGAAACCTTGGGGGACACAAGCATAGACACTGCAGACCACACGCACTCACATACACAAACTGAGAACGACTAACCATATCAATGACTAACTCGGCTAACGCCGAAATCTAAGCCAATTCACGTTGACCTCACATAGCCTGGGCTACCAAATTTCTTATCACTCAGTGCCCAACTATGCCAGAACTCAGAGCACCAGTTGACATTACTGTTTGAATTTACTCTCATGCCTGTGTTTAATTCGAATGCCAGCTAATTTAACATGCTTAAGCCTGTACTTTACGTTGTAGAAACACTAACGTAGCAAAACAGAGTTGCCATCAATAATAATATTGTAAAATGTGCCGTAACCTCAGTACCACATATGTGAACTTCTATGTTATTAACCTACTTACTAATGCTGTTGTGGCATCGTAAGATGTTACGTTACACGATAAAAATAAAGTTAAAAAAACAACAAAAAACACCTTCCACCACAGCACTTGTGTCCATGCACCATCTTTTTAAGATGCACTAGTCAGTCTAAAACATTTAAATATTATATTAGAGCATGCCAAGACATTAATTCTGAAATGGGTAATGCATGCACCCGGTTGATGGGGACCCTGGACATTGGCAACCTAAATAAGTGGTGTTTTTCTAACCTCATAATGCCCTATTGGTCATATCTAGATAGGTGTCACCACCACCCTCAAACAGGGTTGTTTTATTTCTTTTAAATAACTTACCTATAATCTAAGAGAAGCTCTCGGCGCTGATCTCCCTAATCCAACAAGCATAAAGGCAGCCCTTATTGTTCAATAACAGGCTTCTCGATTTTTTATTAAAAACCAAAAATCGGCTCTAACAGAGGGAGGCAGAGGGACGCACAGAGGGAAGTGGGTGAGCAATGCTGTGCGAACTAACTGCCGGCATAAAATATGCACAGAATTGACACTTGGCAGTCCATAACAGAGTTCCAGCCTGCCAAAGTCACATGTGCCTGGCACAAAAGGTAATATACATCTGGATGAATTACAGACTCCTACAACCATAATCACTTCAAATCACTGAAGGGGTCTTGGGGGTTAGAGTCACCATTTAAAACCATATGGAAAAACTGAGGCAAAAAAAGCTTATCTGGAACAAAAACTTCAAATCACAACTACATATTTCTGGCGGAATTTTAACATTCTGATTTAATTAGCAAAATTATGTATTTCTATCCTGAAATGTGTGTTGTGGGCATGGTTGGGGTGGAAAATTAGAAATCTGTGGTGGAAGAACAATACCTTCCAGTCCACTGTACATCTAAGAAGTTTCCTGTCTGGGCTGCGAGTTTGAGGTCTTTACCTCCGGCAGGTTCAAACCTCCGTAATCACTCCTCGTAGTTCCGGTGCTCAGTGAGAAAGTGCATGCTGGGAATCCCAGCAGCTGCGCTCTTACTCACTGGAAAGAGCCCGACTGCGAGGGAAAGAGCAATTGCTGAGGTATGAACCCGCAAAAGGTAAAGGCCTCCCACATTTGCAACCCTGACACATACTTCCCATAGCAGACCTGCCACTGGCATACAGCAGAGCTAAATGCCAAAAACACTGCCTGTCAGGAAAAACAAATTCAACATCCCTGCAATATGAATCAAAAAAATAAAAAATGGTATGTTTAAAAAAAAATAAAAATAAAAATTACCTGAGCAAATACACGATTATTCACAATATGTTGAACTGTGTGAATTAGATTCAAAAGGCAAAATCTAGGCTAAAACACCCAAGATGTGACTATAGCCAAGTTGGAGAATCTTTTTGATCAGCTATTTTAGCCTAAATTTGTTCATTTGCTTTCAATTTGCTAAAATTTAGAGTAGTGAATTAACCTCATAGCCTAAACTTTATTTTGCAATTAGGTCATCCACAAATCTGACAAAAAGCTCCATCTTAATCTAGATCAGGGGTAGGCAACCTTTTAGCAGCACTTTGCCGATATAGGATTGTGATGTCCCGTAGCATGCCGGTCCTATTTTTTTTAAATTGAGGTGTGTATGCTGCTCTATTCTGCTTGTGTTATTTATACTGTAACTGCTTTATATTGTTGTATTTGTGCGTATATGAGCTATTATATTGTATATGTTTACAAGTAGTTTGTGGTGTTGTGTCTGATACCCATGAATGTGTGCTATGTATGGGGGCTGCTTGTGGAATTGTGTGGATGGATATGTCACATTGTTTGTTTGGTAGTGTGTGTATGTGTGGGGGCTGTTTGGGGTATTGCATGTGAGATTGTGTGCATGTATGTGGATTGTTAGCGGGTTACGTCTGTGCAGATTGTGTTTTGTGTTTGTGTGTGGGCTGTTTGTGTTACTTGTATGAGGGGAGGCTTATTCTGCATTACTGTGTATATCTAGCAGTGTGGGTGGCTTCCCTGTGTTCCAGTGGGGACCAGGCTGGCCAGGTACAGGACAGGAGCTGCAACAGCAGCTGCGGGCTGCTCTACTACAGTGTGAATTCCCATTCATAAGTGCTGGGAGTAAGTGATCTGAAATCACTTACTCTATGTGCTGCAATGCATAAATTGAGGATTGCCCTTCACCACCTTTTCGTATTAGCAGATATCTGAAGTTTTACTGGGACTCCTGATAGGCCAGAGCCTGTTTGGCTCTAGCAGCCTTGAGTGCCGTGCAAACACACCTCGAGTGCCGTGCATGGCACTAGTGCCGTAGGTTGCCTACCCCTGATCTAGATATACCAGGTGTCCTTTTGTCAAATCTGCATGACCAAAAAAATGAAAGAAAAAAAAAAAAATTCAAAACTTTTTTCATGCACAGAATTAACATTAGGCAACCAGGAACAGAGCTCCAGGCTTCCTAAGTCATGTGTGCTGAAGGTGCAACTAGCCCCCGACACAACAGTGCAAATAACTATATGTGCAACGTTTCTAACAAAATTGCTGCATATACAGATTCACAACACCATCAGCATTTAACCTAGTAGAAACAAAGTTTGAGGAGTCTTTCAGGTGTTGCAGACGGGATATATCTTGGGCACTTTATAAATGATTAAAGGGACACTATAGTCACCTGAACAACTTTAGCTTAATGAAGCAGTTTTGGTGTATAGAACATGCCCCTGCAGCCTCACTGCTCAATCCTCTGCCATTTAGGAGTTAAATCCCTTTGTTTATGAACCCTAGTCACACCTCCCTGCATGTGACTTGCACAGCCTTCCATAAACACTTCCTGTAAAGAGTCCTATTTAGGCTTTCTTTATAGCAAGTTCTGTTTAAGATTTTCTTATCCCCTGCTATGTTAATAGCTTGCTAGACCCTGCAAGAGCCTCCTGTATGTGATTAAAGTTCAATTTAGAGATTGAGATACAATTATTTAAGGTAAATTATATCTGTTTGAAAGTGAAACCAGTTTTTCATGCAGGCTCTGTCAATCATAGCCAGGGGAGGTGTGGCTAGGGCTGCATAAACAGAAACAAAGTGATTTAACTCCTAAATGACAGTGAATTGAGCAGTGAAATTGCAGGGGAATGATCTATACACTAAAACTGCTTTATTTAGCTAAAGTAAATTTAGGTGACTATAGTGTTCCTTTAACCCCTTAAGGACCAAACTTCTGGAATAAAAGGGAATCATGACATGTCACGCATGTCATGTGTCCTTAAGGGGTTAAAGGGATAATATAGGCACCATGAACACTTCCGCTCATTGAAGTGATCTGGGTGCAGTGACCCGGTTACCTTAACCCTGAAATGTTAGTTTCTGAGAAACTGCAATAATTACATTTCAGTACCAAGACTGCTGCCAGACACTTCCCGCTTGCTAGGCCAGTTTTGGGTGCCTGATGATGGACATCCTCAGCAAGGGGAAGGGGGCAAAGGGAAGTATAGTGCTAGGAATACAACTTTCATCAATGTAAGTTGAGGACTTGGAGAAGTTTAATTGGGGAAATATAAGGTTCTAGTTTGCATGGGGTTAATTGCAGGGCAATGTGGGGATCTGTATTGAGTAGTAAAGGATTCATTTTCAGGGGACTGTATGTACGTAAATTGGGAGGAGGGGTCAACTGGCATATTCATGTTAGCACCATATCACTGAGAAAGAGGACATAACTATGGATCTGAACATGAGAATAGCAGGGTATATTTGTTTATAAGTACCCAAATCACTACAGAACATTGTAGTGGCTAGGGTGTCAAGAGACTCAAGGTGCATCCAACAGTAAAATGACACTTACCTGGATCTGTCAGGCACTGATCTGAGTTGAATTATATCACATTATCATACCAGCTCATACTAAATTGAGATATTACACACTGGTTGAGACCCATGAGCAGTTTTACTGTTTACCACTGACAGCGCCAGGTGACTCTTTGCACCATAAAAGGATGTGTGTGTGTAAGGGGGTAGATTTTGTTATCAGGGTCCCTCTTCAGGTTGCCTCAACTGCTCAAGCATTGAGACAAAAAGGAAGGTGAGAGACATTTATTAAATAAGAGTGGACAAAAGAGAGACTAATTTTCAATAGTAAATGTATCTATTCACAAAACTTATTACATTTTATCCTCAGTTTTAAAAGAAAAATAAATAATTCTGCTGATTTAGAATTCCTGAAAATATCTGCCTAAAATAAGCTGTGATAAAAGTGGAGGTTTCATTTTCACTTCCTCAGATGTTTCAAATGTATATATTTACATATTAAATGCTCTCCAGGATACAAAGAATTCCTAAATCTTAACAGAAACACTCAGCATTACATTATATCACAAACCAAATTCTAACTAGCAATTTAGCAAACCATTCAATTTGCTGTAAATGTAAATACTTACACAATATTTTAGTTATAACATTAGCACTATTACCACCACCACCACACACACACAGGGTCAGCATTTTTTAGAATTCCTTACTTGCTATACTTCGCAAACTGTAAATGCTAGTTAAAGTACATGTAAACATACTGAGTGACATAGCAAATCTAAATGGAAACATTCAGTAATGATACTGGTTGACATGGGTGTGCATAATCTCCCAAGTGCCTAACTTGGCAAAATACAGCTAAGGTTTAAGTGTAAAGAACAGTGAACAGCACAGGTTTTAAAGAGTATCTAATTAATTGAAGGAATAGCTGGCATAATTTACAGAAATGCTTTCCAAAGACTCAATCCAATGCGGTTTCCCCTTCTCCCTTGCAAAACCAGGAGTGCCATAATGTTGGATTATGGCTATAAAGGTGACACATAGTCCTATAGGACTCTTTTTGTTAATCTAGATTATTATAACTAGTTTTTGCAATATGTACCATGTCAGGCATGAAAAGTGCTGCCTAGTAGTATGTAGAACGCAAATGAATCAGGAAGGAACTTGTACATTAATACAGCGATTTAATTACTGCCCCACATGAAGTATACACACAGCGGGGCAGCATGCTTCCTGTACTGCACACAGAAAGAAGGCTTCAAGCAAACCAAAGTGGGTCTGACAACCCTAGCGGCAGGATATGCTAGAGTGCAAGCTCTTGGGGTCAGGTTTAGATAAGAAACTCTATTAGCCGGCTCACAGACGCAGTAGGGAGCTCCCACTGAGAGGGTGTCCAGGGACTGGTACAGAGACTGACAGTAATGGGCAGTAGCTGTCACGGACAGGCTGTCCAGGGGGGCCGGTACAGGGGCTATCAGATGGTAATGGGCAGTAGCTGTCACGGAAAGACTGTCCAGGGGGCCGATACAGAGGCTGACTGTAATAGGCAGTAGCTGTCACGGACAGGCCTGTCCAGGGGGCCGGTACAGGGGCTATCAGACGGTAATGGGCAGTGGCTGTCACGGACAGGCTGTCCAGGGGGCCGGTACAGGGGCTATCAGACGGTAATGGGCAGTGGCTGTCACGGACAGGCTGTCCAGGGGGGCGGTACAGGGGCTATCAGACGGTAATGGGCAGTGGCTGTCACTGACAGGCTGTCCAAGGAGGCGGTACAGGGGTTATCAGACAGCAATGGGCAGTGGCTGTCACGGACAGGCTGTCCAGGGGGCTGGTACAGGGGCTATCAGACGGTAATGGTCAGTGGCTGTCACGGACAGGCTGTCCAGGGGGCCGGTACAGGGGCTATCAGATGGTAATGGGCAGTGGCTGTCACAGACAGGCTGTCCAGGGGGCCGGTACAGGGGCTATCAGACGGTAATGGGCAGTGGCTGTCACAGACAGACTGTCCAGGGGGCCGGTACAGGGGCCATCAGACTGGGCAGTGGCTGTCACGGACAGGCTGTCCAGGGGGCCGGTACAGGGGCTATCAGACGGTAATGGGCAGTGGCTGTCACGGACAGGCTGTCCAGGGGGGGGCCGAACTGTCACGACAGGCTGTCCAAGGGGCTATCAGACTGGCAGTGGCTGTCACGGACAGGCTGTCCAGGGGCACAGTCTATCGGACTGGGCAGTGGCTGTCACTGTCCAGGGGCCGGTACAGGGGCTATCAGACGGTAATGGGCAGTGGCTGTCACGGACAGGCTGTCCAGGGGGCCGGTACAGGGGCTACAGGTGGCTACGGACAGGCTGTCCAGACGGTATCAGACGGTAATGGCAGCAGTGGCTGTCACGGACAGGCTGTCCACAGGCTGTCCAGGGGGCCGGTACAGGGGCTATCAGACGGTAATGGGCAGTGGCTGTCACGGACAGGCTGTCCAGGGGGCCGGTACAGGGGCTATCAGACGGTAATGGGCAGTGGCTGTCACGGACAGGCTGTCTGGCCATCCGGTACAGGGGCTATCAGACGGTAATGGGCAGTGGCTGTCACGGACTCCAGGGGGCTGGTACAGGGGCTATCAGACGGTAATGGCAGTGGCTGTCACGGACAGGCTGTCCAGTACAGGGGCTATCAGACGGTAATGGGCAGTGGCTGTCACTGACAGGCTGTCCAAGGAGGCGGTACAGGGGTTATCAGACAGCAATGGGCAGTGGCTGTCACGGACAGGCTGTCCAGGGGGCTGGTACAGGGGCTATCAGACGGTAATGGTCAGTGGCTGTCACGGACAGGCTGTCCAGGGGGCCGGTACAGGGGCTATCAGATGGTAATGGGCAGTGGCTGTCACAGACAGGCTGTCCAGGGGGCCGGTACAGGGGCTATCAGACGGTAATGGGCAGTGGCTGTCACGGACAGGCTGTCCAGGGGGCCGGTACAGGGGCCATCAGACTGGGCAGTGGCTGTCACGGACAGGCTGTCCAGGGGGCCGGTACAGGGGCTATCAGACGGTAATGGGCAGTGGCTGTCACGGACAGGCTGTCCAGGGGGCCGTTACAGGGGCTATCAGACGGTAATGGGCAGTGGCTGTCACGGACAGGCCTGGCCATTTATACCGCTGTGATTTGTGTGGGAGAAGCCGGACGGACTTGTGGCGCTGCCGATGCTGTGCAGCCCACTCCCATTGTCCTCCTTTCCGGTACTGACCCAGAGGACTCTCCCCGTCCGGCCTGGCCCCCCGCCCTGCACCCCGCTCTCACCGCTGTCTCCGATGATGAGCAGTTTGAAGAGATGGTCGTAGTCCCGGGCCATGGCGGCGGCCTGGTGTACAGCTGGTGGGCCGGGTCCCCGGGGTCCGCGCGCTCAGCTCCGAACGAATCCGCTTCCCGGACAAACAGCCGGAAGTGACAGCGAAAGCCGCGCGGAGCACGCATGCGCAGTCTCCGCCCCCAGCGGCCCCACCTGTGTGCGCGCCTCCCGGGGCTGGGATCGGAAGCGCGCGCACGCCGCTAGGCCCGCCATCTTGTGTCACTTTCTGTGACCAGGGGCGGGGTGTGAATGGCTGGTGCCATATAATAGCTATTTGCTAACACATCGCCAGGAAGGCCGGACACGGAACTGGATAGGATAATAATCTTTACAAACCAACAAAGTCTAATAAATCTGGGCTGGGTCAGCTCAGATAGTCATAACCCCTTGTTATGGGAGTATTAACAGGGGCTGGGTATCATTGTATAATATAGGCAGAGCTTTCTGTTTCTTACCCTTAATTCCGCAGCTCGCGTTTTAAAGGAACAATGCAGGCACCCAATGTAACTATTTCATGTAATTGAAGTGGTTATGGTACCTAGAGACCCTGGCTCTGCCCCACAGAGCTATTTACTAGTTATTAAAAGTGAATTTCACATTTTAAGGCCATAGTAGCCAAACCGAAAGCATTGCTGACTTTTTTCAGTTCAGCTATTTTAACCTTACATTTGAAATTCCCAACAATTACCAGATTTTACTATTTACATGATGTAAAGTCATAATTTGATTAGCGACACGGAGGCAAGTATTATGCTGCACTCTTTCTTTATTTCACTCAGCAGCAAAGAAAAACTTTACCAATGAAATGAACACAGGAAACCATAACATATATCTTCCATGGCAACCAACAGTCAATCGGGTTCCACTCTCCAGCATAATAAGAAATGGTCACTAAACTATTTCTTGCGATCCCGAACACGGACAACCATCCAACCGAAAAAGGATCTCCAATAAGAGAATAATGCCAACCGCAAATGGGTTTCCAAGTCAAGCTGTAAGAGAGAGTAAAATATGGTAATATCCAAGTATAAAACTGGATTTATGCATAAAATAACCGTGTAAATGAATAGGCAATATCTGATTTAAAATTGTATTCAGGGGGCGGGGCCAAGCCAGCAAGCTGAGCAGTCGCATGAAAGCTGGACTCCCGCTTTACTTGCAGATTTCCTACAGACACTCGCCGAACTCGCGACAAAAAGCAAACCGGGATGCGCTACCTACTTCAGGGGTGACCTGGTGACAAGCCTGATACTCTTCCCTAGCGTTTTGGAGATCGGGAGCCCATGGTGGATAGACGCGGCCTACAGATGGTGGGACTGGGGAGAGGCAGCCGCTCTCCTTGCCCATACATTGGAGGTACATACCCACCGACGCCCTTCTCCCCCGCCGCTGGACCGGTGGGGGATATCCTGGTCAAATCCTGAGAGGCAACCCTCCTGCAAAGGCCTCAAAGGTGGAACTCTGCGAGCAGCAGGAAGAAGCCAAGCAAAATGGCTGCTACCACGTGTGCCCGGAACGCAGAGAAGCCTGATCTCATGGCCAAGCTGGACTACCTATTCGCCAAGTTCTGGAGGACAATAACATCCAGGGAGTAACATGCAAAGGCACGCAAACCTGTCACACACATACCCACAGCGTTGACGGTGACCTCCCAACACAGGCGCACACCTCCTCGAGCAAACAGAGCCCAAAAATGGCGCCAAAGATGGACAAGACGAAGGGCCTGAAAACCCACGCGACTGATGCTCACGATGGCGGTGCTCCGCTGCAACAAACACCCAGCAAAATCCAACCTACCAGCAAGGCATGAAACAGGAACTCTGCAGCATCTACACCTTGCTCCACGCTGGGACCTGGCCAAGGGGGCCCGGGCGGACCGCATCGAGTCTCTTTTGCCGTCATCATCCAGAGGCAAATCCCCACTCAGGCATACACCTGGGCATAGCCCTGAAACTATCACGGACTCTGTAATCCCCCAATGGGCTGATATTGGTGCAGAGTTGAGGGACTTACCACTCCTGGCTGTGCAGTGTCCCCTTGATAACCAAAGACGCTGCAAGTTGTGGGGGCAGAAATGTTTAATCAGCTGTATGGTAGGGGTTTATCGCCTAAATGTTGCAAGTAGCCTCTTGGGATATCTCATGTGCAGTGAAACCAGTGTTTACCTTTTTGAAGATTCCACAGCATGACATAGTTTAACCTACTAAGTTCTTAGCAAAAGTCAAAATAGCTTACTCTTGCAATAGTTAATTGCTGGTTATTAACCCTTTAAAAAATTTACAAGTGCTATCAAATGTCCTAAATGTGTTTATATGCTTTGTAAGATCTCCTGCTTGTTACTTGCTTTTGGGGCATGACAAGCATGTATGTAACAATATGCACACCAAAAATAAAAAAATTTTTGTAAAAAAATGGAATTCAGTCAACATATTGTTGGAGATGGATACAGATATGAGATGTTTGAACCTAAATCACCTTAATACTGAACAAGCCCAAATTAAAGAAACTTACCCAGATTACACTACCATCTAGGGAAGGGTGGGAGGGATAATACTCGCCTCCGTGTTGTTAAAATCATGACTTTATGTTATGTAAATAGTAAAATCTGGTAATTTTATTAAGATATGGAGGCTCCTATTATGCTGGTTTAAAGCTGTGAAATAACCGTTCCAGCAAAATGTTGAATCGGCTTAAAATAAAAGTCTCGAAATGTAGTTTCCGATATCCAATCGGCATTTCGTAAAATATCGTCTTCCGCAGAAACTTTGGAGGCCATAGCTCCTCGTACAGAATGTGGAGAGAAAACGGAAGTATCAACGTTGGCCAATGTCATAATCCGTTTGACCGGCGTGATTTGCCGAAAGAGATGAATAATTGAGGTCTCATAGGATTCCGGAGCGAAGCCGTAGTGAGTTTGTGTTCCCCCACTGTGCAAAGGAGAGACTTCTCTGGAAATGCCAGGTAGAGTACAGACTTTGGTGAGGTCATTCCTGTTGTTTTAGCCTGCCTTCTACTGTCAGCACCTCCTCTGCGATGCCAGGGATCTTCATGTTGTTTGCCCTGCGTGTATCCTCCAGGGCTGCAAATCGGTGGTCGTGTTCGTCGTTGCGCCAGCGTAGCTCTTGCATCTCCTGTTGGAGAGAGGTTATATGTGCGAAGTTGGTGTCAGAGGTTGTCTCCAGGGTGCCCAGCAGGCCCGTTATCCCTTGTATGTGCGGAGGTTGGCCACGTCCGAATGTATAGTCGTTTGGAGGTCTGCCAGGAGGCTTTTCAGCACCTCGATTGTCACCGGTGCGGTGTCTGGGTGTGTGAGTTTTGTTGCCTGTGCCACCCTGACAGGCAACATTGGTACCTCTTCTTCCAGAGAGTAGTTGGCTGAGAGCTCAGAGTATGTGTCCAGGTGGTCGGCCATCTTGGACCTAGCCGCCTCGTGTGCCTTGCGGAGGAGATCGTCAATGTTTGCTCCCAGCCGCGGTTTATCAGGCTTTTGTCGCTTTGTCTTACGACCCATGTTGCTCAGCCACTATCTGTCCGGTGTTCTCCGCTTTTTGGGTGTCAGTGGCCTCAGGAAAAGCCTATTGTAGTTATCAGGAGCTCCACAGATCTGCGACTGCTCGATTCGGTTGTTCGGCTCCACCCCCCCCTTTCCTCTGTTTTTTAGCTTTGCTTTTACTTGGAATTCTTTTATTGTTTAATTAAATGATTTTTTAAAACTATTTTTTGTGTGTGTGTTTTCTTCTTGCCCTTCTTCTGTGAATGACAAATATGGACTAATGCCCTTTTGTAAAATGGCGCCTGCTGGTGGGGCATAAGAGACATATATGGATGCCAAAATTTGCCAAAGGAGATTGGCCTGTGTGAAGACATCACAGGAAGTGATGTTACAGACCTGACACATCAACGGAAATGAAGAAACGGAAGAGATGCAGCAGATAGGATTTTTCCAAAAAGGATTTTGACAAGATATGTATTGTGGAAGAGATAGAATAAACTTGCTGTTATTTGTTATGTGTGTTATAATGTATATCGTATTTACACATTATCGAAAAGTCTACCAATATGGTTGAAAGACCGGAAGTGGGTGTCTGAACCGGAAACTGCGCCATCTTGGAGGTGGCATGATACGTATCCGGTCCGGATCATATTTGGAAATGGGTGTGTCCCTTACAACATGTGTGATTTAATTGTTTGTAATATGTGTGTATATATAAAGAATGTGTATACTGACAGAACTTTCATTAGCACCTGAGGAAGACCCATTTGTGGGGTTGAAACGCATTGTGCACTTATTTTAATGTTATGTTTTTACCTATGTAATAAATCTTTTTGAAATCCTGTTTCCAGCAATTCAGCACTTTTTGGGACCTTAACTGCTAGAGGAATCCATTCTATGTCTATAAGGAGATATATATGCTCCATAAGCCCAGAGCCAACTTTAATTGGCGCAGAAAATTGTGAATGTTCTGAATTCTAAATCCTACTCACAACTTATTTTTACAGATTACACTATGTTGTGTATTATTTTTGTTTCTGTATAGGATTTCTATGTGTAACTTTAAGATAAGACGAATTCTATGTGAGGTAACTAATCCTTTTTATATGTGTGCGCTTATCACTTTGTTTGAGTTTACACTGTTTTGCACTTTTAAATATATCTAGTGACAAATATACTTGGGTGAATTAGCTGCACCGCTTTTTCTACTCTTGAGTGCCACCTATATTCTGTCTGTAACGGGTAATATTGTCCGTCCAGATCCTGGAGGAGAAAATCGTACGATGTGAGAAGGCAGGGAAAGTCTATCGCCATTTCAAACCCTGTTGGCGACACACTTGCAGAAGGCAACGGGGAAACAGTGCAAACGGTGGGAATGCATAGTTCGTCTCCGTGGCCCAATCTTGAGAGAAGGCGTTCGTTGTTAGAGCTGTAGGATCTGGTTTCCAGCTGAAAAAACTAGGGAGTTGAGCTTTCAAACGAGAGGCAAAAAGATCTATTCCCAGAGAGGTCCCCAAGTGTCCGTCATTTTCTTGAATGTCAAGTGGTCCAGACGCCAATCGCTGAAGTCCTTGAGATGTCTGGAACACCAATCCGGTGTGGTGTTGGAGAGGCTGGTAATATATTCCGCTGTCACCGAGATGTTGTGCATAAGGCCAAATTGCCAGAAATCGCGTGCCATGTTCGCCAGAACTTTGAATTTCGTGCCTCCTAGATGGTTGATGTATCTGACTGCGGAAACATTGTCCATCTTCAATAGAATTATGCATTGAGAATGAGTCGGAGATAGGCTGCGTACAGAAAAGGATCCGGACAGAAGTTCCAGGAAATTGATATGTATCATCACTTCTAGGTCTGACTATCTGCCCCCTGTGGAGGTATCTCCACAACGCGCACCCCAACCGTGTAAGCTCGCATCTAATTCTATGATCAGGTCTGGGGTTGTTCCGATGATAGCGCGTCCATTCCACGCTTCCATGTGGAGAAACCACCAATGAAGCTCGTCTTTCGCCTCTTTTGTCTAAGGTCACCATGTCTTCGTAGGATGCCCCGCCTCTGAGGTAAGAGGCTTGTAACCGTTGAAGAGCTCGGTAGTGGAGCTGGCCTGGGATTATAGCTTGGATGGAAGCTGCTAGGAGTCTGATGACTCGTGCCAAGTGTTTGCGGGAGAGCTGTGGAACAGCCAATGTATGTCTGATTTATTTTTTGATATTTAGCAATTTTGATGCTGGGAGATGTAACGTCTGAGAGGTTGAATCGATCACTTATCCCAGGAATTCGATATGTTGAGCCGGTGTCATAATGGATTTTTCCCAATTGATAAGGAAACCCAGGCTATGTAGTAACGCCAGAGTACATCAGATGATGTATGTTGAGAAGTTCATATGACTGGACTAGAAGGAGGATATCGTCCAGCTAGATGATTAGCCAAACGCCTCAACTTCGTAGCTGAGCAATCACGGGTTTGATGATCTTGGTGAAACACCACGGGTCTGATGACAGGCCAAACAGAAGATGTGAATCTGTTCTTGCCATGTAAATTGGAGAAAATTTTGATGTCGTTCTGTTATAGGGACCAAGAGATATGCGTCCTGTAAGTCTAATTTGGCCATTCTACAATTCTAATTTGGCCATCCAGTCTGCTGGTTGACGTAACTCGCGTAGACAGTATACGCCTTCCATTTTGAAATGGTGATAGGACACATAACCGTTCAATTGTTTTAAATTTATGACTGTCTCACCCCCCGCCTTTTTTGGGTACCAGGAAGAGATTGCTGACATAACCCAGTGTATGGTTTGGGATCTCTGTGATGGCTTGTTTGCACGTCAATTCGTGAATTTCCTTGCATACAAGGAGAGTATCTTGCTGGGAAAAAACAATCTCTCTGGGAGGAGAGATTTGGATCGGGTGCGACACAAAATCTATACCATAACATGTTACAGCTTGAAGGACCCAAGCATCTGACATCAGATGTGATCACTAGTGATGTCCCGAACGGTTCGCTGAACGGTTCGCGAATTGTTCGCCACGAACGGTTCGCCGCAGACTCATCATTGAGTAAACTTTGACCCTGTACCTCACAGTCAGCAGACACATTCCAGCCAATCAGCAGCAGACCCTCCCTCCCAGACCCTCCCACCTCCTGGACAGCTCACTAAGAATGCAGCTTCACAATGAATGTAAAATGGATGCTGTCCAGGAGGTGGGAGGGTCTGGGAGGAGGGTCTGCTGCTGATTGGCTGGAATGTGTCTGCTGACTGTGAGGTACAGGGTCAAAGTTTACTCAATGACGAGTTCGTGGCGAACCGTTCGTGAACCGTTCGGCAAACCGTTCAATACATCACTAGTGATCACACATGATAAAAATGTATGAGTCTGCCCCCCACAACCCGAAGGAAAAAAAGATAGAGAAGGCATTTTTCATAAGGTCGTCGTCCAGAAGGAGCTCCGTGGATGCCCCTAGCGACCCAGGGTCTGCCTCTTTGTGGGAAGAACACTGGTGCTGTTTTTTTGCTCCTGAAAGCCAGCTCATCCCGAATAGGAGCCTCGGTTTTGCCTATACGAACCTCTCTGTATACGCCCGGACAGACGGTTCCTTCCTCTTCCGGCCCCCGGCAAAAATCTTTTGGTGAAAGATTTTGCGCATGTTGCATTGGGGTTTATCAGTAGCCAGCACTGAGTTTATGCTGCCCACTAGGCACATTATTCTTTGGATACAACCACAGATGAACTCTCAATCCAGATTCCAGTTGTCTTTGACCGCATCGAAGTTTTTTTCTGCAGGGCCCAAAATGTCCACGACTTCCATGACAGTTAGTTAGAGCAAAATCTAGACATGTGCAATTCTTTTGTTCCAAATGTCAATTCACACAAATTTCGGGCAATTCGGACATTCGGATACTTCCAAATGTCAGAATAGCTGAATTGCTGAAGTTCCGAAGTGCGAAGTTCAGAAGCACAGAATTGCCGAAGTACTAATATACCCAGTGGAAGAATGAAGAATGTTACTGTAACGGTTTACCTAAGCTGGAAGTCCAGTAGGCAGAGATATATGCTCACCCTTGCAATTAAACACAGGCCAAGGTGGTCAGGTAAGAATTCCCCTGGCCTGTGAGACTGTGTACGGGGACTGTGTAGGATATTGCTCCAAGTCACAGTACAGGCAAGGACACAAGCAGGAGAAACGTCAGGGATAAGCAAAAAGTCAGAGGATGCCAGAAGTCAGGATACACGATAAGAAAGCCAAGGTCAGGGGCCGACTGGAGAACACTGGATCACGAATACAAACACAGGAACCAGAGTCAATGAACAAAGTTCCCAGGGCGAGGAATTGCTTCTATACCAAGCTGATTAATATCTGCTTTAGGTGGGCTACATAGACTGGAGCAGCCATGGGTAAAGAATGGCCCCCAGTGCTGGAGACAAGGTGAGGATAAACATAGGCTAAAACAAGAGCTGGAGTGTGGCTCCGAGGCAAGACAGCAGGACTACGGCACAGAAGGACCACAGTTCAAATTCCCTGTTTGGCACAACTGGGGTGACCTCGTCTGGATGTCACAGTGAGAACTGTGACAGTTACACTGTATACCAGTTTAAATAACAAGTATACAAACATAGCCAGGATTCAGCTGTAAGCATTTGCAACACTTACAACAATCAAGTAACACATTCATAAAAAATGTAAGTTACTTAGCCAGTCAATGGATGGGAATGAGTAAGTAGATAACTCCCTAATTCCCATGGTATTAGGGAGCTATCTACCAAAAGGCTGAAAGACCTAAATTGGTCTTGCAGCCAAATTTATTAATACTAAGTAAAAATTAGTAAATTCTGCCCCTACTCGCTATACTGCCCCTATTGCCCCTGAGCGGCAGGTGGGGGCCCTA